CCAGCTTGATGGTTGTCCAGCTCATTATTCGAGAATAGTTAGAAACTGGCTGGACGAAAATTATCCAGAAAGATGGATCGGCCGTGGAGGACCAGTCGCCTGGCCTCCACGATCCCCTGACCTAAATCCATTAGATTTCTTTGTGTGGGGATTGCTAAAAGAAAAAGTATACCAGACTCCCGTAACCACAAGAGATATGCTAATAGACAGAATCAGGAATGCATGTGATGAAATAAGGCCTTATTTGAATAATGCTATACCACGTTCGATCATTCGTAGATGTGAATTGTGTATTGAACAATTGGGTTTACATTTCGAGCAACTACTTTAGATTTTGTATGTTTGCCGTAACTATCCAATAGAATTTTAGTTGTAAATAATTAAATTAATTTTTTAAAAATAATATTGGAAAATTAAACAAATTAATATTCTGTTTTTTTGTGTTTATTTGGAGTTAGGAATTATTGATGAGTTTAAAAACACAATCTAAACGATCATCTTAATTACTTGTAATGCCCAAATCGAAAATGTAAAAAAATATTATTTTCCCATAAATAATTAAAAATGCATCGAACCTTAAAAATCGAAATGTCTCAAAAACGGTTAACTATAACGAAAACTCACAGGAGAGCTTTTTTATGCAGAAAAGTGCAAAGAATCAGTTTTTTTATTCAAAAAGCAAGAAATTTCACTAAGAAAAAATTTTCGGTCATTTTAATACACTACAGGTACAGTAGAGATCGCCCTCTAGCGGATACAGTAAAACTATGCCCATGGTTCGGTTTTTCGTACCAAAAAACCCTTGTATACCAATTTTCACTGTTATACATCAAATATTGTTCGAAATATTTAAAAAAAAACTATTTTAAAAAGTAAATTTAAACACCCTGTATTGCGGAAGCCACGCATTTTTCGACCCATGTTTATATATACTTTATGCATTAATGTTAAAAGTTCTATCGAATCTTAAAGTTATGCAACAATAAACTGAAACACCCTGTATACCAAAACATCAAATGAAAATAATCAGAAATGTATTCTAAGTTCATTGACTCTTCATTTTTGCGCCCCCCGGTATAAGACCGGCAGACGCTTTGCACGGAAGGCCAGAGCCAGGTATTCTACCGAAAAGTCTGATGTAATCTTTTCGTGCGTTGCCCTGCCATTGAAAACTGGCGAGGCTCGTTTAAAACATGCACTTTTACTTTTTTTTCTTGCAGAATTCAGAGAACGCTACAGCATATTGGGCTGCAGAAGGGGTCTTGATATACAACGATAGGTACATACAAAAAAATCAAAATAATAAGCAGATTGAATCTCACTTGACAGTGGCGCTACAGAATATGTAGCAAAATAATGTACTCCAAAAGTGGTAGCATAGTATTTCATTTATCTTTTCGTATGTCTTACAAACATGGAAACATTTAGGACTATCGTCAGATGAAGAGTTTTTGTCAATTTTTCCACTGTAAAAGCATAACAAGTCAATGATTAAAACATTTTTGACAATAGCTTAGAGTACGTTATTTCAAATTTCAATACTTGGGTATGACGTAAAAAAATCAGAATATGTATATAACATAGGTGAAGTCTTTGGCTCTGAAAATAACTCCAGTTGATAGTATCTATGAAATGTTTGCGTTCAAATATTTTACAACGTATGTATTTTAAACTTTTATCGATTTTTTTATTTTAGTACCTGATTGTTTTTGAAAGTATAAAGTTCGCAATTAAATTGAATATTTGACTTTTAACTATTTTTATGAGCTCATGATGCATGCCTGCCCTCACAATAAAAATAATAGTTGAAACAAATCAATTTAATATCAACACAATAATGTGACTTAATTTTTGTTTTCATTGTGACCGCAGTGGAACATTTTTATTTGTATGTTAATGTTTTGTTTTTCGTGTGTTTTATTGTAGATTTGAAATAGAAAATGTTGCGCTCATATAAAAATAGTAATTTAAATGTTCGAAAATTGATGAATTTTGGATGAAAACGTTAAATTGTCGAAATGATGAAGAAAGTTTAAAATTTATATGTTCTAGCAAAAATCTCATAGATGCCGTCAACCTAGTTTAATGACACTGGTGCTTTTAATGTGTAAAAAATAGGCGTGTAGTTATTTTACTTTTCAATGCATTGCGATCATGATATCTAGTGTACTTTCATTTATTAACATTTACATTACGTTTGTTACTGTTTGCAGTGTTGATACAATGCATAGTTCAGGCGCTCTAAATCGCGGTTATTATCCATTTGTCCTTAAACTTGTAGTACATAAAATTGTGACTAATTTTCATTAGCCCACGCAGCACAAAACTTACAGCAATCATATTCTATAGTTGTAGTCACAGTTCTTGGCGGGTCAAAGTAAGACTGCCAGTATCAGTCATCCATACACATGCAACCTCAAACTTCAAAACAGAAATTATGAATACTTTCTACGATATGAGAAGTAAAGGTCAACATATCACGACTTTTGCGCTCTAGATCCACCCGTGGTACAGAGACTCGATCTGTTTACTTATTTCATATGGCGTTGATGACGTAACCGCCAAGAACGGTGACTACAACTCTACTAATATTTGTCTTCCTTTCAGCTTCAAAATACTGCCCATAAAGAAAGTCGTAGATATATTTTCATCTAGAATAAATTGCTTTTTGAAAAGCCCATTCTATTTCTCCGTCCTAGAGGTTCTACAAGGGTGTTATTCAGGTTGAATAGTTCAAAGGTAGAGATAGATATTCAAAAGCAGCACAAAGTATATTATCATTATCTTGCTAGAAGGTCAGATCGCGGATCTCAAAAAGAATGTTTGAATTAGACGCATAAAAAGAGGTATCGGCATCCTAACCAGTTTCTCGTATCAGAAAAGTCACTCAACCCTCGATCCATATCCTATTCAGATCCCGTACTTTTTCGGTGTCGAATAAGGAAGGGTGGTTTTTTATTTGAAGACAATAGACGTTTTGTCACGTTTTAAGAAGAGCTTGTATCTTACGACCAATGGTGTGTACATGGTGTGTACCGATGTTGCGACATTTCAATACGTACTATATACGTATATACTTCTATTTGGATGCACATAGAATAAGAAAAAATAATGTCACAAGCAAGCGCGGATCCAGGGGGGTCGCCCCTGGCGAATCTCATCTGATCACTAATATTTATGACTTTCGAATCTCTTTGAAAAAATGCAGGTTTTTTGGAAATATGTAATTGATGTAAACGGGTAAAAAATATCCAGTTTTGGTGAAAAATCACCATACCTGGCAATCTTGATCAATCTGTATGCGCATCGATGATGACGTGGAAATAAGAGGGTTGCTTGACGCAAATATAAATAAAATTGTGATTCTGCGTTTTTCGTGTGTGATTAAGGTAGTTCGTTAAAAATTCAGACATTCGGATAGGAATATAATAAAAAAACCTTTTCGCGCGTGCCATTAACGCTGTAAGCAAATTTTATAAAAATAATTTTTGTCGTAAAAATTAAGATAAAAGCGGTTTCTATTTGATTGAAAGGAGGACGTACCTGCTCAGTCGCCGGAAGAGTATCATCCCGGTCTAATCAATGTATCACTGACTATCCCCAGAGATACAATTTATTCAAGTCACTTAAGCTAGTGAAGATGTAGAAACCGTTAAGCAACTGGCAGTGGAGTGTCAACTGCTCGTGCACAACATTACTCCAGGTTCAAATATTTTGAATGAATATCGGCTGTGGATGGCAAAATGGCAGCCGGTGCAGAATATTCCGAGGTCAATTCATACTCTTATTGAAAATTAGGATGCCGAAAAGTATCCCAACATCAAAAATATCTTATCCTTACTACATTATCAGTTAGTGGAGCGGCAACAGAGAGGTCCATTTCTACGCTCAGGAGGCTCAAAACGTTGCGAGTATCTATGGCAGAAGATCCTGACAAAACTGGCACTTCTATATGTCAATAAAGACGTAAATTTCGTTACGGAAGAAGTCATATACCGATGAACCCAAGAAGGCAAAAAAGAAAAATTAAACTTTGTTATTTGTATTTAACGATAAAAACTTTCCTTTTAAATTAGATTTATTGCTTAAATCACATTTAGATTACACCGTATGAGTACATATTATACCTGGATATATTGAAATTGCTCGAACAAATTTATCTGGCGGAAAAATATATTTCAAAGTGGGCAAACAATTTTTTGGAGTTCAATGATATTTTAGACCATAAACCTGTTCAAAGTCATAGCGAAAAACTCTTATAGATTTTTATTATTTTTATTTTCCATTGGTTGTACTGAAAAGCAAACTTATCTTCTTTCTAGACAAGAAAATATCGCACAACGAAGTTTTCAAGTCATTATTTTCAAGCAGACAGTACTTAACCTAATCTTGAAGAGAAGTAAGTATAAAACCTCGATAAAAACAGCATCACAAGTTGACAGTCTACTTCATTAGAGGTACTTAGCAGTTTTTCTTGACACGTGTTATTTAAGTAAAATTTATATTTGATGGACAAGTAAAAAAAAAATGAAAATATTTTTGTAAAAACTGCAAAACTTTTCCCATTGTGACAAGTTTCGTGTGATATTTCGACAATATATTTTTACTTAATAATAGTTTCTGAAAATATTGTGCCTACTCAGATTGTATGTGTGGCATAGGTAAAAATAAAACGAATAAGCGAAGGCGTAGAAAAAACATCGGGATTGGGGTAAAAAACGATCCCCTTGATAATGCACCCCGGAATATAATTAACTGAAAGCTGTCTATCTTAAAGAAGACAACCTCACATTACCTAATTCCATGCAGAATTTTTGGAAGGTTTTGGGAAAATTGTTTGTTCCCTTACCGGGTTATTCCTATACGTGAGGGATATGGATGTATGAAAGTAATTCCTCTAGTCAGACTGTTACACTCCAAAAGCCTTGAAAAGACCTTTAGGTAGGTATACATGTTCATTGAAAAAGAATGAGTTATAAGGAATTGAAGGTCAAACTCACCTAACTCTGCATAGCACAATGCTCCGATCATAGACAGTACCCCTGACATGATCCACACAATGATCGCCTGTCCCACAGATCCAGAGAACATCAGAACCCCTTTAGGGCTGACGAAAATCCCAGATCCTATGATTACACCTACTATAATCGCGACTCCATCCATCATCGACAGCTCTTTCTTCATTTTGACTCCCGAGGATGAGTCAGCCTTACCGTCTGCGATGGCATCCCCGGAAATGTCCAGGTAGTCAGCTTTTTCTGGAGTTTTCTTCGCCATTTTGATTGGAGAATCACACACTGAAAGAAACACGTTCTTTTTCGTACACTCGCGGTACTTGAATTCAAAATGGCGAATGCTACAAAATGGCGATTTATGATTTTCATAGCAACCCCTATGATATAGGTATCAAATGAAAGGTCTTGACGAGAGAAATACAATAAGTGAAGTGAGGTCATTCTGAATCCAAAATGGCGGCCACGGCAAAATGTCGATTTATCATTTCCATAGTCACCCCCATGACATGGATATTAAATGAAAGAGCTCGATGAGAAAAACATAACACGCAAATGACGTCACTCTTTATCTAATACGGCAATGCGATATTATTATGATATGGTGCCGGGAGGTGACCGCGGAAACTTCGTAATAAATCGATGCAAACCCATCAAATTGGGATTCGTTGGATTCTTACTGACAAATACTAATAATTCATTTCTCTGATCAATTGAGCAAGGATGATACTTATAGAAATAAGTACCCCTCGCGTGTTTACTTAATAGATGATTTAAATCTATCGAAATCTTATAAATAAATTAAAAAGCCTTATGTACTTATTATAGTACCTAGTTATTTGACATATATTTCAAAAAGTAACCATTAAATTAAAATATATATATATATATATATATATATTTAAGAGCTAGCTTTCATGTTGCTGTTTGAAACGTAATTTGAAAAATTCAGATTTTTTTTATCTATTGCAAATGCCTTCTCAAACTTTAAACGGAGTAAAGCTCATATTCGACTCAAGTTTTCAATTGAAAGCGTTTTACGTATTAACAGCAAGAGGGAAACACGGTGTAAAACGCTTTTATTTGAACTTCAGAGAAATAAGCTTAAATATAGTATCGTTTAAAGAAGTATAAAACAGCGTGTTTCCAATCTAAACAATCATTTCTGAATGTTAGTTCGTTTTATCAGCTATATAAAAGCTTTTGAATGCATTCTTCTTTTATTCATTAGTGATAACGTATCCATTATTTAAAATACAACAGGTACAAATTATTGTAATATAAATATACTGCCATAACACAGTTATTTCGTTTTGGTGCTAAGTATCTAAATATGTTCTCATAATCTCATATAACATTTTTAATAATTTTACCTTTTAATAGATTTACGCTAGTGGAAAATTAACAAATCATAATCACACCGTAAAAGTAAAGTTCACACAATAGTCACCCGCGCACATTCGGCTATAACCTAGTTTCGTATTTAGGCCACATGTCTCGTACTAACGCCCCTCCGCACTAAGGACTAACGATACCGAGCTGCAACCAGCACATGTTTCTGTCGAAGTGGCATTTCATTTTCATTCACCGGTAGAGGCCGTCTTTTGGTCGTTTGTCAGTTTATCTTTAGGTCTTACACTATTAGTAGGAGCAGACCGGCACGGTCGTAGCGCGGTTACTGTTGTTTTCCTTCCCCCACGACTTTCGCGTTCACGTTTTGAATTCAATTTGGGACCGCGCACCTGCGCACTGCGATCACGTGCGGTGCGTACCACTGGCGTAGCTACAGGTAGTACGAGCCCCTTTCCACTTCAGTTGGCCCAACTATTGAAATCTTAGTTTTCTTCTTATCAAACACAAATAATAAAAATGTAGCAGGGTGTTATAGGTTTAAAATATTAACAATGAATATTTTGATAATATATAGTAGAAAACACCAACTTTATCCCTCCCTAATCAAATTTGCAGCATAAAAATAACACATGTTGCAATTACAGCATATCACCTATTTTCATTTCAATGCAAAATAAGTCTATAACTCAAAGGTGGATGTGAAAAATAAAAGCCATGACAATTGTTTTTATTAATCACAGCTGCGAGAATACGTTTAAAATAGTTTTGGGTAGTTAAGGTTTTCAAAATGGGTAGAGGAAAGGTTATTAGTGAGAAAATTCGGTTACTGATAATTATTTTTTTTAATTCTGGGAAATCAAACTCAGAAATTGCAACTTCGTTAGACTTATCGCGGTACAGTGTGAGAAATATTGTTAGAAGATATAACGTAACTGGTTCAGTTAATAGTAAGCCACGATATGTGAAAAAAAGTAATATCACAAATGCCGACCGAAGAGCATTAAGAAGAATAATCGTGAAAAACAGGCGTGCCAATTATTTACAATTAAGTGCTCTGTGGAGTGACGCTGTTGGAAGGAGAATTTCAAGGTCTCATAGAGAGGCCCACAAACTGGGATTTAGCACTTGCAAGGTAAGTTTTCTTACAAAAAAAAGTGAAGTAAAAACCCTAAAGTTGCACAACTTGTTTATAGGCCAAAGAAAAGCCACTATTAACTCCACTGCAAAAGAAAAATCGGCTTAGATGGGCTAAAGAACATAGACAATGGACACCTCAACAATGGTGTGCAATACAATGGAGTGATCAGCCCCGATTCGTAGTTTGTGTTGGTGACAGTCACAGTAGAGTTATTCGCAAAAAAAATGAAGCATTCCATGTTGGCTGTCTGAAAAGAAAGTAATGTACCACTTTTGAAATGGGTTTCTAGCAGTCCAGATCTGTCACCTATTGAAACATTGTGGCACGAGATAAAAAAGGTTCTACGACAACATCCTGCTCGTACAGTCACCGAACTGAGACAAAAGCTTCAAGAAATATGGGATTGTTTTACACCCAATTTTTGCCAAAACTTGGTTAACACTATCCCCCAAAGAATTTCAGGCGTAATAAAAAATAAAGGTGATGTTACCCAATGGTAATCTTTGAATTGTTGCTTTGTTAACTTCGCGCATTTATTCGCACATTGTTTATTTGTTCAGATGTTCTATTAGTTATAGGTCTAAGTGATTTCAAATATGTATTTTTTACGACTAGAGTGTATCTAAAATGTTTTTGAGAAAATAAATTGCTTTAGAAGTAAATCGTTTCGTCATGTTTAGTTTATAAAGGCATATTTTGGTACAAATCTTGAAGTGGGCCAACTGAAGTGGGAAGGGGCTCGTACATACAACACGAGGGCCACGATACTAGAGTAGTAGTAGTACTGTTTTGAAAGAATTTACTCATTGCGACGAAATACTACAAGAAATAGCGATGATATGGCTGTCGTCACGTGAAGTGCGTTACATGTATTCATTCATATGAAGAAGAAAGTTTGTTGAGGAATGCAGGGGGATGTCCAGGGGGTCCAGACAAGTATATAATAATAATAAATTCCATCACTAATAAATCTAAATTTTGTGAACATTGTCACTTAACCCTTTTACAAATCCGGCTTCCATAATGGTACGAACTCAATAGTTACCAACTAGAAACCACGTGGCCGAACGCACAGGTGTGTCTTATGAATTGTCTATAGACTAATTACTAAACGCACAGACCTTGTCGGTACTAGTGACGTATATTGCGCCAAATTTAAGTATTAGTTTCTGTCATTTATTGAACGATTTAAATAATTTTTCACTGGTTGCGTATATCTCATCTATATTTTGCTGGTATGTCATTACTTATGCGATTCTGAACATCACAAAACTTCTCCAATTCAAGGCCTGCCTACCTAGGAATTTCTGTTTTTTGAAATAACTAAGGTTTGGCAATGTCAATAATCAAATTCAAGCGGATAACCAAATGGAAATGGTATTTACCATTTTGGGTTGGTATTTACCGATCCGTTCAAGCGAGTGTAGTTATCAGTTTGGTTATAAGATCCGTGACGTCACGAATCAGATGTTATATGTCATAGTTATCACCGCAAAATTGTGATATTTACCCAACTCACGAGTAGTTTTATATTTCTGGTTATTATTTGAAATGTGACAAGTTAGAATTTTGGCGGGTATTGGATGTTGTTATTGTACTTCAGCTTCATTTTTGAGAAAATTGATACAGGCTGACTTCCATAAAGTGGAGCACCTTATTAGTTATACTCATTACGGTTGTTGGGACATTTTAAATGTAGTTCCTATGCTTAACAAAGTATCCTGTGTAGCCATATACCACAAGAATATGGCCATATGAACTCACTAGATGATATCCACCTGTATACGGTTAGGCTAATTTCTTTTTTCATCATTTCTGCTGAATCAATGTTTTCTTTGACATGCAGAAAAATTTAGAGAATCGAAAGTTATCATAGCTACAAAGCCATGGTTCCATCATTAAAAAAAAAATCTGAAAAAAAAACATGTCTCCCATGAATATTATGAAAGGTTTCTTATTTAAACTTTCCATATACAGTTGTAGACGAAAAAGCACCGATTATTAAGTGATAATAAAAATAATCAGATATTATATACGCGCTTTTCTAAAATAAACAACTTGCAACAAAACCGCGGTTAAAACCAACGCGTTCAAGCGATTCGTGTAACTGACGTCATCAAGCCGTGTGTCATCTTGAACCATATTATAACCGCGGCACATATAGTCAACGCCAAACAAAGTGGCGTGCACGTCATCAAGGTGGGTGTGTTGAAAAATTTACATTGTTGCCAAACTTTTTGTAAAATAATTAAATTTATTATTTACATATCTAGGTTTATAAGCAATATTAACCTCAAATGAGAACAAAAATAATAGTATAATAAAATTATAGATCTGTACTTGCATAATCATTAAGTATGACAATTATTGATCAGATGACACTATGAAACTACCATATTTAATTGATAGCTTAAAGGTACTGAATAAAAATCCAAATGGGGTCCTCCAAATTTTATGCATGGTATTTATTTTACAGAATTCATACAGAAAAATGCATTCTAAAATTAGGTAAGCTACTGGTGTAAGCTTTTTCTGTACAATAAAGTTAGTCGGAGTTTCTTTCTTCAGCGCTGTCTGAATCTGAATCTTCATCACTCTCAAAGTTGATTATTAAAGGTTCGATGTCTGGTCGATCAAAAATTCGTTCTCTTTCATACCATTTAAAAATTTCTTGCTCAGTATGTCGAACACTATTTTTCCACATGTCTGGGGTAACCGTTTGTAGAGCCTCGTTCCACATATCCAAACAGTCTTTTTCACTGTTACCATCTCTACCAATATGTCTGTTATAGTAACCTTTTGCTATGCCCCAAATTAACTCAATAGGGTTAAATATACAATGGTAAGGAGGCAGACGAAGAACTTTGTGCCCATGTTGTTCCGCCAATTCATCAATCACGTATATTTTAGGTGGTTTGTTTCTAAAAAAGCAGTTATTTTAAGAATAGGAATAAACAAAAGAAATATAAACTGTCGACCAAAATATATATAATTAAGAAGCATTATGTACCGAGCAACAATACTCAATAGCTCTGTTTTAAACATTGTGTTTAAAAATGGTATGTTTTGATTTGTCAACCAGTCTTGGATATTTTTTTTTGTCCATGCATTGTTGTTCAATATCATGCTGTGATAAGGGGCGTTATCCAGTATAATCATAGATAGACTCTCCAATTTTTCTAATAACTGATGTTGAAACCATTTCAAAAAATTGTCCTGGTTCATCTCTCCATGGTAATCGCTCAATTTTGTTTTCGAAGAAAATATCGCTTCACTACCCTCAATAAACCCATTTTCATTTCCAGCATGTAATATAATGTATCTAAAATATATTAGTTTTAAATTTTATAGTGCAAATTGTGTGAAGGTACATACCTTTTACCATCTGCTTTAATAGCTTTCACGCTTTTTTGGTTTCCATTTTGCCAAGAGCGACCTATGGTCCCATTTTGAAATATCCAAGTTTCATCGAGGAAGACAAACTGGTATAAGGCCTCAACCTTGGCTTGATTGTATTGCCTTAGAAATTCCACCCTTTTCAAAGCTATACTTGGTAGTTCCATGAGCCCTCGTCGCGGATTGTCCTTAAGCCACTTAAATCCAAGATCTCTAAGCAACCGCCTTAAAGACGTGGCACTACCATCAAATAATGCCCTATCTCTTAATCGAGACCATAAAGTTTGTATCGTAACTTGTTCTTCTGAAACCATGTGTAATATGACATTATAATTTAGTTAACAAATTAATGCAAATTTCTGATAAGTTATTATAATAAGATCTTACTTTTGTGATACATATTATAGATCACTTCTCGAATGGCACTTGTATCCAATGTCGCTGTGTTGGTTACACGTTTAATATAACTCCGCTTTTTCTTGGGCGATTCTAAATTTGCATCACTTTTCACACCCTCGGAAATACGACTAACTGTCCTTAAACTAATTTTTAAAGCAGCAGCAACACGCTACAAAAAATGAAATAAAATTTCACTATTATTAATATACATTACATATAATTATTAGTAACCTACCTCTTGAACAGCATTTAAAGGCAACAAAGGCCCGTTGTTGTCCCTTTCTTGCTCAAAGTAGTGCATTAACGAGGCCACGAGTTCCTTACACCGACTATTTAACTGTTTGGGCATCTTTATATACCAAAATTGCCTTTATCTACTCGTAAAATGAATAATTTTGTTTTGAAACAAACAGTTGTTGATTTACAGTATGCGGGGCCAAAGGATTTATAAAGATTTGAAATGCCACAAATTGATTCAGTGTCAAAATTAATACAAATGTCAGTTCCCAGTTTAAATAAGTTTCAAGGTGACAATGTGTCAGCGCTGCGAAATCGGTTTAGTGCGTTTACATGTCGATAAGTGATTGGAGCGTTTGCAAAACATTTTATTTCGCATAATGCGTCTAAATTTATCAGAAAGCAACTTATGTGATATTTTAATAACAATGTTTATATGACTATTAACCATAATAAGAGAGTAATGACCATTTTACAATTTATATATCACATTAATATGAAACTGCAATAGAGCAATTGTTTGTGATAGAAACCTAGGCATTAGGTCGGGGAATTTTTATCGTGATGACGTGCACGCCACTTTGTTTGGCGTTGACTATAACACAGAAATTTTTGTTATTCGCTTGGATTTGATTAATGTATGACATGTTATACATTTTTGGATTCGGAATTAAAAACTCTACCCACATGTGCAAAAATCCAATATGGTGTCCATAGGAAAAAATGAAGTTGATACTGGAACGCAATAATGTCTTATTGAAAGTCTAATTATGCTATCCTGTAGAGGAGAAAAAGTAGCAGTATCAATATGCAATTTATTTTGAAATCCCAATACAAATAGTCAGGAAAAACTAAAACGATTTTAGTAAAATGCGTTTTTTCCTGTCTCTCAGTGCGCTGTCCTGTACGTCGCGTTTTAAGGGTGAATCTTGGGAACAAAATTTTACCGATCATGACGAAATAAAAGAACCTTAAACGATGAAAGAAGATGTCAAAATGATAGCGTATGACTATAATAACGTTAACACTGAAGCAAGTCGAAAGTGCCCTCTAGTAGGTTGAATCTGCACTTCCCACAGCTGAAAAAATGAAATGTATCGTCACCAAACAAGCCCATACAATTAGTCCATGTAGAAGAAACTCATACGCTTACGCTTTATATAATGTAATTTTTGTACTTTTAAAAAAGTAGGCGACACCTACTTTTGGAATTGCCCTCGTAGTAGCGAGGTTTACTCGCCTTCATTAACGTACCTAGCAAGACCCAAATAATATAACCCGAAATTGATGAAGACGCCCATTTTTAGCGTCGATTACAAAATGCAAACAAAGCCTGCAAGCCAATGCACTCGGTGGTCTCCCTCTATGTGTAACATCCTGTTTGGAAATTACTGAAATTGATTTAACGACTGCTTTTCAAACGTGTTAACAAGACCAAATACATCACTCAAGTAGCATATTGTTGCTCAATGAATGAAATATGTTTCTGAACAATTCTTGTTTGATCTTGACATACCTATAAAGCAATAGCTTGCTATTCAGAAGTGTACTCAAGTAGCATTCACAAAAGGGGCATGTAATCAGGCACGTCAGTGGCGTCCCAAGTCATGTTTCCTGTCTGCTTATGGAATTAGGTTTATGTGCCGTTACAAAGACGGGCTTAGCTAATACCACCATCTACTTTAGGAGTCCGCATTGCGACATCTCGGACCGTTGCCGCCTACTAGGATTTTTTTCTTCGTCGCTGAGGCATCCTGAGAATATGTAATCTTAGGAATAATTATGGGGGGGTGGAATTTACTCGTAAGGTTGATGTTTTTACAAGAATACACAATTTTCTGTAAAATGCGTAAGGAGACAACTTTATTACATCTAAGGGGATTACTGCCATTCTACTTGGCAACATGGCTGTGATCATGGAATTTGTATGTGAACATCTGAATACAGCATAATGTTGGGCATCTTCTTGGAGAATAAGGCCCGTATCGTCAGTCATCCCTACAATTGTAGGGCGCCTTTATGGCCTCCTTGCTTGTCATAGTTTTCTACTTCTCCGTGTCAGAACTCTATTTTGAGGTTATGTCACAAACATCTATTTGCACCAAATTGTGCTTGCTTTTGAGTTATATCATGTTTTATCAGCCTGAAATTTCCTACAATTTAAAACGAAAACATATCTTCACAATAGGAAAGCGCTGACGCTGACACGGGACAAGTGTAATCTAGAAATTTTTGAAGGAGAGAAAGGAGTATGACAATCAAGGAGGCCATAAACGCGCCCTACAATTGTAGGGCGTCTTAGGTAGGCTTGATTGCAAATAATACTCCACGGATTTAGTGAAAAAACGAACATTTGAGAAGTTTCATTTATAAACCTTATTAACATAACATCATGTTGTTTTCATGCCCTGTCTGGCCCATCAAACCAGATATGTTTAAATTTATTTATTGTATATGTTTCGGTCCACCGGTGACCTTCAGTCAATCATAATACAACTGACACTTTTTGACAAGATAGTCATGACATTTAGGTTTTTCGGGCTGTTGAGCCGTGCTCGGGTTGGATTTGATCCAGAGCTTTCGGCTACATCTGCGGTGGCCATCTTAAGTGGCGCTGTCGGCGAGAGCGAAGTGCTCGGCTTGGCGGGTCGACTTAAACTGATCGGTCAACTGGATGGGCGTGCGGTTTTATAGGCAATCGGCGGACTGAGCTGACTGGTGGGGGTACTCTGGATCCCTTGAGTGACGTGTTTTTTGCGTTATATTTTTTAGAATTGGGAACCACGTTTTGTTTAAAGCAAAGCCTTCTTCTTTTCTATTGAAATTATATGTTTGTAGCTTTCAATTGCCTCTCTGTAAATTCGGGCTGAGTAGTTTGTCGATGTTGATAGGACTTCAGTTTGGTCGAACAGAACATTGTGGCCGTATTGCAGTGCGTGTTCGGCCACCCCTGATTTATCAGTTTGTCCCAGTCGACAGTTTTTTTCATGCTCCTTGATGCGTGTTTGGAAGCTACGTTTAGTGGTGCCTACGTATACTTTATCACAGGAACACGGTATTCTGTATACGCCGGCACAGCTCAGGGGGTCCCTAGAGGCCTTTACTGATGTTAGGAGTTGCTGAATTTATTTGTAGGCTTATAGATGGTCTTGACGTTGTGTTTCTGCAGCAACCTTCCTATTCTATCCGTAATGTCTTTAATGTATAGTAGGAAGGAGACTACCGCAGGTGGTTCCTTGTCTCCTGCTGGCGGTGAAACCTGTTCTAGTTTTAAACACATGTGGTTGAATTAGCCAAATTAGGAGGATTAAAGGCTTTTTGCTAAATACTATCGGCAAGTAGAACTAGATCAATAAAACTTGAAATTCACAAGAACGTTTTGACTAGAATTTTTATAGCTTATTAGAACCCGCAGAATGGCGCCAAAAATCAAACAAAAAGGTTGAAAATGCTCAACTTTTTTGAGACTTTTGTACAATGGGGATTTTTTATGACATTGAGATTCCCAGCTAAGATCTTTGTAGTAGTCTCTTTGACTTTATTAAATACTGTTGATGGTGTGGATGGACTCCTCGTTCAAGGATTTTTTAATTTCTTTATTACTCGTAAGTCTGGTTAACCTTCATAAAGGGAATGAAAAAAAATAATTATTTTACTAAAAAATATTTATTTGAAAAATAATACATGGTATCAAGCAGTCTTCCAAAAACATAACCTAAAGTCATCTCCCAAACAAACTAGTGGATATCTATAATGCCACGTCACGTTCGTGGGCAGCGTGACGTTAGCTGTCAGCTTGACAGTTTGGCTTTTGACGTGAATGACCTTCATGGAGCTATCCAGGCTGTTGACAGCAGCTACCAGTTCTCCTTGGGGCGAAAACCTGATGTTGCCGCCATTTTCGTTGAAAAAGGCATTGTGTTGTTGTGGAAGACTGAAAAAAATGCCGAAATTGTTATGGTCATAGTATATCCTGGATATATCAGCTATGTCTCGACAATATTGTCTGGAATATGCAGACACACACCAGGACAGGATTTCTCATCAGAAGAACAAAATTAGGCAAGAATGACTAACAAAGCCAGAGCTTAATTTACTTATGTTACATTAATGAGGATTCCAGTAATTTGGCAATCTGATTAAAAGCAACATTATGATATCACAACCTATATACCTTAAGAAATATAGGGAGTATAAATGACAACTCTACCTAGGTTACGCTCACCCAGAGGTATTGTTTTTGTCGAGTAGAGGAGAGAGGATCAAATATGAAATAAAATATTAATCCAGTGTTTCCATTCCAACTTCATATGAGATTACTAAGCCAATATAGACTTACCATGGTTTGGTAAGTTCCCAAATGAGAAGTTCTCCACAATGCAGAGATGCTACCAGATCTCTGTCAGATGGGGCCCAATGAGCACTGCATAACGGTTTTGTATAATCTAATGACAATATTGGTGATTCTGATTCCACATTGAAAAATCTTATAATGCCTAATTTTTCAGCTACCAAAAGTTCACATGTGTCTTCTCTTTGCCAGCAAACATTTATACCTACAAAGAATGAAGGATGTTTTTGTCAACAGATTGCTATCACATGGCTTAAGTTTTTTACAACATTTGTGTGTGATACAAAGAATGAATATTTACCAGGTGATGTTAAATCAAATGTGGCTTTATATGCACCATCTACAAACCATATTTTGACTGTATGGTCATCACTAGTTGAAGCAAAATATTTGTTATCTGGATCAAAGCTAACATCATTTATATAGCTAGAATGGCCAGTAAGAACCTAAAACAGAGATAAAACACTTAACGTTAACTCTTATAAAGTGTCAAACCACTAGATTTTCCTTCACAAAACTTCTGCATTCAAATTTTAGATTTTGAAATACCTATACAAATGTATTTACTCTCATTTATTATTTTTTTTTTATGAAGAATCGTAATACCTTGCATGTGTTCTCATCATTCAGATTGCTGTCATATAAGCGAAGTTTGAAATCGTTACCTGCAGCAGCAAATAGGAGCTTATGAGGTATATTGAATAAAGATGTTTGGGGTGAAAATGCTAAAGCTGTACATCTATTTGGGTGTGCAAATTCTGTGAGGATTTCTACTTGTAATGTTTCCTGTAAAAAAGGTGTTTTGTTAACAGACATGATTTGCTCTGGTATGTATAAAACTTTACCAGTGCTTTTACTGCAGTACTCTGATAAATAATAGATTTGAGGATACATCTGCTAGAAGCTATCTAAATTTGACATCCCTTTATAATCAAGTCACAGCTAAGCAACTGTATACTGTATCTGTAAACATTTGACTTAAATTAAATACTGTACCGTCAGTTTTAGCTGAGCAAGAAGTATCTTTTCTTGAAACGCTATGAGGAGCAAGTCCTGGCACCATTCGAAAGGGGCAAATTGTACAGAGAGTATTTGACCATATTCTGAAACATCTTTTATGAAGGTTGGCTCGTTGAAAATATTTCTTGTCGTTTCTAACACCATTGCGATACAGATTTTATCCAAGAAACGAATACAGATCTAAATATTTAAACAAATTAAAAAATTAACCAAACCGCCTATTGACGGCGAATGACACCTAACCTAAGAAATCAGATGTCAGGCAAGGTGGATCGGTAGCTAGTGCCACCACTCTCGTCCAAAGTTGATTGTGTAGCTATTGCCTAATAGATGGCGCGGAGAAAGTTGCCGAAAGAGACTTCCGATGAATGTGTATAGCAAAACTCACAACCAAACAACGCCAAGCGAGTACAGGATGAGCAAAATAAAGGTTATAGTTTTAGTTATTTATAGTGCGTTAATTTAAAAGAAATGATCTCTTGGGGTGTAATAGAAAAGACGAAGCAACGAATTATGATGGTCGTAGATATTTTATTATTAAAATGCGCGCGGGTCGGTCATTCTATCTCATGTTCATGTCATCACTACAAAGAACAGTATTGAGCCTTCATAGTGCTGGAAGATGAGTGGTAATGGGTGGAACTATCAAACGTTTACAAGATAGTTTACAAGAAACGGAGAGAGACTGCATTCCGATTGTTTCCCTAAAATGTCTTCTCATGTTTAATAATTTTTAATATGTTCGCGTGTATTGATATTTTTAACATGTAACGAAGGTATCGGTCGTTATCAACAAGCCCAATGTCTCCGTCCTTTTGTTTTTATACTTATTACAAGTTCTATCTTCTCTACGTTCGTTTTGAAATACCTTGTGGCTGCAACCTCAACGACGAAATCCTGATGAAGGCTCCATAGAGAATGCCGAAAGCTTGATTTTATCGTCAAAATTTGCCAATTTCCCAATTAACTATATATATATATTAATGTATCATCAGTAAATAGTTGAATTTTGTAGTGTTGTAAAATATCAGGGATATCGTTAATATATAAAATAAATAGTAATGGACCTAATTTGCTACCCTGTGGCACACCTACCGAAATGTTTTTAATGTTTGATAATGTATTGCTAATTTTAGTTCTTTGACTTCTATTGATTAAATAAATAATTTTGTAATAAGTTGAATACTGAACCTTGAAATCCATAAAAATGCAATTTCGTTAACAATTTTTCCCTGTCAATAGTCTCAAATGCTCTCTTGAAATCTAAGAACAATGATACTGTAAACTTTTTTTCATCCATATTTAGTAGTGAACCCTGTTGTAGAAAAAATTGTATAGAAGGATTTGACAAAGGAATTATATATTCTTCAGCATACAGAAGAATTGTAGGAGATAAATAGACCTTCAAAATGAGAACTGATAGACTTCTACAACGGTAAATTAGTTATTGCAAAAATCGTTTATTTTTTGCCGAAAAGTGCATAAGAGTAAATATGAAATATGTAGTAGTTAAAAAACTTAAGCCTGTGTAGTGACTAACTTCAAAAAAAAAATCGTCAATAGTGTTCTATCCACTGACGTAACTTTTATCAACAAATTAGACATGCAGGGTGAGTTCTTAGTACGTAATTTGTCCTCCATTATCACAACAGGTAATCAAAAAATTTATTTACAAAAATAATTGTGGATGATAACTATACTTCCTACTTGGAAAATATACCGCTCCCTACAAGGTGATATTATACTAATTCCCGAAATATATAGTTTCACTTTGTTGATCTTTATTCGTTGTTTATCCACTATTACTTGAAATTTGAATATGCAGAAGAATATTTACCTAGTTTCTTCTAGAGTGATTTGAAAAACAAATCTGTAATATTTTCACCATTGTGATCTCCGAGTCGGTTTAATGGTAGCAAATTTGCGTAATTATATATTTTAGAAAATTTATTTGAAAAGCTTGGACGCTCCGAGTATCTCCGGGGATATTCGGAAAAGGAAACGAATTTTTCCAAATTTAAAATTCTGATTTCAAGTATTACAGCATTAGTATTGTAAAACTATAATTATTAAAAAACACGAATTTTCCTGAGTAAGCCTTGAAATTGTCGTATAGTCATTACTCCATAAGATATCAAATATGTTAACATCTTATGGATTTCAACTAATCCTAATAATTTCCCATCTAATAGATCTTGGTTCAGCTTGTGGAGAACCCTGTACAAGATCGATTTAATTTGTATAAAAAAACTATTCTCATTTTCATGTTCATTTTTATTGACACTTGATCGCACAGTTAACGTTAACATCGAAGAAACTGATAACACATGCCTCTTTCTTCAACTGAAGTATCCATGCCTCGTTCTAACAACAACCTCCACATCCGCCCTCAGGCCTCTTTCCAGTATTTCCACAGCACCCTCCTCCCTTCTTCTTTCCTCCGCTGTGAGAATCTTGACCTTGAACACTAGCCCTTCTTTGGCTTCCCCCTTGGATGCTTGTCCTTCTAGGTTGCGGTAGTGAGAGACTTGGCCTCCTTGGACCGGCTTGCTGTTGGGGTTGCTGCTGGAAGGTCAATTCCCACTGGGCTGGTACCCCTCCTCCACAGGAACCTCTTGAGAGTAAAATGGTCTCATTTTTTTTAAAGATATACATTTACTATTTGTAAGCAGGGTGCAAAAGATACTTAGAGCTTCAATAAAGTAGGAAGAAGTATATTGGAGACATATATTTAAAAAAAACATTAGATCTTATAATAGTAAAATACAGGGTGGCGCATCGAAAACGAAACAGACGCATTTACTGGCAGCTCAGTTTTTTTTTTGAAGACCCGTCGATTTTGTTTTCGAGGGGGCCACAAGTTTGGCAAAGAATCACGATTGCACGTGCAGCCCCCTAAGCGGGGGTGACACCACCCCCAAAATCTTAAATGGAAAGAGTGGTCGAGTGATACCTTATTTTAAAGGTCTTTCAATTCCCTTTATAATGATATGAAATTTATGTACTTCTGTTCAGTAGTTTTGAAGATTTATTGATCTAAAGCTTAAATAAAACTAATACATCATCATTAGTGGAGATCAATACATTTGGCAGCAAAGTAATTTAAAAATGAAGAATGAACTGACCCGTTAGGCAAGTAAATGTTGAAAATGGCCACCATGACTCTCCATGCAATAATAAAGATTTTGCTCAAAACGTTGCCCCACATTTTGCAATATTTGAGGAGTTATTTGAAGGCACTCATTCACAATTCTTTGTCGCAGGTCTTCTAATGATGTTGGCTGAGTAGCATAGCTTTTGCTTTCTAAATGACCCCACATAAAGAAATCCAAAGGTAATAAATCTGGCGATCTTGGGGGCCATTCAATGGCACCTCTTCTACCAATCCATCGATCTGGAAACGTCTGATCTAAATAATGTCTAACACGTAATGCGTAATGTGTTGGGGCACCATCCTGTTGGACATCAACCTATTCGCAATGTACCGCCGATCATTCTGATTTTAAATTATGGCTGTTAATGCAGGATCTATGGCGTCTTCCAGTAATTCCAAATACATTTTACCGGTCAAATTTCCAGGTAAGAAAAAAGGACCAACTAAATGATCGCCAAAAATACCAGCCCAAACATTTAATTTATGTGGTTGCTGTGTATGAACCTCATGATAAATTCTGGGATTAGAATCGGACCAATATCGGCAGTTATGACGATTTACTACGCCATTTAAGAACAAGGAACATTCGTCGAAAAAGCACGTGTTGAATAGAAAATGTTCATCGTTTATAATTCGTTCACTCATATCTTCACAAAATTGTAATCGCCGATCAAAATCGTCTTCATTAAGTTCTTGTACCAGGTGAATTTTATACGGATGAAAACTATGAGCCTTTAGAATCCGTTTTACAGTACGTCGACAAACACCACACACAGTCTCCAATTTGCGGGTACTTAACGTAGGATCTACATAAACTTGCCCTAAAACCCCCACTTCTATTGCTTCGTTCCTTATGGGATTTTCAATGTTGTTTTTTATTGGCGACTGACCCAGTTTCCCGAAATTTAGCTACGAGTTCTAGAAATATTTTCCAGGCTCGTTACTGTTTTCATGTCGCTCATTGAATATTTCTGCTGTTCTATTAGCGCACTGATTATTTCCGAAAAAAGTTATTTTACCAACAAAGTTTGGTCAAATCAATCACAAACTATGTACTAAATTCCTATTTAAAATAAGTACGAGATATTTCCTTATCCTTCTTCAAGAAATAACTTTTTTGCCACAAAAAAACGCTCCAATATCTATTTTCAACAACAAAATGATAAACAAACCATGGGCGTAGTGAAGAAAAGCATTTACATATTGAGTAAATTCTTTTAGTCAAATTTCTTCTGAAAGTAGTACAAACTAATCTGATGTACCTATTAAAGTCTACTTTAAGCTTTAAATCAATAAATCCTCAGAACTACAGAACTGAAGCTCATGTATTTTGCATCATTATAAAGGGAATTGGAAGACCTTTAAAATAAGGTATCACTCGACCCCTCTTTCCATTTAAGATTTTAGGGTTTGTGTCACCCCCGCCCAGGAGGCTGCACTTGTTAACGTGATTTTTTGCCAAACTTGTGTCCCCTTCGAAAACAAAATCGACCAGTCTGAGCGTTTTTCCAAAAAAAAACTGAGCTGCCAGTAAATGCGTCTGTTTCGTTTTCGATGCGCCACCCTGTATATAGAAGCATTGTCTACTGACACAACCAACGTGTCGCCTTTCCAATGACGATAAAGTGAACCAACGAACAAAGCGACCGCTAGAGTGAGCAGAGGATATGAGGGTGACATCGACAAGTAAAAAATGAATTTCCGAATATCAAAAATTTCGCCTATGGGTGGAAACCAAAATCCGAGGAGGAGGTCTTAAAATATCTGAGGTCCGAAGCATAAGCATCCTACATGGAGCCCCCGAGAATCTGGCCTACGGCTGAAGACGCTATGTAGTAACGCGGACTTTCAGACTACTATAATTGAAGACCTGTGGCTTAGAACTGTCAGAAGCGTAATGATTGTCAAGTCATGATTCCCAAAACACAACTTTTCACTTCTGTGGATCCCCTGGATCCGCGTTTTGGGATGTGCAGCTCCAAGAGCCGATGCGAGGTCTTCTATTCCAGTGTGAGATGATACAAGATAATCCAAAGAGCTCAGAGGTAGTTCAAGGAGATTCACGGTTATCCAAGGAGATCCCGTAGATAGATCATCATCTCTAAGCAATTCAAGGAAATCCAAGACAATCCAAGGATATTGAAGATTATCCAAGGAGATCCTTCAATTGGGCACACACAGGCGGCACGTTTATCTCGCCATTGTAGCTGATACAATCTGATGCAAGAAGATCTAAAAGATCCAGGGCTTTCCAAAGAGACTGAGTGGTGGTCAGTCTCTCGGCAAAAATTTGCGGGTCTCACCTAGGTGTCATCGCGTGAGCTCCAGACATTCTGGGAGGTGCAGGCATACTGGACGTTTGCTGGATCTGCTGGGGTGGGCATGGTGTTCCGGGGAAGCCTTGCTGGAAATGGAAAAGACAAAAAATACATTTTTCAGAGGGAAAGCATTATTGGGACGAGCTGGTATTTCTCGATACTTAAAACTTCACACGATTGTGGTACTTACGCTGTACATGTCTGTGTTGAAGTCTTGAGGACAATTTGGAACGCGTTGACCAGTATTAGTTGGAGGAGCCATCATTTGCTGCTGGTTTTCATCACATGGTGGACAACATTCGTCTCCCTAAAATTCATAATTGTTGTCGTATCAACCAGAATTGGGAAGATGATGAATTACAATGACTCGAATATTCCTTCATCATTTGACAGTGTTCCGTTAAGTGTCATTTTCAAAATATCAATTTGTGCACTGGTTGCGAAAAAGGGCGGAACATTTTTTTGGAAAAGCCTGATTTACCTGTGGTGGTCGCCGATTACATTCTCCTCCACAGGTTGGCTTACAAGGCTCAGGTTCTGGTTCTGAAAAATTCAACCAAGAGAGTTAGCTCAAAAATTCGACTCGCAACTGTGGACGAGCTTGTTTGTTTTTTCTTTTCTTCGCTACTATACGAGTACAATGTGTAGCGACAACAGCTTGAACTGTTCTGTACCAGAGATCGCGCGAAGACATCATTACAATTTTCAGCATTTGAAAAATAAGGCCTTTTAAGTAAATTGGAAACATATTGTGTAGCTGGAAAAGTATTGAAATGGTTTTCAGATTACCAATCAGGATGCAAGTAACTAAGATAAATAGCATTATTTCATCGAAGGGGGTAAATGATTTAGAAGTCGCTCAAGATAGTATCCTGGGACCACTTCTTTTCAGCTTGCATATAAATGATTTGCCCGGTGTAAATTTTTGATGCACTAACTACTGAACATTTTTAATCAGGTATCTCATCAATAGCGATTTAAAACTTGTATCAGAATGACTAATTATATCTCACGTCCATTCCGAAGATGTATTTAACTAAGGTAGTACGCTCATGCGTACTGCGCGCCACACATTTTTAAGATGAATAGTAGCGCGAGCGCGGATATGTTCTTCCCGCTCGCCGCCGTCCGCTGTAACTGCCTCCCCGTTTCATTCGCTTTTATGTGTGCGTCGCGTCCACACGTGTAGTTTCAGTGTCCGGCTCCGCAACAGACGAAAAACCAATAGTACAGGTACGATAGTATTATTTTGCTATTCACGACATTCATAGAATGTTCTGTTACATCAGGATAATACGAAATAATGATATTTTTATTGGCACAGTCCCAGATTTTTCTTTTGCATTTTCTCAATTTCACGAACAAGGCTTCCTAGTTTATTTGCTGTGCATTTAATGTTAATTCGAGAAAGTGAACTATTATATACTAATCACGTTAAAATCGTTCTGGTGAGCAACTATTTCTCCACAGGGCTTGTTTTACAGCATGGGGAAACGCAAGAGAAGCCGATCCAGCGACAAACTATCGCGTAGAGACTTACAAAAAACAATTAATGAGCTTCGCGATAGACTAAACAGGCAGGAGCGAGATCGTAGGTCCCATTCACGTCGGCACAGTCGAAGCATTTCTCCAAGGAGGCCCCGCTCTAGTTCGCGCAGTCGATCCTTAGTACAGGACCGTACTTCGATAAAAAGAAGGGGGGTGCCAGATTCGGAGGATCGTAACCACAATTATACGACTCGGAAACGTCGAACTTTGGACAAACCGACTTCCGAATATCAATACTCTAGGAATTCATCGAGAGAACGTCGGGTTTCGCACAGCCCAACTTCCAATCGATACCAAAATCCTAGAAATACATCGAGAGAGCGTCGGGTTTTGAACAGCCCGACTTCTTCACGATTTTCAAAAGAAAAAATAGACCGACGTAGCATGAGCCGAGCCTCCTACGACTCGGCGAGTGTCACCAGTGGTAGAAGCCCGGCATCGAACTGTCCGGCTATAAACCAAGACCATCCGGAACTGGATGACCTAGATACACTCGTACTCCAAGACGACATAAATTTACAAGCTGAAAACACTGAGAATGAGGCGGAGCAACTTCCAGAGTGCATTAAAGAGGTATTAGGCATTGACACTGACACAGAAACAAAACAGTCCTATCATCTCAATGATGCTATAAGACAAGTTTGGTCACAAACAATAGCCCAAGGCATAGGAAAGGAAAATATGGATCAAATTTTGGATCGCCATAGGCCTCCCAATAATTTTCCTACTCTTGATCCTCCAAAAGTCAACCCGGAAGTTGCTCACATTCTTTCTCAAGCATATGTTAAGAGGGACCAATGCCATGCAAGATATCAGCTATTGGTGGGAAAAAGTACAAGTGCGCTTGGCAAATGCATGAATTATGTCATCAATGAAATCAAGAATAATGTTGATTCTGATCTAAAAATGCACTTGCTACCACATCTAGCAGATGTGGGCACATTCATGACCCAGCTATTCCATGAGATCTCGACGACCCGTAGGGAATATATTTCACAACTTCTCTCCAAATCGGTGAAAGATACCATCAAAGAGACTATTCCGGGGGAATATCTATACGGCACCGATTTGGCAGAAAAGATTAAAATGGCAAAAATTGCAGAAAAAGCTGGGAACGACTTAAGACAAGACGGTTATAGCAACAAGGCAGGGCCATCCGGCATCAGAAGAGGGGGGGGGGCACACCTCTCAGCGCCAGCATGGTACCTCCAAAACTGCATACAATGCTCGTACTCCATATAAAGCGACTAGCTACCGCCCGTCTTTAAACAGGCAACGCCCGCCTCGCCAGTCAGGGAGGGACTCGGGGCCGAGGAAAGGGCAAACCTCCAAGCAAAGTCGCCCCCCAGGGAGCAGATACCAATAAAGGTAAGTCATTCTAAGCTAGCGGGCAGACTATCCCATTTTGTCGAGTCTTGGAAATGTATAACGAACAATTCCACAGTTCTATCCTGGATTAAGGGATATAAGATCCCTCTCTTAGCAACACCTGTTCAGAAACAGAATCAAACTGCCCACACTCAGTGCGACCCTTTGATTGCCTTGGCTATCAGGGAGCTACTAGATATCGGAGCAGTATCATCATGTACGGAGAGGAAAGACCAGTACGTTTCAACTTACTTCCTAACTGAAAAATCCAACGGAAAGAAACGGTTCATTTTAAATTTGAAAAAATTTAATGAATTCGTGAAATACGAGCATTTCAAAATGGAAGATTTTCGGACAGTACTAAAACTATTGCAAAAGCAATACTGGATGGCAACCATCGATCTAAAAGACGCATACTTCCTAATATCAATAGACAAATCATTTAGGAAGTATTTGAGGTTCAGGTTTAATTCTAATACATTTGAATTCAATTGCTTACCATTTGGTCTCTCGTCAGCACCGTACTGTTTCACAAAAATAATGCGACCCGTCCTGGAAAACCTGCGTACTCAAGGGATTCTGTTGGTCAACTATTTAGACGATTTCCTAGTCATCAGTGACTCGTCTGAAAAATGTAGGGAACACACAAAAATTGTGGTAAACACATTACAGTCCATAGGTTTCATCATAAACTTTGAAAAAAGTTCGTTGACCCCAGAACAGAGGAAAATATTTTTAGGATTTCAATACGACACCAAAAATATGAAAATATCCCTACCGTCGGAAAAGAAAACGTCCATTAAAAACATGTCAACGTCTTTCCGAAAAAGGGATACATGCAGTATAAGAGAACTTGCACAGTTCATAGGCACCTTAACCGCAGCCTGCCCTGCGGTTAAGTACGGCTGGTTGTACACCAAGCGTTTGGAACAACTAAAGTGCTCAGCTCTAGAAGCGAACAACTACAACTATAATTGTAACATAACTTTATAGATAATGACCTAATCTGGTGGGAGCGAAACATCTTAAATACGGAAGCCGATATTAAACAGACAGGCTATAGTATGACAATATTCACAGATGCCTCACTGACTGGGTGGGGTGCATGAAGAGGACACGACAAAACCCATGGGTTTTGGTCCAATCCAGAAAAAGATAATCATATAAATTACTTAGAACTTACAGCTATTCTTTATGGCTTAAAATGTTTCGCCCGGGATGCAAGGAACTGCAGTATTCTGATTAGATCAGATAACACGACGGCAATATCTTGCATCAACCGTTTGGGCAGTATACAATCTACCAAGCTCAACAACAGAACGCGAGACATCTGGGAATGGTGTCAAGCCAGAAATATTTGGGTATTCGCTTCATACGTCAACACAAAGGACAATCTGGACGCAGACAGGGAGTCCAGAGTAGTCTCAACCGAAACAGAATGGTCTCTGGCAGATTCAGCATTCGATGTTTTAAAACACGAATTCGGATCTCCTGACGTTGACCTTTTTGCCTCAAAAATAAATCACAAATGTCGACGATATGTATCATGGAGGAAAGATCCGGATTCGGTCGCAGTTGATGCATTTACTATTAGCTGGACCGATATTTATTTTTATGCATTCCCCCCATTTTGCTTAATATTGAAGGTGTTACAAAAAATTATCCAGGATAAAGCTGAGGGAATTGTAGTAGTACCAGACTGGCGTGCCCAGGCATGGTATCCGCTTGTAGAGAAACTACAAGTTGGAAGATCTGTTACTTTTGGACCTGACGATAATCTTCTGACTTCTCCTTTCAGTTCAACCCACCCTCTGGCCAACAGATTAACATTAGTGGCCGCGAAATTATCCGGCAGGGGTTTCAACTGAGAGGAATATCGGATGAGGCGGTAGAGACCATAATCGATTCAATATCGACAGCTACGATCAGCCAGTATGCGTGTACTTACCGTCTATGGTATAAGTACTGTGAAGAGAAGCAGATACCAGTATTTCAGGCAAACGTCCTGCAGGTAATAGAATTCCTTCAGAACATTATCAATACAACTGAACTAAATTATGGAAGTTTAAACAGCCACAGATCTGCGATCTCCCTTATATCCTCCGATAGCCTAGGTTCACACCCCCTGATAAAACGGTTCATGAAAGGGGTAGCCAGAAGACGACCAATGAACCCCAGGTATAGGTTCACGTGGGATCCTCAACCAGTTCTTACAGCATTAGGAAATCTCCCTAACAACCAACTTAAAAGCCTCACCCACAAACTGGTGACCCTACTTTCACTGGAAACAGGTGGCCGCCTTCAAACGATCTCTTTAATCCGGGTATCAAACATTCACAGAGACGAAACCAGATTACAAATAATGATTACGGACCCAGTAAAGACGTCACTTAGCCTCAATGATCAGCCTTTTCTGAGTCTCCCGTTCTTCACACCAAATCCCAACATATGCCCAGCCTCAACAGTGCTGCAGTACTTAGAGTCAACGAAAGAAATCCGAAATAATGAAGATTTCTTATTTTTAACTTATGTAAAAGCCCATAAAAAAGCAACAAAGCAAACCCTTGCCCGTTGGGTAAAACAGACACTTATGTCATCGGGAGTAAATACGACTGTATTTAAACCTCATTCAACTAGGCACGCAGCAACGTCAGCAGTCCGTAGGGCAGGGCTGTCGGTAGACACTATTTGTAAAACTGCAGGCTGGTCTCAGAAGACGGCAACCTTTGCAAGGTTCTACGACCGACCACTACAAGCGGATGATGACTTTGCAAACACGATACTCTCAACGAGTATAAATTAGAATATTTTCACCTTATTTTACTTTTGCTATGATAGCAGTTTTGTTCAACTTATTTCGTATATAAAACATCAATGCATATGTTTGTGGTTTGTATCTTTGAACATCTACCTTAGTTAAATACATCTTCGGAATGGACGTGAGATATAATTTAACGATCAAACGAACTTACCTGAAGTTCGATCGTAATTATATCGATCGTCCATTCCGAAGATGTAGAAACCCCCCCTCCCTGAAATGCAGTGGCTTTTCACCCTGCTCATATGCATTGAAAAACAATCTTTGAAGGAATGAAACGGGGAGGCAGTTACAGCGGGCGGCGGCGAGCGGGAAGAACATATCCGCGCTCGCGCTACTATTCATCTTAAAAATGTGTGGCGCGCAGTACGCATGAGCGTACTACCTTAGTTAAATACATCTTCGGAATGGACGATCGATATAATTACGATCGAACTTCAGGTAAGTTCGTTTGATCGTTAAATACCTGACAAATTAAAAGTGATTACAGACAAAAACTATGATCATTGGAAAACTGATACTATAAATTTATACGTAAATATTAGAGGCAAAAACTTTGATTTTTGTAGATTTTTTGAAATATTTGGGCATATATTGTTGACAATAAGTTGAACTACATTATGGAAAAATATCACTAGAGTAAAGTAGAATATTTATTACATATTTTCAAGTTGGTTAAGCTATATATAGGAAAATCATTTATAATACAATTGTACTGCCAAATTTTTTGTATATTGCAAATGTTTTACATCTGGAATGATTCCGCTTTATGAATATTGCTGATCTTACAAAATAAATGTATGACAATAATACTAAATAAAAGTAAATACAGGGTGGTCCATCCATGTGTGGACTGAATAAAAAAAGTAACAACTAAGATATTAAAGCTGAGGTGTGTAAGTTTTTTTTTGATACAACGGGTGATTTTTTAAGAGGTATAAGGATTTGATTTAAAAAAAAATTTGAAAAAACAATTAAATCTTAATTTGAGTCGATAGAACGGTCGATATAATTTAATGTTTAAAGATTATTTCATGTAAATGTTGGCCGCGGTTCCGCTTTAGATGGCCCATGCGCAAGGTCCAATTTTGGCACACGCTCTCCAACATATCGGCCGGTATCTCACGAATAAATGCTTCAATATCGGCTTCCAGTGCGTCACTTGTTGCTGGCTTGTCCCTGTAGACATTAGCCTTAACATGGCCCCACAAGAAATAGTCCAACGGCGTTAAATCACACGATCTAGGCGGCCAATTGACGGGCCCCAAACGTGAGATAAACTGTTCACCGAACTCGCCTCTCAATAGGGCTATTGTTTCGTGTGCGGTGTGGCATGTGGCACCGTCTTGTTGAAACCACATGAGAGCCAAGTCCAGCTCTTCCATTTTGGGCAAAAAAAAGTTTGTTATCATCGCACGGTAGCGCTCGCCATTCACAGTTACGTTCCGGCCATTGTCGTCTTTGAAGAAGTACGGCCCGATGATGCCACCGGCCTATAATCCACACCAAACAATGATTTTTTCGGGATGCATTGGTAGCTCTTGCAATGCTTCTGGCTGGTCTTCACTCCAGATGCGCCAATTTTGCTTGTTAACGTAGCCATTCAACCAGAAATGAGCTTCGTCGCTGAACACAATTTTTCGATAAAAATGTGGATCTTCCTCCAATTTTGCCAGGGCCCATTCACCAAATTGGAAACGTTGTGGGAGGTCGTGTGGCTTCAATTCTTGCACCAGCTGTATCTTATAAGGTTTTACACCCAAATCCTGTCGCAAAATTTTCCACGTAGTGGAGTAACAGAGGCCCAATTGCTGCGAACGGCGGCGAATCGACATTTCACGGTCATCACTAACACTGGCGGATACAGCTGCAATATTTTCTTCAGTCCTCACTCTGCGTCTGCGTGTTGGTGGTTTAATGTCCAATAATGTAAACTGGGTTCGAAATTTAGTCACAAGTTTCCGAATAGCTCCCTCAGTAGGCCGACCAAATTGCCCATAAATTGGAAGCAGTGCTCGGTGCACTCTCTTAACCGAGCATGAATTTTGATAGTAAAATTTAATAATTTGCATGCGTTGTTCGTTCGTAAGTCGATTCATGGTTAAATTATAGACCAAACTGAACAAGTTTGACAATGACACAAGACACGATTCACGCGTCATCTGTCAAAAACAGTGTTGACAAAAAGATACTAGCAAAAAAAATCACACATTAAAATTCAGCATTCCAAATTTCAAAATGGCGGACTTAAAGGAGGTTTTTCTAGACAAAACACCTCATATCTCAGTTGATAATTACCAAAACCCCATAGCATGTAATATCAATTTTCTTCTTTTGAATTGGTTTATCCAGAAATGCAATAAAATTTGAGGCATTCCATTTAAAAAATCACAACTTTGATATGTAGGTCGGAATTGGGACACCCTGTATAATGGCCAATATTTCAGAAATGTGCAAATATCAGGTATAACATGCGATAAATAGATTTTCCCAAAATGTATTTGTTTATGAGTAATATTCCGTCCACATATGGGTGCGAGTCATGATTTTTACTCGTAAAATAAAAAATAATTTGTCATATACCAGACATAAGCATGCCTTCCATTTAAATTTAAAAACCCTGCATATGTTTAAAATCCGTTTTCCATTAAGGCCTGATGAGTTTCGAAAATTATATTCAGGCCAAAAAAATTAAGAAACCCTATTTGCAAAGATGACGATGCGCCTTTCGGTTTGGATTTATATTATTGTTATGTATTAATTTAAATCGTTCTGCAGTACAATTGATACCTTTGATGACAATCTCGGCAAGTTACAGCACCTTTCAGAGTAGTGTAGTAACACACTGTATAGGAATGTGACAAGGAAAAAAACAAATAAAGTGTGACCTGGAAGACAAATAAATAAAATACATTGTCATAAGAGTTTCAATTGTACTGAAGAAGGACACCGTCGGGACCGAAACGTATACACTAAGGAAGAATTTTGAAGTTCAATGTACCAGGTTCATCACAAGGAGGACACCCATTTTGTTCTGGAGGCGACATATTGGCCTCATCACAAGGTGGACACCCATATTGTTCTGGAGGAGGCAGATTCGCTTCGTCACAAGGCGGACACCAATATTGTTCTGGAGGCAGCATATTGGCCTCATCACAAGGTGGACACTCATATTGTTCTGGAGGCGGCAAATTGGCTTCGTCACAAGGCAGACACCCATACTGTTCTGGAGGCGACATATTGACCTCATCACAAGACGGATGCCCATATTGTTCAGGAGGCGGCACAATGGCTTCGTCATAAGGTGTGACATACTGTTCCTGTTGTGGAGGCATGGGGGGTGGACAAATACACTGCTTCTGTTGATAGAATGTTAAACTGATAGTGATTAAAGTTTGAACAGTAAATTCGTTCTAGTTCAAAAAATGCAGATTGAATTTTTCGAGCGACAGTAAAGTAAATGGAGGCCATGATGTTGAACCATAGCGTCTTCGTATTCGTTACTTAAACATCGTGTCCGTAGCAACCATCTTTATAAGCTCCAACACGCACTTAGAGTCCTATAACCATGTCACTAAGGGAGACTTGAGGCAGAACCCGAAAATTAATACAGGCTCCAACTACTCCTAGTAATGATGATGAACTTAGCTTAGCTTGTACTTGTGCTGCAAACTGATCCAAAGAGACATACTTGCTGCTGAGGAGATGATTCCCCTTCGTATGGACAGCCGCATTGCTTAAGTTGTGGTCCACCTTTTGAGGGGCAAGAAAACTGAACTTGATGTGTTGGAGGAGGCAATGCTACCTCATCGCGTGGAGGACCGTCTCCGCCAATTTTCAAAAACTACAAAGTTCTTACGTTCTTGACATAGTACCAGCGACAGATAGACCGACGGAAATGGTTTTTCGTGATATATGCATCCAAAAAACATATCTCATTTTTGAAAATTTTCGCCAGTAGGCGTGGAAGTAAACGTTATTCACGATAACTCAAAGGCTTATAAAACAAAAGAAAAAAATCATGTTCGTGTAACAAAATTGCTCCCGTAAAAAAAATATTTTCGAAAAAACACGTTTTTGAGATTATTTGTATTGATCATAATTTGGAAACTTTTGGAGCACTTTTCATATGTAGTTTCGCCTGAAGCCAATTTTAGGAGAAACTGACTATATTTAACATATTAGATCATTAACTTAAATCCGCGGATCAATTCACTATTCACATGCAGATCAAACAATAGTAAAATTGAGCCTAGATGTAATTTTTTTCTAGTTCATAAGTATCAGGTAACTAAATAAGTTCGTGCGGTTGCTGTATATCGCACATTGCCATGGCCTTTGTTGATCGATAGCGATTGTTTGTTACCTGTTGTCACTTTAGTATAAATCCTTCTTTTATCACACACATAAAACGTTTCTGAAAATTGTTACATAGCTAGTTTTAATAATTGAAAATGGCGACGAATAAAACAGTAATTCGAAGTTGTTTACTTTATGAGTACAAACTTGGTACAAAAGCTGCAGCGGCGGCGCGAAAAGTATGCCCTGCATTCGGAGATGATGTCGTTAGTGATCGAACAGCACAAAAGTGGTTCAAAAAATTTTCTTCGCGAGATCTCTCAGCGATGAACCGCGCTCAGGGAGACCAAAAATCATGGACAACGAGGATCTTCGACAGGTTGTGAACGCAAATTCCAGGACAACGTGCCAAGAACTCGCAGAAATGTTCAGAGTGAGTCCTGAAACTATTCGTTTGCATCTTCATCAGCTAGGAAAGACGTGGAAGTTAAGTAAATGGGTCCTACATGAACTGACAAATGATAACAAATTAAGTCGTCTTAACCATTTGTTCAGCAAACATTTCACGCAACGCTAATGAACCATTTCTTAATCGTTTATTAACCTGCGACGAAAAATGGATCTTATATTCGAATTCTAAGCGTTCGTATCATTGGTTGTCGCCTACTAATTCGGTACCACACACGCACAAGGCTTTCTTGCACCCAAACAAGGTTTTGTTGTGTGTTTGGTGCACAGCAACTGGAATTGTCCATTATGAGTATACTGGTAACTTGTATTGAGAGCAGCTTCAACGAGTTTAAGCAGCACTCATCCAGAAACAGCCTTCTTTGATCAATCGGAAGAAAGTGATATTCTTGCAGCATAACCCCAAGCCTCATACCGCAAAAGTGACCTGAGAAAAAATTTCTGAACCTGGTGGGAAACGTTACCGCAACCACCATATTCTCCCGACATTTCGCCCAATGATTATCACCTTTTTTTGTCTCTTGACAACTGTATGAGGAACCGACAGTTCAGAACTCGAGATGGTGTAATAAATGCAGTCTGCCAATTTGTTTACTCCAAATCCAGGGAGTTCTACAATACCGGCATACAAAAATTGGTTCCACGTTGGCAAAAGGTCATTGAATGTGATGGTAATTACTTCGACGAATAAATAGTGTAATGATTTCTCAATAAAATTTTATATTTTTCTACTGAAAACCGCACGAACTTATACTAAGTGACATATAAATCCGAACACCCAGTTTAAATGGTTTTATTTTAATAAAAGTTGGTGAATGTATTTATCTTACTGTAAATAACAAGTGAAAAAATTTCCAGCCTTATCAGTTGGACATTCCGGTTTTTATATTGCTTTTTTTTAATTCACTAACACTCTAAAAATGAATATTTCAGCCACAGTAAAGAATCAACGTTGGCGGATTTTGGTTCTTGACATCCTTTACGATCGGTTACGATGCCTAGAGTACGGAGACCTGTACGATTTCGTCAACTTAGTGAGTTTGATAGGGGCCGTATAGTGGGACTTCGGGAAGCTGGACTTTCTTTTCGGGCAATTGCAGTTAGAGTGCAAAGAAGTGTAGACACTGTGGTTAGGTGTTGTTAGGCATGGCTTCGAGAAGGACGTACGCAAAGAGCAAGGGGCACTGGACGCCGCCGTAGAACAACAGACCGTGAAGATCGCCGCCTAAGATTATTGGCCTTAAGGGACCGTTTGTCCACTACCAGGTCCATTGCAAATGAATGGTTTGCAGAACACGGAAGACCTATTGGCATACGAAGTGTTTACCGACGAATGAGAAGTTTTGGCTTGTTTTCATACCGGCCACACTGGGTCTTCCTTTAACTCGAGAACACCGACGTAATCGCCTTAAGTGGTGCAGACAACGGTCACTCTGGGATCAGGAATGGAACAGTATTGTCTTTAGTGACGAGTCTCGATTTTGTTTAGGCATGCACGATGGTCGTTCCAGGGTTAGAAGGCGACGAGGTGAAACGAGGAATCCACAGTTTTTTGTTGAAAGACATGTTCATCACACTGTTGGAGTTATGGTTTGGGGTGCTATAGCTTATGGTTCCAGGTCACCTTTAATCTTCATCAGAGGTAACATGAACGCGCAGCGTTATATCCACGAAGTTCTAGAACCCCATCTTTTACCCTATCTTGACACCCTGGCAGATCCAACTTTCCAACAAGATAATGCCCGACCACATGTTGCAAGAGTCACAATAGACTTCTTTCAACATAATGATGTCACATTGTTACCATGGCCACCAAGATCTCCCGACTTATCCCCAATTGAGCACGTGTGGGATATGATGGGTAGGAGATTGCTCAATTTGCAACGTCCTCCTCAGACTCTAGAAGCACTTCGAGAGGAGTTGGTGGTTGCCTGGAATGAGATACCACAGGAGGACATTGACCACCTGATCAGAAGCATGCCTAGGCGCGTTGGAGAATGCGTAGCACATCAGGATGCATCCACACATTATTAAAGGTCAAAGGACTTTAAAGCAGTGCAATCATTTTGAAATTTTTATCATTTACTTATTATGCTTCATTAAGTACTTATACAAAATTTTATTAAAACAAAACCATTTAAACTGGGTGTTCGGATTTATATGTCACTTAGTATATTTGGTTACATGATAGTTTGGTAAATATATGGTTATCTACCTGTTGCTGTGACATCATCACAGACTGCTGGGTCAAATCGAAACATGGCACACAACTATCTGGAGGCTGGGGAGTGTCATCACCTGGAAGACTGCAATCTCCTCCACATTCTGGATTGCATGGTGGTTTTGGAGGAGGCGGATTGGTAGCTGCCAGGAAACCTCTACAGGAAGCCTACGATACAAAAGATCAGGATAAAATAGAACAGAATGGATGTTTATTTAGCTATAAGATATAATATTACAAAAAAATGAACCTAACAGAAAACACACATCACTTGCCCTTAGTTTCTTAATCCTTCAAGAAAAAAAATACTTCCAATGTCTTGGTCTTGAACTTGAGCTGTAGAACATCATGTAACAATCCTTTAACAATTATTATTTCCATCTAATTGCTATTTTCATTAGAGTGTTCTTTCTTTGACTTTTTGGATCTCGTTTAAGCATAGTAACAATTACCGCAGGTATACATTCAAGCCTTACATGCTTTCTTTATATTATTTTGACTGCAATATGGACACATTGCAACAGAATCACACTTCTCTGCACGATGTCTAAGTTGCCACACTAAGAAATTGTAAGATTTATGACTATTTATTTTCAAATATATTGACATTTTTTTCCAGCAGCTTAATTATACAGCTCTATTATTAGACTACATGCTTAGCTTCTACTTTGACTATTCGTTTTTTTATGAATTATTTTAACTTTACTACTTCTTAGTTCCTCAGGAACACTTTGCTTTGAAATTTAGACCCAAACACTTCATCATTCAGTTCATCCTCACAAACAATAGTAATTTTTATTTTCGGTTTAACTGTACTGCCAGTTTTAATTTCATAATCTTCGCCTAATGTTAGTTCCGCTTGATTAACAGCTATATCTAACATACGTCTCAAGGATTCAATAAGGATTTTTTCGCGAGTCCACGGTGTATCACAGTGCACTACCGGGAACCGATACTCAAATTTTCGGGAAGAACGGGAATAGGGGAAGACGGATGTGACGTAGTCCGAATGTCAAAAAATCACGTGGTACGGGTACCCGCCTAACGTCTGTGAGGTACTAGCGGGTGACAGGTCTTATGTCAATTTCATTTAAAAAACAGGCATCTCATTTGAAAATTTGTCTTCGCAGTGCCGAAAATTGAGTTAAATTATTAAATCATAAATGGAGGAACACGTCCACCTGATCTTAAATGACGAGGGAGAAGGTCATTGCAGATATATGAACCGCACTTGTCATATCAGATGATTGATTTTATTGATATATATATATATACAGGGTGTTCCATAATTATTGCGACAAAATGATAGGGGTTGTAGAGGGCATAAAAATATGCAATTTTGCCTTATAAACTCCTGTTCGTAAATATGCCGTTTGAGCACTACCGCTAATTTTACCTTAAGAGCTCATAGGAGAAACAAAAAATGCACCAGCTGCAAAATGTTCGTCTAGCACATTTCATGGTCTCGCCGGTTTGTAAAAAAAAGCCTGCTGTGTTTACATTTTTGTTATTGTAAATTCTCCACACCGATTCATTTAATTTATCTGAGTGGTGCGTCAAACTAGATAGTAAATAACAGTACCTTAGTGTTAAAATACAGCGTTATTCGTATGCAGAACTTGCGGATATGCATTTAATTTACGGAGGAGCTGGTGGTAACGGAAGGCGAGCCTCGCGAATCTACGCCCAACGGTTTCCAGAACGTCCTCATCCGCATCACGCCATTTTTGCAAGGATTCATGGACGTCTTCGTGTCAGTGGCAGCATCAGACACCTCGCGGGAGCAGGGCGGCCGTTCACGAGGCGCACAGTGGAATTTGAGGAAGCGATTCTGCATCATGTAGAGGCCAATCCGCGTACAAGCGTGCGTGCTATTTGCACATGATATGGGAGCGTCTCAAACTACTGTTTGGAGGGTTCTCCATAACCAGCAACTACACCCATACCACCTTTTAAAAGTCCAAGCCATGGGTCCCGAAGACTATCTGCCGCGTCGACGTTTTTGTCGTTGGTGGCTGCAGCAGGAGTTGAGGCAACCAAACTTTGGTCGCTACGTTTTGTTCACTGACGAGTCCTGTTTTACAAAGGACGGTTATTTTAATAGCCGTAACAGTCACATTTGGGATGAAGAAAACCCTCATGCCATAGCCATCCATAGAGACCAACATCAGTTTTCAATTAATATCTGATGCGGCATTGTGGACGAGCATATCATCGGGCCATATTTGCTTCCACCACGTTTGGATGGGCATGTTTATGGTCGATTCTTACAGCATGTGCTACCGGAACTATTAGAAAAAGTGCCACTGAACATAAGAGCCAACATGTGGTTTCAACACGATGGCGCTCCAGCCCACTTTTCTTTACAAGTGAGGCTGTATTTGGACGACAAATTTCCAAATAGGTGAATAAGCCGAGGTGGCACTGTGCCTTGGCCTGCGCGGTCACCCGACCTGACCCCACTGGATTATTTTCTCTGGGGCCATCTGAAAGCTTTAGTGTACGAAACTCCTGTTCCCAACCAACAAGAGCTACTGGGAAGAGTGATGGCCGCGTCCGCACATGTTCAGGACATACCAGGGGTATGCCACAGAGTTCGCCGATCATTGAACAATCGTGCACAGCTGTGTATTGAGCAAGGTGGAGGACACTTTGAGCAATTACTGTAGGTAAGCTGTTTCAAGAAACTGATCTTTTTTTTTGCTGCAGCCCAAACGGCATATTTCCGAACAGGGGTTTATAAGGCAAAATTGTTCATTTTGATGCCCTCTACAACCCCTATCATTTTGTCGCAATAATTTTGGAACACCCTGTATATATACATTGCATAAAAAACGATCGATCTTTTTATTTTTATTTCAGAGTCAAAAATGGCAACTTAGTTTATGAAGGAGCTTAAAACAAACATTTTGCGCAACATGCGCCATCTAACCACTCCCGGTGTAACTTAAAACTGTCAAAACTTTGAAAGGAAGGGGAAATTCCATCTGTTCCCGCTCCGGTTCACTACGGGATCTCGCGAAAAAATCTCTCATGTTTGAGTTAGTACATTTTTTGTGTCAGTGATACTTTTGTTTTTGTGTTTTGGTTTAACTACCAATGGCTTAACTTTATCGTTTCATACCACATTTGACCTCAACATGTTATCTTCTACAGATTTTTAACTTTCCGATAATTCTATCAATTTTGGAGGTTTCGCTAGAAATTGATCAGTTTTATCTTCATTTTCGACAATTTGATTGGACAACAAAGTTATGTTTTTCTTTTTGTCTGGAGTGTTCATTTACTGGTCGGTCTATGAGTTTTCTTTTCGCTAGTAAATTATTTTTCTTTTCAATTATAAATCAAATTTTCATTCCTTCTTTCCTTTTCCCTCTATTTTTTTTCTACTGCGGATATTAGATAACCATATAATGGACGTACAAACTTCTTTTTAGCTACTAGAATGCTTCTATCATCGTTAAGCTATATTGTTCAATTCATTAGGTGAAATTACGTGATTGGTTCTATAGCTACTCTATTACTACTTAATTAGTATATTACTTACTGGGATTACAGGTGGCGGAGTGATGTTCTGAGCAGCTTCGTACATCGTGGAGATATCCTGTAACAATATAGTAATTTTTATTTCTCTTTATGATAAATGTGAGATATAACATGAACAAATACATACAGGCAATTTATATGTTACGTTGTTCCTTTTTGAAGTGGATGGGGCAGCTGGAGGAGGTTGAGGAAAGAAATCGCTCTGATGACTCATTTGAGCAGTTTGGTATATAATGCTATTACCGTTATCTGAAAGAGAAAATGTGCGTAGGTAGATTGGTTATTTCAGGTTATTTTGAGCTCCAACAAAACTGTTCTTCCATTTATACTGACTCCAAAATGTTGTTGTGTTTTATAGTATCTATGAGTAATGAAGATTCCTACTAAGCTATAGAAAACGAAAGACTTACAGTTACATTTGGATGGGTCAATTGTTGACGACACTCCGGAATCAGGCCAGATAGGGCTGGGCGTGGGCTGATTTAGCATAAAACTGGAAGAAATATTTATACATAGTATCAGTTTCAAAATTGTACCAATATCAAAAGTGTGACATGACTGGACTTCTAATGTGTACCGTGCCGAAATGAAGCACCGGCACGAAATCTAATAGTTGTACTGAAAATATGTGCCACGGAGCTCGCTTTTCTCGTCTCTTCCAGATCTTTAACGAACTCGGCGCTTTCCCAGAAAACTGGAAATTCGCTCTTATCGAGCTCATCCTCAAAAAGGATCTAAGACCGGTCCTTACCTACATGCATGTACCTCTGTTTTTTGTTATAAGTAAGGTGATGAGACGGTGCCTAAATCGAGAGCTTCTGATTGTTTTGAAATTCCTTGATCTTCTGTTGAGCATGCTACTATCACTCTCCGTTAGAGTTTAGTAATAATAATAAACGTCTTTATTCGCCAAACATCTACCAATAAACATACATTTGTATAAAAAAAGAGTTTGGCGAAGGGTGAAGATCAGATGGCCTCCACTGATGTGACACATCTGTTCTTCCACTTAACCCTGAATATACAGGGTGTTCCTTAATGATATGCGAATATTGATATGATATTTGAAAGACTTGGGAGTAGTGTTCGATAACAAACGCACTTTTAACGATCACATATCAGATATTAAGAATATTGTATTTTTTATTTATCAGGACTAAGAGTATGCATCCTTAGTATGGTCCCCTATATCCGAATGCAATCGGAAACTGGAGGCTGTACAACGTAAAGCTCTAAAGTATTGGTATTTTAAGTGCAGTGGTAGATACCCATTGAATCACTAAGGAATCGTCGTGACGGTCAAGCTCTCACTTTCCTTTATAAGTTAATGAATAATGATATTGATTGTGGGTTCCTACAGAGTAAGATTAATTTTCATGCTCCCAGATTAGCTGGTCGGCATAATCACATATTTTACTGTGATACACCATGGACGAATATTTTATGCAGATCCCCAGTAATGGTAATGTGTACCTTATTCAATTCAATCTGTAACAGAGCTGATGTATGTCATGACAACATTAATTTTTCATGTAGATTCACGCCCTTAAATACTCGCATATTATTAAGGAACACCCTGTATATAATTTATATAAAGGCATGAGCTCCCTTATAGCAAAATTATTCCAACGAAGAAGGATTGCAAGACCTCTCGAAGCATCCATCTTCGACGAAGATATCCAGTGGACCGACAAAGTCAAATATCTGGGGATCGTATTTGACAAGTCCCTCACCTGGAAAGACCACATAGAAGCTGTCATCGCAAAGACTAGAGCAGCCATGGCTCAACTCTACCCATTACTGGGTAGACACAGCCGGATGCCGCTAGCGACCAAGCTACGGCTGATCAAGGCGATCGCCAAACCTCAGCTCGCTTACGCGTCCGCGATCTGGGGGTACGCTGCTCCCAGCTACCGCAAGCGACTTGCTGCTCTAGAGATGAAGCTACTCCGGATCGCCACCAATGCACCATCCTACGTAAGGAACTCAACCTTGCGTAGAGAAATGCATTGGGATACCATTCACGAGTACATGAGGAAAAAAGCGGAGAAGACCTTTCAGAAAGCTCAGGACCACCCGAATGAGCAGCTACGATTCCTCATGGACTACGATCCGGACGAGAGGCCTCGCAACCGCAGAACCAGGTACCCTAGACCAACGTCCCAGTTGGCACCCGCTAACTGGAACCTTGACTAGGAGACTAGGAGAACCCGCGGTTGCTCCTCCCCCCCCCCCGCGGCGTGGATGCAGAGGACCAGGAACCACCGGGACCAGGACCCACCGGGACCAGGACCAACCAGGACCAGGACCCGCCACGACCAGGACCCACCAGGACCAGGACCAGGAACAATATATAGGTAAGAGGACTTGAAACTCTTGATTTTTCGAAAACAAGAGTTTCAAGAGAACCTAGCAGACCCTCTATCGATGATCGCTTAGCGACATCGATAGAATGTGCGAGGTAAAGGGAACCAACCCGGCGTTCCCAGAGACTGAAACACATGAGGAGACGTTGTAGCAGACCGCAGGTCATGCACAACACATGGTCTACCGAGACGCTGATGAGTCGGGCCACGCGGAGGTTAGGGTTTAGTGGGTATTAGGTGGTCTCCTCAAGACAACCTGGAGTCCCACACACGCCGTAGCTCGGGCTATGGTATGGTGCGTAAACGCATTCCCCCCTCACCAAAAAAAAAAACAAAATTAAAGGTCGGGCATATTGGCGGTTCCATAACTTATGTTTCCGTCTCAGGAGGGGGGGGTATGGTGCCGGCAATTGAAAATTGAATGTTATTCAATTTAACAAAAAAATACCTTGAAGTTCCTATTTCACAGCTTGATGGTTTTTGGCACTAGATTTTTATTGACAGTGCGAGTAACTCTGGGTAAACTAAAATTTTATAAAATAAAAAATCGCGGATCTTAAACGCAAAAATCAAACTTGAGATTTATATTTCATGAGATACAGTCTAACAGCTTGATGGATTCTGAAATTTGAGGTGTCTTTACAGACGTCTTGATAGCACAATTGTTTCCTCATTTCTTCATTTTTTCCCGTTATTGCAGCCTTATTGTAATTTTTTAAAATGTACATGTCCCTTTCTTCATGGCCTTGGGGGAGGCGGTTGTGACACATCTCTCAAATTCAGATCCAGCAAAGTAATGTTCGCGCTTCTTCTCAAGAGGAAGCTAGGGGGAAACGCCCCTCCTTGCCCCCTAATGGGTGCCCATGTAGGCGAGGCGATTCGTTATTCAGGTACATCCTAGCATGTGTACCACTTGAAATGCAGCTAAAAAAATAGGTATGCCGAGCTTAACAAGTCTCACACATCAGGTGGTGATGGCTACAAATTGATACTATCATCAGGTTTTTCCTTCTAGCTGAGCTGTTGGACTGTTATTCAGGCTAAATCTAACGATGAAAACTATAAGCTGCTTACTTTAGATCTAGACGATCCTGCTGTGGTATGCTGCTGGAACCTGGTTGGAAACCATCGTTGTTCCAGTTTTGCTGGAACTGCTGAGGCGCTACAAAAATAAAAATTGTTCAGATACAGATTATAATATGCATAATATGAGATACATTAAAAATAGCTGTCTTCGGGTTGAACTGCATTCTCCGACTCGTATTTTTCTTATGCATCTTCAAACTGTAAATATCTGAGATCCAAAATCTGGTACTGGGTATTAGTAACTTACAGTACTCGCGGGTAATGTCAAACATCGTGCTCGACCTAAAGCTTTACCAAAAGTTCACGAGCAAGTCACCATCAAAGGGGAGGCCTAATGTTTAAATAATATTAATAATAATAATAATAATAATAAAATCAGACAACGGTAAGGGATGGAAAGGCAGGCTAAAAGCTAGCATCCAGAACTTAAGGAAGGACCTGTCTCGGTTTTCGGAACTGCGATGTGTAACAAATGTCCGTAATCGCAAAATGAACAGTTTGGTCAGAGCTTACAAAATCCAGAGCATAGAAGACCTGGAGACAAGGAAAGAGGAGCTCAAACAAAAGATCTCGGCAAAGGCACAAAGACTGCGAAGATACACAGAACGGCAACAGCAGTATTCCGAAAATATGAGGTTTGAAACGGATACTAAGGGTTTCTACAGAAATCTAACACAAGAAAAAATAGAGCTGGTACAGCTTCCATCAAAGGACCGTGTCCAGCATTTCTGGAAAGCTCTGTGGGAACAGCAACCATCACATTACGAAACAGCAGAATGGATAGGCAGGTTTGAAAGCGAAAACAACTACAGCATGACATGGTGCGAAATAGACCAAATAGAAGTCACAGAAAGTTTTCGATCAGCTGCCAACTGGAAAGCTCCTGGTCATGATATGGTGCCCAATTTTTGGTACAAATCCCTGAAAGCAACGCATCGACATTTAGCTCGAATATACAATGAATTGATCAACTCAGAATACTTTCCTAGCTGGCTAGCCACAGGAAAAACCACTCTGATACCCAAAAACCAAGACACAGCTGTGCCTGCCATCAATCTATAAGAATTTTACTTCAATTCTCTACCAAAGAATCTATGCCCACATCGAGCAAAACAACATTCTGCCGCCGGAACAGAAGGGATGCTGTAAAGGATCCAAGGGATGTAAAGACCAACTCATGCTTTCGAAGTATATCTTAGACGACTGCAGAAGACGTAAACGAAATCTAACTTTAGCCTGGATTGACTACAAGAAAGCTTTTGATTCAGTTCCCCACTCATGGATTCTAAAAAGTCTGCAACTTGTCGGTGTGAACGACAAAATCATTGAGCTTTGCAAACGAATGATGACTTCTTGGAGTACCACGGTTCATCTAAAAGGTCCAAATACTGAGATCGTCACATCAAAAATTAATATCAGAAGAGACATCTTCCAAGGGGACGCCCTGTCACCTCTTCTTTTCTGTATCTCACTCATTCCTTTGTCTGCTGAACTGAATAGAATGAGAGCTGGCTACATTTTAAATGGTTCCAAAGTCAACCACCTTCTCTATATGGATGATCTGAAACTGATTGGAAAAAATGAGACAGATCTAGAAGAACAAATCAATACAGTTAGACGATTCAGCGATGATATCCATATGGAGTTTGGGCTGGATAAGTGCGCGCAGGCTATTTTCAGAAAAGGAAAGGTGCAAAGGAAGAACCACATGGAAGAGACACAGTTCTATCAAATTGAAGATGCTGATACTTATAAATATTTAGGTATTGACGAAGGAGAACGGATAAATCATAACCTAATCAAACAGAAGGTCAAGAAGGAATACGTTAGAAGACTCAGGCTGCGACTCAATAGTCATCTGTACAGCAGAAATAAGATCCGCGCGCTAGGTCAATTTGCATTGCCAGTCCTTGTTTATAGTTTTGGCGTAATCGATTGGCAATTGGAAGAAATAAAATCAATCGACCGAAAAACGCGTAAACTGCTAACATTATATGGTATGCTACATCCTCGCGCCGACACCGACAAGCTTTACGTTTCCAGGAAAGAGGGAGGCAGGGGACTGCAGCAAGTGGACGCAGCCTACAAGTCAGCAATACTCAGTATAAGCCACTACTGTGAAAACAGCCCAGGCAGAATGATGATGATTGCCCGAAATTACGATCTCTCTTTGCCAGTAACTAAGTCCCTTATACAAACTGCAACAAAATTCCGTCGCCAGTTATCTATACGGGAATCCTTAGGGCCAGACTTGCAGAAAAGAAAGGTGACGTGCAAAATATCTATCCAGTCGGCACTGAGGGAGAAATGGCAAGGGAAGGCCCTGCATGGACAATATGTTACCCGAGTACTTCAAAACCATAACCTCAGCAAAGAAGACACAGTGAGATGGCTCACAAGAGCAAACGTGAAGGGTGAAACAGAAAGTCCCATAACAGCGGCACAAGATCAAGCCTTAAATACCAACTACCATTCAAACCGGATACTGGGAAGAAACAACGATCCCAAATGTAGGATATGCAAAGAGAAGGATGAAACCATATCTCACGTAATGTCTTCATGCCCTATCCTCGCTCAGCGCGAATACGTTACACGACACGACAGAGTTGCCAAGATCTTGCACCACTCAATCTGCAAACATTTCGATATTGACGTTAAACAGCGTTGGTATGATCATGAACCACAGCAGGTTGTAACTGCAACTAATGTCACCATTCTTTGGAATCAGCCTATAATAACAGACCGAACAATTGCTGCCAACAAACCGGATATCGTTATCAAAGACCATAAAAGTAAGTTATGCACTATAATTGATGTTGCAGTACCATCAGATTACAACGTGAAAGACAAAGAGGCTGAAAAGTTTCTAAAGTACCGGGATTTGTCTACTGAGATAAACAGAATGTGGCAAATGCGTACGCACATAGTACCAATTATAATAGGTTCCACAGGTGCCGTGTCTAAGAATTTTGACGCATATGTAAAGGCAATCTCAGGTACCTTAAACCCTTACCAACCTCAAACTGTAGCTATATTCGGTACAGCCCACATTATAAGAAAGGTCATAACGTAACGTCTAACCTAAGGGGTAAGGCATACCCCCGGTTTTGACGAAGAAAGTAATCCAGCCACCAACAATCAAGAGCTGAGAAATTTGAAAGAAATAATAATAATAATAATTCGATTAAAATCTGAAGTTTACTCATTTACCTAGTTTAGGAATTCTGACATTTACCCATTTACACATGTGATTATATATTTACATGTACGAGTATACTTTAAATTTATGTATTTTTACTTATACTTACAATGATACATTATATTATTAAATGCGGCTAGTAACCATAGAAGTTGATGCCGTTAATAAATAATAATAATAATAATAATAATATGTCTTTATTGCATCATTAACATCACAAAACGACACTACTCAACCAATATTTGGAAATATCAAAAAGTCCAAATTAAGTATATGTAATATGTACAATAAAACTATAAAAACGTCAGTTACTGTATACGTGATAAATTGCTTATAAAATTTTAATGTGACTGTGTTACTATGCGCTGAAAATACAGGGTGGCGCATCGAAAACGAATCAGACGCATTAACTGGCAGCTCAGTTTTTTTTGGAAAAACGCTCAGACCTGTCGATTTTGTTTTCGAGGTGGACACAAGTATAGCAAAAAAACACGTTAGCACGTAAGCGGGGGTGACACCACCCTCAAAATATTAAATGGAAAGGAGGGGTCGAGTGATACCTTATTTTAAAGGTCTCTCAATTCCCTTTATAATGATATAAAATTAATGTACTTCAGTTCAGTAATTTTGAAGATTTATTGATTTAAAGCTTAAATAAAACTAACACATCATCATTAGTGGAGATTCAATACGTTTGGCAGCAAAGTAATTTAAAAACGAAAAATGAACTGACCCGTTAGGCAAGTAAATGTTGAAAATGGCCACCATGACTCTCCATGCAATAATAAAGATTTTGCTCAAAACGTTGCCCCACATTTTGCAATATTTGAGGAGTAATTTGAAGGCACTCATTTACAATTCTTTGTCGCAGGTCTTCTAATGATGTTGGCTGAGTAGCATAGATTTTGCTTTTTAAATGACCCCACATAAAGAAATCCAAAGGTGATAAATCTGGCGATCTTGGGGGCCATTCAATGGCATCTCTTCTACCAATCCATCGATCTGGAAACGTCTGATCTAAATATTGTCGAACACGTAATGCGTAATGTGGTGGGGCACCATCCTGTTGGAACATCAACCTATTCGCAATGTACCGCCGATCATTCTGATTTTCAATTATGGCTGTTAATGCAGGATCTATGGCGTCTTCCAGTAATTCCAAATACATTTCACCGGTCAAATTTCCAGGTAAGAAAAAAGGACCAACTAAATGATCCCCAAAAATACCAACCCAAACATTTAATTTTTGTGGCTGCTGTGTATGAACCTCATGATAAATTCTAGGATTAGAATTCGACCAATATCGGCAGTTATGACGATTTACTACGGCATTTAAGAAAAAGGAACATTCGTCGGAAAAGCAAGTGTTGAATAGAAAATGTTCATCGTTTATAATTCGTTCACTCATATCTTCACAAAATTGTAATCGCCGATCAAAATCGTCTTCCTTAAGTTCTTGTACCAGGTGAATTTTATACGGTTGAAAACTGTGGGCGTTTAGAATCCGTTGGACAGTACGTCGACTAACACCACATACAGTCTCCAATTTGCGAGTACTTAACGTAGGATTTACATAAACTTGCCCTAGTTCTATTGCTTCGGTCCTTATGGGATTTTCAATGTTGCGTTTTTTATTGGTGACTGACCCAGTTTCCCGAAATTTAACTACAAGTTCTAGAACATATTTTCGATGCACGTTACTGTTATCATGTCGCTCATTAAATATTTCTGCTATTCTAATAGCGCACTGATTATTTCCGAAAAGTATTTCGATAATTTCAACTCTTTCTGCTGTGGAATATACCATGGTTAATTTATATAATAAAGCATTACAAGTTATTTTAGCAACAAATTTTGGTCAAATCAATCGCAAACTATGTACTAAATTCCTATTTAAAATAAGTACGAGATATTTCCTTATCTTTCTTCAAGAAATAACTTTTTTGCCACAAAAAAGCTATTTTCAACAACAAAATGATAAACAAACCATAGGCGTAGTGAAGAACAGCATTTACTTATTAAGTAAATTCTTTAGTCAAATTTCTTCTGAAAGTAGTACAAACTAATCTGATGTACCTATTAAAGTCTACTTTAAGCTTTAAATCAATAAATCTTCAAAACTACTGAACTGAAGTACATTAATTTTATATCATTATAAAGTGAATTGAAAGACCTTTAAAATAAGGTATCAGTCGACCCCCCTTTCCATTTAAGATTTTGGGGGTGGTGTCACCCCCGCTTAGGGGGCTGCACGTACTAACGTGATTTTTTGCCAAACTTGTATCCCCCTCGAAAACAAAATCGACGGGTCTGAGCGTTTTTCAAAAAAAAAAACTGAGCTGCCAGTAAATGCGTATGTTTCGTTTCGATGCGCCACCCTGTACATTTTTTTAATAGTAACTTAAATTTATGGTGATTTGCTGTATTCCTAATATTGATGTCTAATGAATTATAATATTTAGCGGGGTTATATGAGTAAGAGCGCTGAAACTTTGCTGTGCGATGTCTTGGTATGGATAATTAAATTTAAATCATGAATGCTTGTTCTAAATGTTAGCTTCTTTCATAAACGCAGTGGTGAATAAATATTGGAACAGGTATATTACTCTGTTTAAACCTATGTCATTTGGTGTAAGTTATATACCTCTTAAGGTCCCATCTATAACGGAATAGTCATATCCAGGTTGGTTCGATTCCCAGATGATCCTATCCATGGCTTGTTCACTTATTCCCTCTGGAGCTTCCATGGAGAACACCTGTGTCTGTACCGGTCCACCTGTCTGCTGTTTCCTGGAGAAACTCTTGATGCTTTTGATGTTTTGTTCACCTTTGAAGAATCATGCAATATTATAATATACATTATTTCAATCGTAGAAGTTTAACAAAGACGAAGTACTCCTAAAAATGGTGAAGGAGTATTATTCTTTTATAAATGAACCATCACAAACCCATGGGTACAGTGGGGGCGATGGGGGATACAAAGGAAAGGGGCACACACATTGTGGTCCCTCCTTCGAGATTCGTTAGGTGGTACCTCCTCTTTCGACAGTCTGAGACGGTCGACAACCTACGGACAAACAGCACTCAGACTGGGTGTGGAATAACACAACTTTCGGCTTGTTACTTCAAAGCTTTGGCACGAAATATGTTTAAACTTTGAAAGACACATTTTGTCACTTCTTGGTCAAACTGAATTCCCGTTGAAAAAAATTCCGAAAATATTATATCTGATCTTACCAACGCCACTACAAATTCTTCTGGTATCTTCCGTGACAGATGGTGGTTCAGGATCTGGGAACCTTTCTGGGGGCCCAGTTACTGCTATAGCTTTAGAGTTCTGTTCTATTTTTTTGCCCGTTTTTCTTTTTGCGCGCTCGCTGGGGCAAAGTTTGGGTTCCGTTCCTGTACGGGCAGCACGATCGCCATTTGTCTCTCCAGGCCGGGATAGCCTGAGCATGAAAAGTCAAGAAACTGTGTCAAAGTGTCAAAGATTTTTTTTAGATTAGTGTCTCTTTATTGAATCGTAAAGAACAAAGTAGACGCCGAAACCGCCCATATCAATTTTGCTTAACTGCTGAAGTGGCTGCTGACTTTTTTCAGCCTGAATTTGATAATATTGATGCTATAGCTGACACTTTTCTCCAAAACATGCATGATTCCCAAGTTTTTGAGGTGTTTGGGTACTTTTCAGATATTACAGTAGGTCATGCTTATGACAACTTGACCACATGTGCAAATATAATTTATTGTATAGAATCTCGAGCTCGCCTGTCAAAAATGGTGGTTGTCATTTGAATTCTCAAAGTTGACCTCCAAATGACCTTTGAGGTCACTGTCTAGATCATGTTTGAGGTCATCGACAATTTTTTTTAAACTATTCTGAAAACCTTTTCTCCAGGAGATGCGGATGTCCAGGTATTTAATAGACACCCTAAATAAATACAGTAGTTACAATGCCTGTTATAATGGATTGATGAGGACTAGAAAAAATGATTCAACATTAATGAAATACAGTAATACTGTATTATAGATCAGTAATGCGGAAACAATTGAAATTTATATGTTAGAATTTTCATAAATTACATCATATTTATATCTGTATTCAATAGCCGCACATGCAGATCTCTTTTAAAGAATGATATTCAGTTTTTTCTTATATACTAAGTGACATATAAATCCGAACACCCAGTTTAAATGGTTTTATTTTAATAAAAGTTGGTGAATGTATTTATCTTACTGTAAATAACAAGTGACAAAATGTTCAGTCTTATCAGTTGGACATTTCGGTTTTTATACTGCTTTTTTTTAATTCACTAACGCTCTAAAAATGAATATTTCAGCCGCAGTAAAGAATCAACGTTGGCGGATTTTGGTTCTTGACATCCTTTACGATCGGTTACGATGCCTAGAGTACGGAGACCTGTACGATTTCGTCAACTTAGTGAGTTTGATAGGGGCCGTATAGTGGGACTTCGGGAAGCTGGACTTTCTTTTCGGGCAATTGCAGTTAGAGTGCAAAGAAGTGTAGACACTGTGGTTAGATGTTGTCAGGCATGGCTTCGAGAAGGCCGTACGCAAAGAGCAAGGGGCACTGGACGCCGCCGTAGAACAACAGACCGTGAAGATCGCCGCCTAAGATTATTGTTCTTAAGGGACCGTTTTTCCACTACCAGGTCCATTGCAAATGAATGGTTTGCAGAACACGGAAGACCTATTGGCATGCGAAGTGTTTACCGATGAATGAGAAGTTTTGGCTTGTTTTCATACCGGCCACACTGGGTCCTCCCTTTAACTCGAGAACACCGACGTAATCGCCTTGAGTGGTGCAGACAACGGTCACTCTGGAATCAGGAATGGAACAGTATTGTCTTTAGTGACGAGTCTCGATTTTGTTTAGGCATGCACGATGGTCGTGCCAGGGTTAGAAGGCGACGTGGTGAAAGGAGGAATCCACTGTTTTTTGTTGAAAGACATGTTCATCACACTGTTGGAGTTATGGTTTGGGGTGCTATAGCTTATGGTTCCAGGTCACCTTTAATCTTCATCAGAGGTAACATGAACGCGCAGCGTTATATCCACGAAGTTCTAGAACCCCATCTTTTACCCTATCTTGACACCCTGGCAGATCCAACTTTCCAACAAGATAGTGCCCGACCACATGTTGCTCAATTTGCAACGTTCTCCTCAGACTCTAGAAGCGCTTCGAGAGGAGTTGGTGGTTGCCTGGAATGAGATACCACAGGAGGACATTGACCACCTGATCAGAAGCATGCCTAGGCGCGTTGGAGAATGCGTAGCACATCAGGGTGCATCCACACATTATTAAAGGTCAAAGGGCTTTAAAGCAGTGCAATCATTTTGAAATTTTTATCATTTACTTATTATGCTTCATTGAGTACTTATACAAAATTTTATTAAAATAAAACCATTTAAACTGGGTGTTCGGATTTATATGACACTTAGTATACATGTTGGTGAGTTATGGTATAATTTTGAACCCAAGTATATAAATGAATTCAACATTACTTCCTTTTTTGGTGTTGCAAATATTATTTGTTTATTTTTGTTTCTGGTACCATATTCATAATTTTTATCAATAGTTTCTTATATTCATAAGTTATGACTCTATAAAAAGCGATTTGGAGGGACGTGATGAAGGTTTGTTATGCATTGTTTTCAATAATTTTTGTATACGAATCAAATGTTTGCATAGGGTCTGATAAAAATTCCTTTTTTTTTCTATTGTCTGGTCAAATTGCTCTCAAAAATACAGGATACTGACCTGTCCTGAAAATCTGGCAGCAACTGCACGCTAAGAGGTCCGCCTTCTATCCGTGGCGGCGTGACCAAAAGCGGTGCACTATTGTCCAAGTTCCTTGGTATGTGAATGACGGTGTTCTGTTTGGGATCGATTGTACCTTGAGGAATGATGATGATTCTGTTAGTGCAGGGGGTACCTGCTGCTCGATTGCTGCCTGCCATCCAGCTGTCTCTGGTTTGGCGGAATCACTAGAAATTTTGATGAGGTTTGACCCAAAACGAGTATGTGTGACATTTAATTGAAATATGTGTCCACGGCTTTCTTGAATCCGCTGGTGGGTCATTCTCAGAATGACTGACATTCAGCCTTCTTCTATTCGTCGTTGTCTGTCAGAGCGGTCCGTAGGACCTTTGCTCTTAGTTGAAGTCTTGTAAGTCAGTATTTCCGTCAGGTCTGGTTGCCCAGATACCAAACAAAGTCAGGGAGAAAGAAGGGAAGAAGAAAGGAAGGAAGGAGGGGACATTCAGCCTTTGATTGTAAGGACTTACAGTCCTTTCCACGGTTTTTGACACCCTCTGTTGCGCGAGTCAGTGGACTATACGAAGCTCCTGAAAATTGCACACTGAGTAAACTGATCTTAAACCCAGCTGTTCACTCACGGATTGGCCAATAAAGGCCGATTGCATACATTTTGGCAAAAACGATCGATATTGTCCGTTGTTGTATTTTCCGGTATTGCTATGTTTTACACTAGGAATATCAATAAAAGGTAAACTCAAAATGCTACGTCCATGTCAAGCATAGATTAAAAAAACGTATACATTGGCAAAGAATTCTAGAGGCGGCGAGATTAAACCGCAGAATGTATGTCTGACCTGACACCAACACAGTGTTGTCAGGTGGAGTCGACGTTATTTCGGTAGAATTGTACGGAATTTTACGGCAGTTTTTCGGTAGATTGAATACCGAAGAGTAAATGAAAGCATTTACTTAAAACAATTTTATTTAACTCAAAATATACTCTAAAACAGAAAGACAAAACAAAAATAAATGTAATTTAATTTTTATAACTCACTTTAGCTAACTAAAAATAAAATATTCTTAATACAAAACAGAAAAAGTGTATTAAATAAAAAATGTGTAAGCTATATTGGATAATCATTCTTCCGATTCAGTTTTGTATAAGTTTTTATCAAAATTATGCTCGGAAAAAAATACGCTCAAACGAATTTCTCCTGGAAATAATAAAATAATATATACTTATAATCTCAAATCTTCTCAAATAGATTAATTAATTTTACCTTCTTTAATATCATTTTCTAATTTCTTTGATGCACCTGCAACCACAAATGACAACAGTTTTGGCTGTTTTGCTATGGTTTGCACTTTTTTATGAAATTGCCCATTTGCGTGTTTTATGAGTGCATCTCTTCCACTTTTGATATTAATATCTTTATCACAGACCATGCATTTCACATAATCGCGCCCTTTATTACTTTTTTAAGCCAGCCTTGGAAATCTGGCAATTCTTCCCAGTCTTCCTTATAATGTTGGTCACACGCATGCGAAAAAAAAATGTCTGCAAGACAGGCAATACTAATTCTGGCCGAATTCGGAATTACTAAGTGCACGAAATTATTCAAATCGTACAATACAGGCATGGACGTGTCACGAGCCGCTAGGCCTAGGCGATGTAGCCAAATCATCGACTATCTTCGGTGATTCCCCAGATGCGAAGAATCAGCGTATGTGGCACACCAATGTCAGGCAAAGAGAATAAAAATATATCTGGTCTAGAACGAATAATAATAGTACTTTTGACATTCCTTTTATGGCTATGCATCAGAAATATTTCTCTTATATAGGGAACAAAAGTTATTCAATTGAAAGAAAAGTCCACTTTTCGGTAGATTTTGCTTTAAAATCGGTAGTTCGGTAGACCAGGACCAAAATCGGTAGACCTACCAAAGAATCGGTAGATCTGGTAACACTGCGCCACACAGACTGCGCACAGAGACAGATTGCATATATATGTGTGTGAGGGAGATGGATATACAGGGTGTCGTGAAAGTTAAGACTTTCCTTTTCAAAAACAACTGCGTTCGAAACAACAAATCTAATTTACGGTAAAAAAGCACCAAAATCGTTAAGTTAACGGCTCATTTTTCGCGCGCTTGGCAGTGGCGTCACCGTCTCTGGCATGTCATTTGTTGTTTCTTTTATGGTTAGGTTACTATCGAGTTTCTGACATTCGATCTGTTTAGAACTTACAGGTTATGTTTGTTACTAAAAATTGAAGAAAAGCTGAGACATCAAACTGACAGGTTGATAATCAATGACAGTGAGAACAAACGGCTGCAATTTTAAATCGGTCACAAGTCGCAAGTTGTAACATCACGACAATAGCATCGCGTTCCGACATTTCAAATTTTCGGCGTGTTTTTCCAATTGTTATTAATTAGTACTCGTATTTTATTATGTTCAAGTATAAAACAACATTGAATGCGTCATTTTGTAGCAGTTTAAGAGTGTAAATAAAAATGATTAAGCGATATCTCAGAAGTCGACGTTAAGTCGATAACAGTTATCAGAAGAATATAAAAAAAAAGTCGTGTACTTTTCAAATTATAGTCTTTAAATACTCGAGTAAGTTGTGTAGATTTTTGCTTTCTTCTATTTGACGTACTGAAGTACTCCAGTCTTCTTCGACTGCTTGTAGTGGGACATCCTCGTAAGGAAAAAAATTCTTCCTGCATCATGTGCTTGATTTGGAAATTGTCCCTCTGAGTAAACGGTGCACATTCACAAAAACTCGGTAATCGGGATGACGAGCAGCATTCTCACGATAAAGCCTAGCTGCAGCACTATCATTGCATCTATACTAAGTGACATATAAACCCAGTTTAAATGATTGCACTGCTTTAAAGCCCTTTGACCTTTAATAATGTGTGGATGCACCCTGATGTGCTACGCATTCTCCAACGCGCCTAGGCATGCTTCTGATCAGGTGGTCAATGTCCTCCTGTGGTATCTCATTCCAGGCAACCACCAACTCCTCTCGAAGTGCTTCTAGAGTCTGAGGAGGACGTTGCAAATTGAGCAATCTCCTACCAATCATATCCCACACGTGCTCAATTGGGGATAAGTCGGAAGATCTTGGTGGCCATGGTAACAATGTGACATCATTATGTTGAAAGAAGTCTACTGTGACTCTTGCAACATGTGGTCGGGCATTATCTTGTTGGAAAGTTGGATATGCCAGGGTGTGAAGATAGGGTAAAAGATGGGGTTCTAGAACTTCGTGGATATAACGCTGCGGGCTCATATTACCTCTGATGAAGATTAAAGGTGACCTGGAACCATAAGCTATAGCACCCCAAACCATAACTCCAACAGTGTGATGAACATGTCTTTCAACGAAAAACTGTGGATTCCTCCTTTCACCACGTCGCCTTCTAACCCTGGCACGACCATCGTGCATGCCTAAACAAAATCGAGACTCGTCACTAAAGACAATACTGTTCCATTCCTGATCCCAGAGTGACTGTTGTCTGCACCACTCAAGGCGATTACGTCGGTGTTCTCGAGTTAAAGGGAGGACCCAGTGTGGCCGGTATGAAAACAAGCCAAAACTTCTCATTCGTCGGTAAACACTTCGCATGCCAATAGGTCTTCCGTGTTCTGCAAACCATTCATTTGCAATGGACCTGGTAGTGGAGAAACGGTCCCTTAAGGCCAATAATCTTAGGCGGCGATCTTCACGGTCTGTTGTTCTACGGCGGCGTCCAGTGTCCCTTGCTCTTTGCGTACGGCCTTCTCGAAGCCATGCCTGACAACACCTAACCACAGTGTCTACACTTCTTTGCACTCTAACTGCAATTGCCCGAAGAGAAAGTCCAGCTTCCCGGAATCCCACTATACGGCCCCTATCAAACTCACTAAGTTGACGAAATCGTACAGGTCTCCGTACTCTAGGCATCGTAACCGATCGTAAAGGATGTCAAGAACCAAAATCCGCCAACGTTGATTCTTTACTGCGGCTAAAATATTCATTTTTAGAGCGTTAGTGAATTAAAAAAAATCAGTATAAAAACCGGAATGTCCAACTGATAAGGCTGAACATTTTTTCACATGTTATTTACAGTAAGATAAATACATTCACCAACTTTTATTAAAATAAAACCATTTAAACTGGGTGTTCGGATTTATATGTCACTTAGTATACATTCCCCATAAATGAGGTGCATATTGGCGTAATTAATAAAAGTGACGTAGACACCCTTTTCAGATTCTCATTGAGTTCAATTTAAGTAGCTTTCCATTTATGAAGCAGACTGCACATGCATCTAGATTGCTTTAATGCCAGCTGGATTGCTGGATACCTTACATCGACAGATACGTGAAATCAAACGTCAAAGTCCGTTTGCAATTTTAGACAAAACATTTCCAAATCCTTAGTGAACCAATACCTACAGAATCAGTTAATATGGTGGTATATTCGGCACATCAGCACCATGAACGTCTTGGCGAACACGATGAAGACAGGCCGATGCCGGTATTTGCCGACACTAGCAAGCTTCCAGTGGTGGAAAGTCTTGAGGCTATGCGTATGTAAAAGCTGCCTAGATAAGTACTTAGGGATTTCGTTTTACTTCCCACGCAAACCGGCAAAAGGCATGTAAATCACGAAAACCCATGTCGCCCATTTCCATCGGTCTGTCCGTCTGTCCGCTAATCCTTGACTCTGCTATAACTTGGAAGTACCGCTAGGATTTTGATGAAATTTTCACACAAGGTTACTATTATGCCAAGGAGGAACGAGTCTTGCTTTCAATTTAAACTGTTCTGCCTGATGCAAAAGATACAAAGATGGGAAGTGGTAGAAGTAAGATTAGATAGTAAGCATTTCGAGTCTACCTTCAAAGCGTTAAGGGGCCGTTCAAGTATTACGTAAGCCGATTTATTACAATTATTTACCTCCCCATTCCCCATGCCAGCAAAAGTAAGCAAAGCTCTTACCCCTCCCCCCATGCTTACGTAAACAATTGTCAATTAATGAATTGTTTTTTTTTAATATTATAATTATAACGTTATAATTATAATTTGAAAAATAAGAAAATAGATTTAGGATAGAGATTATATTTTACTGATACGGTATTAATCATAGAGTAAAGGACAAAAATATTATATCTTACTAACATAACAAACTTATTTTAAATTTTTGGTACATATATTAAATTCAAATTAACAGTCTTCAGTCCATGAAACCCGAATCCATGATTCTATGTTTTCGATGACATTGGATTGCTTCGATTGCTGCTCAGTGTTGTGAGTTTGCTCGCTTTCATCGGATTTTTTAATGTCTACGTCGTTCTCCTCGAGCCATTCAACATCATGGTGCTCTAAATTTTGAATGCACATCAGTTCATCATAAGCACGACGAGCAGCGACTCTTACAGGTCTAACTTTCCTATCAGTGTGCGTGTTTACTTACAAAAATAATCGTAGGGCATTTGCAGGAAATCTTTGAGTGAAGCACTTAAGCGTAGAGCTAAATTGACTGGAAGATTAAGAGATTGCCCTTCTACATCCAAAACCAAGTCATCAACTGTTTGTTTTACTTTTACAGGTGGTGGAAGAAACCTATTGTCTAATAATGTAAATAGGCCACTTCTTGGACGACAGCATTCTGTATTTCTACATTTTATAATTTAAAGCAAGTATTGGCTCTCACGCACATGTTCTGAATACCATTTAATGTCTGGAAAATCAGGAAGATCTTGTTCACCTGCCCCAACATATTTTGCATTAACATTATAGCCATCAATTTCCATTGAACTCCATACTTCAGCTAATACATTTCCTGCAAATTCGAAATTAGATCTTTCTAAATGTTCATCAATTGTAACGCCACGTTCATCCAAATGAGACCCAAAATGGTCATGAGTCAATATTAAACCAGCCACTTCCTGACTAAGAGGAGCCATTCTGCGCTCTACTCTGTTATACGCACTTCTTCCAGGAGCATTGGTAGCTAAAAACAATGCATCGAGATCATGTCGCTGAAAGTGTTGTATAGCAAACCCTATGACTTTTTGATAACGTGGATTTTCATCTGGCCCTCCATCAACCGTCATGATTACTACTGGTTTTACTAGTCCATGGTCAGTTTTAGCTAATGGTCGAAACTCTTCAAGTTCGAGAAGCGTCTCGAAATCCTGAGCATGAGTATTAGCAGTAGATGAACTATGCTTTCCACTTCGAAAAGCGATGTACATATATGTTGGTCCAGAATATCCAACGGCTTGCGGTTGTCCTAGCATATTGGAAGTGATTTTGATACCAGCATAAACAGATGGTATTAATTTATGACGCTCGGCGATTATCAATCGTGAAAAGGCAATTTGATTCTATATTCCATGTGCATTAGAAGAGGTGCTTGCTTATTTGCCGCAGTTACGCGAATAGGGACTCGAGCTTTATCATCTTGAGATATGAAAAATACTTGATCTGGTCCAAGTATGCATGCTATGTTCTCTAAATAATGGATTGATGTTTCAGCGAACTTGCTATCTAAGTGGCTCTTGTGGTGATCAGTTTGAGCCCGAATGAGCTTAACAGGGTCTGTCGATACATGTCTTCGTCCCTCAGCAGAATTAGATTTTCTGGGAATCAAACGAAGATATGTCCCACTGCGACTACTGTCAAATCCTATTTTACGTAATTCTTGTGTGAGTTCATCAAGAGTTTTTACGCTGCGAATTGATTCCGTTCGTCTTCTATCATCTGCTGCACTCCCAAATAAAGCGATATCCGCGATTGTTTTCAATAGTGAATGTTCATTGCTTTCAAGATTAGGACGTTCCACTGAATCCCTCAGAGATAGTCTTTTTTTTATTTCTGGATTTTCAGGACAAATATCTTCTAACTTTCTTTTCATACCATCCCTGTGTTTCTTCTGGGCAACTGCGTTTTGAACCTTCCTTTAAAGACTGTTTTGCTGTTTTTATTTCCTCGCGCAACTCAATGATCTGTTTATCAACTTCAGCACGGCTTGGCATAGTATCTCTGGCAGAATACAAAGCATTCAGATTTTTTTCGAGTAGAGCAATCTTATTTTTCATAGCTTCCTGAGAAGGTTTTGCTCTCTGTTTATCTGTATTTTCGTTAATTTCGCATTGCTGTTGTGATTCATTACCGGGTTTTATTTTATCTTTTTCGCCTTTTTTAATATTTGAAGCTGACTGTATAATTTGTGTTTTTTCTACAGGTTTACAGGTTGCCTAAAAATAAAAACTTTCTATGGCTTCTGCTAAAGATTCTTTTATTAAGCTACATAAATACAAAATATGGCAATATATATGGTAAATACAAAACCCTATGGCTTTAAATCTAATATGTTTAAACGAGCAATGCGTTCCGGTCACAAAATAGTTTTCTGTATATATATATGTATAAAACTAACATCCTGTACTTTGTGACCAATTGACGGAATCAATCATAAGAAATAAATCTATAATATAATTAATATTACCTCTATACTTTGTGATAGGCCATAATATTTTCTAATCAGTAAAGAGAAACTTTTTGGAGATTTCTAATATTTCTAGTACTCATAGGCACCTAAAATGATGCCGTCACTCACCTTAGAAAAAAAATTTAGTAGATTGTATTTATTCTTAGTCGCCGCTTGCAATTCTTCTTCGATTCTCTTAGATACAGTAATATCTAGTTTTCAATAATGGTGCCAAAATTGAATCTTAAAGCGACTATTGTATATTTCGAGATCTAAGCAATAACTCTACATCATTCCATTTCGCAGGTGCCCTAAGCCGAAGCAACTTGCTGGAAGATAAAAGCGATTGCAGATATGATCCCAATAGACATATACTGTTGGATGGATCTCGTCTCATCAACGAGATGAAATCATTGGCTGAAATCCAGGAAGAGTTGAAAACGATGTGTACTTGTGACGGACAAGATCAGGAAGTTGACGAAATGGGTATGTAATTGAGAAAGAGATGAGATAAGATGAGAAAGTTCCTATTCAAAATGACTACAAGATCATTCATCTCCTGTGTGTTCACAGCCGCCGCTGCCCAAAAAGAACCCTCGATGTCAGTGTACGATCCCGAAGTTCTCAACACCACTATGGCACCCAGAATCAACAGTTTTATGGTAAAAGCACCTTTTGTATGCATTATCCTCAACTTTATTTTCAGTACGGGTAGATTCGGTTAGTTGACATTCGGGATGGTGAATTAGATGCATGAGTACTATATTTTAGGGTAAAATTGATGATTGGAACAATGGCGGCTGGACGCCATCATGGACAATTTTTTTAAATAATTGTGGTTCATGTGATACCTCTTTTTAAAGCTTCTTATGAGTTCTTCATTGCCCTAAAGTATAAATTCACTTTTTCTGAAAATGACGGACTGTCAAAGTTGAGCGTTACTGTATACATATACATTTAATTTCTTGTAACTCGACAAGCAATGATCAAAATATACAGGGTGACTTCGAAGTTGAGTCATTTATTTTAACAGTGAGTAGATCTGATCAAAAGAAATGTTTTTTTCCTTTACCATTTTTCTGGTAAAATTAAAGTAACAAAGTTATAGCCCTTTGGAAGTTTGAGTACCGCCCTGTCTCAATAATGATATTATGTTCTCGTGTTTGGCAACAACAGATATAATCCGCCTTATCCGTTCATCGCATCGGAAACAAAAAAGCGAAAGAATTTGGAACGATCTTTTTACAATTATTTTCTTCAGTTGTATACAGTCAGTATCAGTCGGTAGTCGGTAACGCGTAAGTGAATAATCGTGTCTGTTGCGAGGCTCAAATCAAAAATGGCACATGTTTACGAAAATGCTGAACTTGTGGACATGGTTCTTATTTACGGGGAGTCTTTACAAAATGCTGCCGCGGCATCACGGATCTATGCGGATCGGTTTCCCAATCGAGTGCAACCAACCCCTCGTGCCTTTGTTAATGTAGTGCAAAGAGCTCGTGAATCAGGTGACTTAAGACCTCACAGAGGAGATCATGCCGGTGCTCCAAGACCACACGATCAAATAGAACTAGAAGAACAAATTTTATAATTAGTAAGTGATGATCCAACAGTAAGCACCCGACAAATTTCAACTCAATTGGCGATTAGTCAGTATAAAACTTGGAAAACTCTACGTGAAAATCAGTTCTATCCGTTTCACATACAAAAAGTGCAGGCCTTACAACCGGAAGATCATGAACAAAGGGTTGACTTTTGCAATTGGCTTTTAAATAAACATCAAAATGATGACAATTTTCGAATCAAATTTTAGTGAGTGATGAAGCCCTTTTTACTAGAAACGGAATTATTAATTCACGTAATTCTCACGTTTGGGCTATTGAAAATCCCCATGAAATAAGGGAAACCAATTTTCAACAGCGATTTGAACCAATCAACCTGTGGGCGGGAATTGTTAATGGAATTTTAGTGGGGCCTTTTGAATTACCAAATCGCTTAACTGGTGAAAATTATTTTGATTTCTTGCAACACAATTTGCCTGGTTTACTGGAAGATGTGCCTTTAAATATTAGACAAAACATGTGGTTTTTACAAGATGGGGCACCACCCCATTATGCAAGAAATGTGCGTGAATTTTTAAATAGACAATTTAATAATCGTTGGATCGGCCGTGGCGGTTTTGTACCTTGGCCGCCAAGGTCTCTGGACTTAAATCCTTTAGACTTTTGTTTGTGGGGTTGGCTAAAAACTCTAGTGTATAAAACACCGGTTAATACACGCGAAGAATTACGTGCTCGAATTGAGGAAATGAGTACAGTGATCAGAAATCAACCAGTGATTTTATTGCGTGCTTGTAAAGAGACATGGCTAAGACGCGCCCAGCTGTGCGTCGAGAAAAACGGAAATCATTTCGAACAGTTTTTGTGACATGCTTTTGGGCGCACAGGTCCGCACTGAAATACTTGTCGGGAGGATACTTTATAAAACAAGGTAACATTTTTTTTTTTAATTTTTTTTTATTTTTACACACATATTTTGGTTTATCTTCCTTCTACAATCATTATCTGAAAATTAATGACTCAACTTCAAAGTCACCCTGTATATTATATCAATCTTATTTCATGGAAGGATCTGTCCAGGAATATAATAAAACATGACATGGTAGTAGAAGAATGGAGGCAAAATTTGGATGAACAAAAGTTTACCTTAACATTGTTCTTAGATTTCAAGAGAGTATTTTAGACTATTTACAGGGAGAAATTGTTAACGAAATTGTATTGCTATGGATTTCAAGGTTCAGTATTCAACTTACTACAAAATTATTATTTAATCAATAGAAGTCAAAGAACTAAAATTGGCAAAACATGATCAAACATTAAAAACATTTCGGTAGGTGTGCCACAGGGTAGCAAATTACGTCCATTACTTTTTATTTTATATATTAACGATATTCCTGATATTTCACAACACTGCAAAATTCAACTATTCGCTGATGATACAGTCATATATATATATATATTAAATGAAGGCAGTGAAACTCCAATAGAGCAGTTTATGATATAAAAAACGTAATAAATTGGTTAAATGCCAATAAACTTAAACTAAACACAAACAAAACTTAGATAATCAGAATCATTTTGTATCCAAAAGAAATTCGATTTTCAGAAATTTTGTGTCACTGAATTATTTGAAATATATTTTGGAGCAGATTTTCATATGTCAAGGTCCATGGTTTCTTAAGTTATTAATTTTGCTACACGATTGAACAGGAACAGGTCAAACTGAGTTTGTCTGGTTGATCTCAACTCCATTTGAATACCTTCTCACCAAACATATCAGCATCTAAAATTCTATATACAAACATTTTTACATCTCTATTCGATTTTTAAAATTTGAGTCCAAGCAAAAAATTGAATAGAGTACCAGAATAACATCATTATCAGAGACCTTGTTAGATCTTGTTATTGTAAATTTCGAATGTGCAGGGATTAAAGCTGTACATACACCTAAAGCTAGCGATCACAGTTGGACAATGCTGCCCTTGGTAGGGTATTTTTCTGATACAAAAATTAAGAAAATCCTAAAAACTATTAAGTACGAAAAACTTGAACGAGAACTTGCTGGCTGCTATTGGAATTTTGGTGAGAATATGGAAAAAATGTATGACAACATAATAGGAAATATAAAAACTTGTTTAGATCTTGCAACTGATAAAAAAGTGATTTGCTCGACAAAAAATACGCCCTGGTATAACAAGAATATTAAGGCAGCTCAAAATTTGAGAGACAAACAATACAATAAATGTATATTCACAAAATCAAATGATGATTGGGAGGTATATAAAACTCTTAGGAATAAATGTGTATATAGTCAACGCCAAACAAAGTGGCGTGCACGTCATCAAGGTGGGTGTGTTGAAAAATTTACATTGTTGCCAAACTTTTTGTAAAATAATAAAATTTATTATTTACATATCTAGGTTTATAAGCAATATTAACCTCAAATGAGAACAAAAATAATAGTATAATAAAATTATAGATCTGTACTTGCATAATCATTAAGTATGACAATTATTGATCAGATGACACTATGAAACTACCATATTTAATTGATAGCTTAAAGGTACTGAATAAAAATCCAAATGGGGTCCTCCAAATTTTATGCATGGAATTTATTTTACAGAATTCATACAGAAAAATGCATTCTAAAATTAGGTAAGCTACTGGTGTAAGCTTTTTCTGTACAATAAAGTTAGTCGGAGTTTCTTTCTTCAGCGCTGTCTGAATCTGAATCTTCATCACTCTCAAAGTTGATTATTAAAGGTTCGATGTCTGGTCGATCAAAAATTCGTTCTCTTTCATACCATTTAAAAATTTCTTGCTCAGTATGTCGAACACTATTTTTCCACATGTCTGGGGTAACCGTTTGTAGAGCCTCGTTCCACATATCCAAACAGTCTTTTTCACTGTTACCATCTCTACCAATATGTCTGTTATAGTAACCTTTTGCTATGCCCCAAATTAACTCAATAGGGTTAAATATACAATGGTAAGGAGGCAGACGAAGAACTTTGTGCCCATGTTGTTCCGCCAATTCATCAATCACGTATATTTTAGGTGGTTTGTTTCTAAAAAAGCAGTTATTTTAAGAATAGGAATAAACAAAAGAAATATAAACTGTCGACCAAAATATATATAATTAAGAAGCATTATGTACCGAGCAACAATACTCAATAGCTCTGTTTTAAACATTGTGTTTAAAAATGGTATGTTTTGATTTGTCAACCAGTCTTGGATATTTTTTTTTGTCCATGCATTGTTGGGCACTTTGTTCAATATCATGCTGTGATAAGGGGCGTTATCCAGTATAATCATAGATGGACTCTCCAATTTTTCTAATAACTGATGTTGAAACCATTTCAAAAAATTGTCCTGGTTCATCTCTGCATGGTAATCGCTCAATTTTGTTTTCGAAGAAAATATCGCTTCACTACCCTCAATAAACCCATTTTCATTTCCAGCATGTAATATAATGTATCTAAAATAGTATATTAGTTTTAAATTTTATAGTGCAAATTGTGTAAAAGTACATACCTTTTACCATCTGTTTTAATAGCTTTCACGCTTTTTTGGTTTCCATTTTGCCAAGAGCGACCTATGGTCCCATTTTGAAATATCCAAGTTTCATCGAGGAAGACAAACTGGTATAAGGCCTCAACCTTGGCTTGATTGTATTGCCTTAGAAATTCCACCCTTTTCAAAGCTATACTTGGTAGTTCCATGAGCCCTCGTCGCGGATTGTCCTTAAGCCACTTAAATCCAAGACCTCTAAGCAACCGCCTTAAAGACGTGGCACTACCATCAAATAATGCCCTATCTCTTAATCGAGACCATAAAGTTTGTATCGTAACTTGTTCTTCTGAAACCATGTGTAATATGACATTATAATTTAGTTAACAAATTAATGCAAATTTCTGATAAGTTATTATAATAAGATCTTACTTTTGTGATACATATTATAGATCACTTCTCGAATGGCACTTGTATCCAATGTCGCTGTGTTGGTTACACGTTTAATATAACTCCGCTTTTTCTTGGGCGATTCTAAATTTGCCTCACTTTTCACACCCTCGGAAATACGACTAACTGTCCTTAAACTAATTTTTTAAAGCAGCAGCAACACGCTACAAAAAATGAAATAAAATTTCACTATTATTAATATACATTACATATAATTATTAGTAACCTACCTCTTGAACAGCATTTAAAGGCAACAAAGGCCCGTTGTTGTCCCTTTCTTGCTCAAAGTAGTGCATTAACGAGGCCACGAGTTCCTTACACCGACTATTTAACTGTTTGGGCATCTTTATATACCAAAATTGCCTTTATCTACTCGTAAAATGAATAATTTTGTTTTGAAACAAACAGTTGTTGATTTACAGTATGCGGGGCCAAAGGATTTATAAAGATTTGAAATGCCACAAATTGATTCAGTGTCAAAATTAATACAAATGTCAGTTCCCAGTTTAAATAAGTTTCAAGGTGACAATGTGTCAACGCTGCGAAATCGGTTTAGTGCGTTTACATGTCGATAAGTGATTGGAGCGTTTGCAAAACATTTTATTTCGCATAATGCGTCTAAATTTATCAGAAAGCAACTTATGTGATATTTTAATAACAATGTTTATATGACTATTAACCATAATAAGAGAGTAATGACCATTTTACAATTTATATATTACATTAATATGAAACTGCAATAGAGCAATTGTTTGTGATAGAAACCTAGGCATTAGGTCGGGGAATTTTTATCGTGATGACGTGCACGTCACTTTGTTTGGCGTTGACTATATGTAATTAGAGAAGAAAAAAGGAAATTCTATGATAAACAAATCGATAATAACAAGTGCGACAGTGTAGAGATGTGGAAGACTTTAAAAAGACTGATCAATTTGAAGCCGCATGATTGTGTAAATCAAGTTCAATTCGAAACAAATTCTTTGGTGATTGCAAACAAACTAAATGAATATTTTGTGGAAAGTATTGTTGATATTGTGGGTACTGCCAATGCTACACCTGACTATATAAAAATCAGTTTCCAGGGGGAAATGTTGCATACACTTTCAAAATTTCACAGCGTATCATTGAATTATCTAAGAAAAAAAGTAAACAGTTTAAAATCAAATAACAACTGTGCCGAAATCACTACTTAAAACGTGCTGGAAAACTGTTTCGAAATTTTGGGATATCCTGTATTAAATTGGATCAATTGTTCACTGAGAAGCAGTTCTTTTCTTGAAAATTTGAAATGCTCTACAATAACACCAGTTCCCAAAATAAAAAATTCTAAAAGATGCAGCGATATGAGACCAGTAAATGTGTTACCAGACATTGAAAAATTATTAGAGTCCATAGTGCATGACCAATTAATGCAGCTTATAGAAGAAAACAAAATTTTAGTGGAGGCGCAAGCAGGCTTTCGAAAAAAATATTCCACAGAAACAGCTTTCCAGTTGGTAACTGAGAATTGGAGAAGAGCCATAGACTCAGAAGAAGTTGTCATAGCAGTATTTTTGGATTTGAAGAGGGCATTTGAAACGATTGATAGAGATATTTTGTTAGGTAAATTGAAGGCATATGGTATAACAGGAAGTGTTTTAGATTGGTTTAGAAATTATTTGTCTAAAAGGATGCAAGTTACAAAAGTTAATGACACTATTTCATCAAAAATTGAAAATACGTTGGGTGTTCCACAGGGCAGTATCCTGGGATCACTTATTTTTATTTTATACATAAGTGATTTACCTGCCATAGTCAAAAAATGCAAAATTCAGATTTTCGCCGATGACACTATGATTTATATAAGTACTAAAAATATTCAGTCTGGTGTCTCTTATATAAATGAAGACATGAAGCTTGTCTCAAAATGGTTAGCATCTAACAGACTAAAATTAAATGCAAGTAAAACGAAAGCCTTGTTAATCGGAAAAAAACAATGTACAAATGTCCAACTGAATATTGATGGTGAAGATATTGAATTCGTAGAAAATTTTAAATACCTGGGGTTTTTTGTTGACTCTCGATTAATTTTTGATATTCATTATGAAAAAGTTATAAATAAGATTAGTAGTAAAGTGGGATATTTATCGAGAGTTTCTGGATGTCTGAGTTCATATAGCAGAAAAATTATCTATAATACCATCATTCTTCCAAATTTCTTGTACTGTTCGACTATTCTATATTTAGCAAATAATTCCATTTTTGAAAGACTGCAAATTTTACAAAATAAGTGCATGAGAATAATACTAAATAAAGATAAATATACTCCAATTAGGCAAATGCTTAGCAAATTAAAATGGCTCATTGTAAAAAATTTTATCAAATATCTTGTAATGATATTCATTTATAAAGTAAAAAATAATATATTTCCATCAAGTCTAACTAATTTAACATCATCAAATGTCGACCATCATTTACATAATACCAGAAATAAAGATGACTTCCATTTAATGACCAAAAAGTATAACATATGCTACAAAGCTGTATTCCATCAAGGGTTGATTGAATATAATAAATTATACTCGGAGATAAAAGACCAGAAAACTTTGACAAAATTTAAAGTAAAATTGAGAAATCACTTGTTAAATCTACAATTATAGGTTGCCCAGCATTTACATCATACACCATATGGCTTGAATTTACTAGTTCTAAATTGTTTACAATTATTCTGTTTATGTAGCCAAATATGCTAAATAAATCTTTCTACTACTACTACTACATTCGAATCATTTTGATGATCAGGAATTCAACCGATTTTTATTCATTTATTTGTTTTTTATCAGACGCCTTTTTAATGATGAATCCTATTATTAATTTTATCGCGAAGATGCATATTAAAAATTTGATACTTATTAGTGTAATAAGTTGAGTTAAGCGTGAATTGTCAAACGAATTGTTGTTCGGATTGGTGTTTCCAGTCCAGTCAGATACCACAACGTCAATAGTATCTTGTCAGATCATGCCCATTAGGTAAAAAGTACAAATTGACAATTTTTATTCAAATTAAACTTATTGGAATAACGAGATACATAGAGCGTTTTTTCTGCAGGTAAGAAGACGTCTGCTGTGGAGTTCATTTCTCAGAGATCTCGAAACATATGAAAGGAATGAACTGGTGGAGTATGAAGAAAAAATTCGAAAGTTCCATGAATCAAGAAGGCAACGCATGCTTGGAGGTCAGGGAAATGACTGTGTTGAAGAAAGTCGTAGACCATGCAGTCCCTAGTTTCCTTTTATGGATGTAACTATTATGCTAATCTTGATCTATCAACAAGATTGTACGTTCGTATATAGGCTAGTGATTTAGTAACTGGGAATTGATGAAAATACACAATTGTTTGATATTACAGTATTTTGCTTTTTCTTAGGTTATGTTTCAGCAGAAATTAGTTACTAAGGCAAGTTCTTTATTGATAAAACTCGGCAAACCTAGTTTTAGGTTTGTGCATTCTTCAGTCTATCTTGTCAACAGTGATACCAAGATTTTTTTTTGTGACTTGTGAGCTAACTTCACGTAGGTTTATCAAAGTTTAGTTTTTAGTTTCCAGTATCGAACTTTGAGGGGTATCATACCCACTACATAACTTAAAGTCACCTCGATTTACATTATGCAGGGTTTTCCGAAAAAATGTCACCTTGTCATTTATTTGTAGTGGCTGTGGGTGTTGCATAAACTTGAGCTGTATAGTTGGGCTTTGATGTGATGAAGCATCCATGTGAAATTGGGAACTCTTCGGAGAAATTTATTGAATTTAAAAGTATTACATTGAGATATTAAAGAAACATTTATTAATTCTTCAATTTAAGATGTCGTTTGAAATTCAAATAATTGATGGGTGAATCCTATACAGTGCCCTAACAGGGCAAAATGAGTACAATAGAAATTGGGTGTTTGTGAATATGTGTAGACCTGCATTTTCTTTTAGATTCAGAGACGGAAATTTTCAAAAAGCATCACTATGGCTGGTATAGCAGTCCGGACATGATCGGTCAGATCCATTGTGCGTATGTTAATTGAAAAGAAAGGTACAGGAAGCACAGAGAACGTAAAACTCGATAACGTTCATATGGTTAATAAGCTGTCATTGTTATCAAAATTATTACTCGTCGTTGCTTGTCAAGGCGGTCCGGAGGACCTTAGGCTTCAGGTACACTGTAGGCCACTGTAATTATTATTATTATTATTATTATTATTATTATTATTATTATTATTATTATGATAATTGAGATGAGCAGAGTACACATAAGCTCATGCAATAAATATAGTGTACGGACACGTAACACAAATACATCAAATAGAAAAAAATAAAAAAAGACAGTTCATAGCTATAAAGTTTGTACACTCCTCCAGCTATCATGCTGCACTTTGAAGCTATTAACTGAAGTAGCACCAACCACACTTTCAGGTAAACTATTCCAGGTGTTGAATATGCGGTTGGGAAGAAACCACTGTCGGACTGTTGTTTTAAATGGCTCCTTATGCAGTTTGAAGCTGTGTCCGCGTAGATTGCTGCGCGACAGACGCATGAGGTTGGTGCCCATCAAACCATGAAGTATCCTGAACGTAACTATAAGATCGCCACGAAGTCTTCGCTCAGAGAATGAGGTCAGGTTGGATAATTCAAGGCGATCTTCATAGCTTGGTCTTCGTGCTCCAAAAGGGATACGAGTAGCCCGACGCTGTACTGATTCGACGAGATTTCTATCGCGCAGAAGCACAGTGTCCCATACCGGGCCAGCGAATTCAAGAATTGGCCTCACGAATGCCTTGTAAATGTAGGCGCAAGTGTTGACATCGCATCCTTTGAAAGACCTCTCCAGCATGTATAGAAGTTTCTTGGCTTTTGATGTAACGTGATGAATATGCTCTGACCAGGAAAGACGATCGTTGGCTACAACGCCCAGATCAGTGTGGCTGGAAACTGCTTCGATGTTGTGGTCAGAGATCTTGTATGTAAATCGCGGATTTGTCTTCCCGAGGTGAAGGACACAACACTTAGTTAGATTTAAGGGTAAAAGCCAACTGACTGACCATTGACAAACAATATCAAGATCTCGTTGAAGTATAGCAGAATTTACGACAGTATTGTAAATCTTGGTGTCGTCGGCATAAGCTGAACATGTGGAGGAAATCAATGCGGGCAGGTCACTTGTATACAGAAGGAAAAGCACTGGCCCCAAGACAGAGCCTTGAGGAACTCCACTTGCTACATGATGAAGGTGAGACTGGCTATCACTGACGCGTACAGAGAAAGTCCTCCCGGTGAGAAAAGCCTTAATCCACAGTAACAACACGCCTCTTATTCCCATACATTCCAACTTAAACAGAAGCCTTCTATGTGGTACGCGATCGAAAGCCCTAGAAAAATCTAAGTAGATTATATCAACAGGAGTCTTTGTGTACAGATACTGAGTCCAATCGTTGAGAGAGTGGAGAAGGTTGGTCATTATTTGATCGACCAGGGAGAAATCCATGCTGATTCTTAGGGATAAGGTCATTTTCGAAAGCAAATGACAGGAGCTTATCTAATATGATTCTTTCAGCTATTTTGGCGGCGATAGGAACGATACTTATTGGTCGATAATTTTTAGCGGAGGATTTGTCGCCCTTTTTGAATACAGGGGTAACAGAAGCACTAAGCCAGCATGAGGGTAGGGTATGAGAACTAAAAAACGATGTGAATATCAAGCTTAATGGAAAGGGCCAGTGCTGAAGCGCAGTTTTTAAGTACAGCAGCCGTCATCCCATCTTTACCAGGGGAGGAAGAGGTCTTCAGGTTTCGCAAGTGCATTAATACATCTTCAGGCAGGAACTCAACTTCGCAAAGGCTGTTGGGACACCTATGGCAGATAGTGGTCGGTAGAAGGTCTCCATTAGGCTCATCGACGAAGTCATCACTAAAGGACTCTGCCAGTAAGTTGGCAGATTCGGTGGCATCCATGTGGAGATGACCGTCAGCGTCGCGGATCTGAGGTGATGAAACTTTGGAATTCAGGTTTGTTCTTAGATACCGAAACAGATTCTTCTTATTTTTGGAGGTAACGAGTTTTCGTTCATAAGCATGTTTGGCATTATGTAACGTTCTAGATAGGAGGTTAGAAAAGGATCGATGAGACATGTAATCTTGTGAATGGCCACTCCTCTTAAATCGTTGCCACAAAGATCTCTTGTGACGAAGCATCCTCGATATGTTAGAGTTGATCCAGGGCTTTGAGGGGTCACAGTATACCTTCTTTTCAACAGTATTGTCAGCCGTTTCGCTTAGAACTCGTTGAGCGAAAGTTTCCCACATATCTTGGGTGCTACGGTTGTTAAGCAAAGCAGGCCAGTTGACTTCAGACAGGTCTTGGTTATGAGCATCGTGGTTTATAATTTCGATGGTTTTAAACTTATCGGTTGTAGAACGACTATTTATATTGAACTGGAGAGAAGATAAAAGTGAACAGTGGTCAGACTTGCCAAAAGGTGGCAAATAATCTAAATTAGAAACAAAGTCGGTGTCGTTAACGAATATCAAATCCAGAGCCCTAGGCGTCTGTCCTTCCCTGAATCTCGTTGGACGATCAACAAGTTGAGATATGCTAGAGTTGCGTAGCAAGTCGATGTAAGCAGCAGAAGAATTGCATTCAGGAATGGTTGACATAGGCCAGGTAATGTCACGTAGATTGAAGTCACCAGCTATGAAAAGGTTGGTGTTTTTATTTAAGAGAACTGAAATGAGACTGCACAGGTGTGTGTCTCCCAAACAGGGCTGTGTCCGATATATGCAGCCTATCGTGAAGCTGAAATTTGGGCACCTCAATGTCAGGTCTGGTGGCCCACAATGAAGACAAGCAGGGAGAGGGAGAAAGAAAGGAAGGAAGTAGGAGCGAGAAGAGAAAAAAGTAATTGCTTGATGTACATATTTGAGGTGAGATAGATCTAGAGACAGTTACCTTGTACTACATAAACGCTGACTTGTCCTGAACTAAATTTTGGATGTTTGGTTTTACTTTTTTATATATAATCCACTGTTTAGATCCCGTCGTGAAAAAATACTACTTTTCCTGTTCCGATATACTTTATTCCATATCTTTTAACAAAATGTGAGAATATTAAGCTTAACCCTCTTCTCCGGCTCACTCCTCTGCAGGTGCTTCGTCTTCTTCAGCGGGCGCTTCTTCAGTGGGAGGCTCTGGTTCTGGTTCTGGTTCTGTTCCCGCTAAGACGTCTCCACCAGATCCATCTCCCGCTGTCTCAGCGCCTTCGTTGTATGACACCAACTTGTCGTCTATTAGCTTTATATTGTTTATTATACCTGGAATTTGGAAATAAAAAAATCGGAGAAGTGTCTCAATAATTCTAAGGTTGAACTGATTAGTAAGATTATTGTTATGTGTCAATCTGACATCCTAAAATAGTTCCAACAATATCACAATGTTAAACGTTAATTTTGACTGCAAGTCTTTCTTGCACTGTGATAGCAGCTCTCCAATCAACGTGAGATGATATTCAAAATCCGTCGGAGACATCATCGCAAGATTTTTGTATTGTCCACTTACTTGTTGAAATTTCAATTTTGCTACCAAATTGATGCAACCGTGTGCTGATTGATCTATTGGTATATAACTGCGTTTGTTACCATCGCCTCGGACGTCGTCGTCGCTTGTTTTTAGATAATTAGTACCTAGTGAATGTCAACATAGGCAGCTGCTGCCACTGCTATAAGCATTTCCGCTAGTATTCGTCTTTCACTGAACGACAAACATCAAAATTGGATTGTCATTTTGTTGCGCGATGTGGTTGCACGACTTCGTTCGGTTTGTGGTGATGTTCGTTGCAATGTTGTTCGTCAAAATGCGAGCGCTGCGGTTCGTCGCGTGGTTCGGTTCGCGATGTTGTTACATATCTGCACATAGCTTAAGAAAATGTCTGGCTGCTAAGTGAAACCACGTATGCTTGCTATACTCCTTACTTTTTCAAGTACAATTGACAATTTATTTTGCTTATCTGCCTTCTTGGTGACACTTCGTTTGTTTTTTTCACACATGTCTACACAGTTTGTTACTACGATAGTCTGAATGGCCTATAACATGCTGAGGCTGCGCGAAGACATCGGCAAGCCCTCCAAAACGACCAGCGATTTTGAGATTGTCTGTCATTTTTTAATGTACTAGATGCGTCAGCCTCGTCCATCGTCCCGAAAACGTCAAAAGTCCACCCACCCAGAACTGTTGTAACACAGAGGACAATTGTACTTGGAAAAGGTACTGGTCGAAACATCGTACAATAAACAGAAATTTAAACATGTATGTCGTTTGATTTAGTAAGTTTCAGGGGTTTCAGCATCCTTAATATCTTTTACCTATTTATTTACGCGATGTAACAGCATTCAGCCCTATTCAACTAATTATCACTGTACAACAAATTTTACTTTTTTAATTGTATCTTGTGGGAAAAGTGCACTTCTTTGTTAATTTTGGGGCGCTGAATCCAAAAATTACAATGAAATAAAAAAATTAGTTGCGGTTTAGAAAAAAAAAATATTTTTAAGGATATATTAAAAAAAGTAACAAGATTCATATACTTATAAGAATCACTATATGCGCTGTCTTTTTGCTGTTCTTTTATGGATCGTTTCTGGAGCATCTCTACCAAGAGTCCAACAGTAGTCTGCAAGCATGGAAGGATTCCACTTTCCCTGGTACCTTTTTTCCATTGTTGAAATATCCTGATGAAAACGTTCGCCGTGCTCATCACTTACGGCTCCGCAATTGTCAGGAAAAAAGTCCAGGTGTGAGTGTAGGAAATGTATCTTAAGAGACATATTACAGCCCATCTTTTGATACGATGACAGCATATTTTTGGCAAGGGTTTTATAGTTGTCAGCTTTTCTATTTCCCAAGAAATTAGTGACCACCAGACGGAAATCATTCCAAGCAGTTTTTTCAATACCTGTTAAAGTGTTTTCAAACCGTGTATCTTTCAAAATATTTCGAATCTGTGGCCCAACAAAAATACTTCTTTAACCTTTGCCTCACTTAGTCTTGGAAATTTCTGACGCAGGTATTGAAAAGCTGACCCATCTCTATCTAATGCCTTGACAACGTTCATTAGGTCCAACTTGATATGCAGGCTCTAGGAATTGACGAACAGGCCAGTTTTGCCTGGTGTAATGAAGTGCCTTTGTCCGACTGTCCCATTCACACATAAAACAGCAAAACTTTGTGTAGCCTAGCTGCAGCCCAAGTAAAAGTGCAACAACTTTCAAATCGCCACAAATATGCCATTGGTGCTCATCGTATTTTATGCATGTCAATAGGTACTTCATATTGTCATATGATTCTTTCATGTGAACTGCATACCCTACAGGAAGAGATGGTAAAATATTTCCAATATGCAATAACACTGCCTTTAAACTCAATGTTGAACTGTCTATAAACAATCTCCATTCTTCTGGGTTATAGTTTATATTTAAAGCCGCCAGTAAGCCGTTAATGTTACTGCAGAAAACCAGGTTATTCTCCATATTGAAAAATGGTTCTAAGTCTTTGTGACGTTTACGAAAAACACATACCGAAACATCGACTTCTAACAAGTTCCACTGCTGCAGTCTTGATCCAAGTAACTCTGCCTTACATTTTGGAAGTTCTAAATCTCTTACAAGATCATTTAATTCTGACTGTATTATTTTGTGCGGTTGGTGGCATGACGTACTCGGTATAAAATCAGGATCTCTTGACGTTGATGGCATATCTTCTTCCTGACGAATCACTCGATCGCCATGATCTGATTCGTTTTCTGATTCGCAAGTGTAGGATTCTGGGGGTTTTGGAATAGGATTTTCGTCACTGTGAGGCACAGGTCTCATCGCAGATGGTATGTTTGGGTAGTTAATAACCGATTTTTTTTTCTTGGACATACCTGTGGCTTGTCAAACACAAGGTACCATGCAAAAGTAACAATCATTAATATGATTTGTAGGCTCTCTCCAAACCATTGGGACAGCAAAGCGCATAGACCGTTTTTTGTCATTTAACCAGCTCCTTAGACTTGAAGCACATGTATTACAGCAGATGTGGGGTGCCCACTGTTTGTCTTGATCACCTAGTTTACAACCGAAATAAAGCTGATATGCCTTTGTTATTAGCGGAGTAATAGACCGTCTCTGAGACGCAAAAGTCACATCACCACACACGTAACAAAACTGATCTGGATTGTTTACACACTTTCGAGACATCTTGCATGAACGCTGTCAGCCAACTGAGGAAAAAATGGCTAATATAAAACAATATAATGAACACGTATGTATCACGTAACACAATCATGCCGATTACATCATCTTTCCTTGCCGAATATAAAAATGTAGCACATGCATTCTTGTGAATTACAGTATATTAACACTGTCACAGCAGGAACACATATAATTACCGTATCTCTAAAACTTGAACTAATATTGAGAAAATAAGTTTCATTCCGGTTTTAGCACATTAAAAATAGTAATATTTTGTTGATTTTATTTAGGATATTTTTTGGCTGTTGATCAGTGTTATGGATCCTAGTTGGTGAATTTTATGAATTGTAAAAGTGCCTAGACGAATTTTCTCCTCACCCTGAACGTTTGGAGGTGCGTTCCCAAACTCGTCCTTGACATTTTCCAGGAAGCTGAGAGCCCATCGCAGGTGGTTCCTGGGGATATCTCCACCTTTTCCGTTCGCCATCACCATTACAACGCTGAAGGTGGCCGCCAGCAAATCGACGATGTCCTGGGAAGGATCAGGAGCAGCACGCTGGTCGTCGTCCCCTGTGTCCATGTCGGAAAAAAGCACCCAGGGGGCCGTTTGCATCGCATTGCGGATGCGATAATCGCGGCTGACGTAGCCCGGGCTGGCCATGAAACTAAGAACAGGATTAGTTGTAATGACAAAGATAAATCTCAAAAGCTATAATATTCAGGATTGGTGGTAGTTCCCCGTATTCTGGGAAATCAATCTCTCAAAGTATCGTTGGAACTTAACCAGTATCAGCTTCGAATTATTGACATTTTTTGGAATTTCTGAATAAAATGGCGTAAGTAGGTGTATGATGAATCTTCGACCTCTACATATCAGACTATATAAAATAATTCTATAGAAAACGTGTATGACTCATTATTCAGCTGTGTAATATACTATGTGACATATAAATCCGAACACCCAGTTTAAATGGTTTTATTTTAATAAAAGTTGGTGAATGTATTTATCTTACTGTAAATAACAAGTGAAAAAATTTTCAGCCTTATCAGTTGGACATTCCGGTTTTTATACTGCTTTTTTTTAATTCACTAACGCTCTAAAAATGAATATTTCAGCCGCAGTAAAGAATCAACGTTGGCGGATTTTGGTTCTTGACATCCTTTACGATCGGTTACGATGCCTAGAGTACGGAGACCTGTACGATTTCGTCAACTTAGTGAGTTTGATAGGAGCCGTATAGTGGGACTTCGGGAAGCTGGACTTTCTTTTCGGGCAATTGCAGTTAGAGTGCAAAGAAGTGTAGACACTGTGGTTAAGTGTTGTCAGGCATGGCTTCGAGAAGGCCGTACGCAAAGAGCAAGGGGCTCTGGACGCCGCCGTAGAACAACAGACCGTGAAGATCGCCGCCTAAGATTATTGGCCTTAAGGGACCGTTTCTCCACTACCAGGTCCATTGCAAATGAATGGTTTGCAGAACACGGAAGACCTATTGGCATGCGAAGTGTTTACCGACGAATAAGAAGTTTTGGCTTGTTTTCATACCGGCCACACTGGGTCCTCCCTTTAACTCGAGAACACCGACGTAATCGCCTTGAGTGGTGCAGACAACGGTCACTCTGGGATCAGGAATGGAACAGTATTGTCTTTAGTGACGAGTCTCGATTTTGTTTAGGCATGCACGATGGTCGTGCCAGGGTTAGAAGGCGACGTGGTGAAAGGAGGAATCCACAGTTTTTTGTTGAAAGACATGTTCATCACACTGTTGGAGTTATGGTTTGGGGTGCTACAGCTTATGGTTCCAGGTCACCTTTAATCTTCATCAGAGGTAACATGAACGCGCAGCGTTATATCCACGAAGTTCTAGAACCCCATCTTTACCCTATCTTGACACCCTGGCAGATCCAACTTTCCAACAAGATAATGCCCGACCACATGTTGCAAGAGTCACAATAGACTTCTTTCAACATAATGATGTCACATTGTTACCATGGCCACCAAGATCTCCCGACTTATCCCCAATTGAGCACGTGTGGGATATGATGGGTAGGAGATTGCTCAATTTGCAACGTCCTCCTCAGACTCTAGAAGCACTTCGAGAGGAGTTGGTGGCTGCCTGGAATGAGATACCACAGGAGGACATTGACCACCTGATCAGAAGCATGCCTAGGCGCGTTGGATAACGCGTAGCACATCAGGGTGCATCCACACATTAGTAAAGGTCAAAGGGCTTTAAAGCAGTGCAATCATTTTGAAATTTATCATTTACTTATTATGCTTCATTAAGTACTTATACAAAATTTTATTAAAATAAAACCATTTAAACTGGGTGTTCGGATTTATATGTCACTTAGTATATGTTCCAGCGATTTTTCTTCTTTGTCCGTAGTTTTAAAAATCTCCGACTACCTAAATGATAAAAGCATTAAACTCGCGATAATATTTAAACTTCAGTTCACAAGTCTTCTGTTGCATAAAAGTATCTGCATCACAAAGTTCGTGTTTCTCATTTATGTCAGTTTGTCAGTTCGTGTCTGTTGTATTTCAATGCGTAATATGTACTGAGTAAATCTACTTGATGAAACATTCAGAAAACCATTATCTACTGAGTAACACAATTAAAGATCAGGCAAACGGGTGAGTATATTTAAGGATCACATAACATCCAGAAAAAGATGTGTTGATATAAAAACAAATCATTTACAAAAGCATCGCAGAACGCCAAAGTGGTATGTACTACTAACACCCAAATATTCCTAAAATATATAAATATTTCCCTGTTGCAGTGTAGCGGTGTGTCCGTGCCGACATCGCCGCAGTACTCCAGTTGGAGTTAGTTACCTATTGTGCCTGCCAACGCAAACGACTGAAAGTTATTACGAATTATCGCCACATTATACTGTCATTTAGTTTCCCCGTTGTTACCGGAATCAGAAGCTTCTTAATAATAAAACGTCTCTGACTGATACTAAAGACGTGACATTTACAACCTCTACTCCCGACCACGTCCAAGCCCCTATCTTCAACACCTACATTTTTTTTTTTCGGAAATAATCAGGAGCCTCTGAAACGTCAAAAAACGGAGTATGTGCGATTTTCAAAAACTAAAAAAAAATATCCCAGAGGTTAAATTTTTTTTTTAGATTTTCCGATAATATCTCATCGAAAAATTGGTTATAATATTGTGAAAATTGAATATAATGTAGGTAATTAGGATTAAAAGCGGGAGTAAGGTACAGATGTAACAATATTAATATTGTAAAATTATAATTATTATAGTAGTAGTAGAAAGATTTATTTAGCACATTTGGCTACATAAACAGAATAATTGTAAACAACTTAGAACTAGTAAATTCAAGCCATATGGTGTATGATGTAAATGCTGAGCAACCTATAATTGTAGATTTAACAAGTGATTTCTCAATTTTACTTTAAATTTTGTCAAAGTTTTCTGGTCTTTTATCTCCGAGTATAATTTATTATATTCAATCAACCCTTGATGGAATACAGATTTGTAGCATATGTTATACTTTTTGGTCATTAAATGGAAGTCGTCTTTATTTCTGGTATTATCTAAATGATGGTCGACATTTGATGATGTTAAATTAGTTACACTTGATGGAAATATATTATTTTTTACTTTATAAATGAATATCATTACAAGATATTTGATAAAATTTTTTACATTGAGCCATTTTAATTTGCTAAGCATTTGCCTAATTGGAGTATATTTATCTTTATTTAGTATTATTCTCATGCACTTATTTTGTAAAATTTGCAGTCTTTCAAAAATGGAATTATTTGCTAAATATAGAATAGTCGAACAGTACAAGAAATTTCTAAGAATGATGGTATTATAGATAATTTTTCTGCTATATGAACTCAGACATCCAGAAACTCTCGATAAATATCCCACTTTACTACTAATCTTATTTATAACTTTTTCATAATGAATGTCAAAAATTAATCGAGAGTCAACAAAAACCCCCAGGTATTTAAAATTTTCTACGAATTCAATATCTTTACCATCAATATTCAGTTGAACATTTGTACATTGTTTTTTTTCCGATTAACAAGGCTTTCGTTTTACTTGCATTTAATCTTAGTCTGTTAGATGCTAACCATTTTGAGATAAGCTTCAAGTCTTCATTTATATAAGAGATACCAGACTGAATATTTTTAGTACTTATATAAATCATAGTGTCATCGGTGAAAATCTGAATTTTGCATTTTTTTACTATGGCAGGTAAATCATTTATGTATAAAATATATAGTGGCGAGTAAACATTTATTTATTATATTTACTTATTTATTTATTTATTTATTCGTTTATTTTCGTTCGTTGTCTACCTAGTTCAATAAATAATAATTGTATTCATCAAATAAACCGTAAACTTACGATGTGGCATCCATAACACTTTTGGATCTTTTAGATCGTAGAGATGATCTGGATCTCATGGTGGACCTGGAGCTCCTGGAGCTCCTTTCAAGGTCAACGTTTGGCTGGATGGCAGCTTCAGGAAGCTCGATGTTTGCGATCCCACCTGGACGGGGCAGCGCGAAGAACAGCTCCGGATGGAGCTCCTGAAGGTACGCCATTTTTTCTAATCACTGGAATTTTGGTGCTGCCAAAAGTGGTACTTCAGTCAAGATACTGACAAGGGAAGAAGGACGTAGGCTAAAAGCAGTATATATAGTGAAACATACTGAGGTACTAAGCCTATACGGGGTGTTTCAGAATAAAATGTTAATTAGTTTAATTAGTAGATGAAATTGCGTATTTCATTACCGTGTCAAAACTAACTTTCTGCATAAATGCTAACCCCGGTATTTGTGCTCGGTGTACATGTTTGAAAATTTTGATTTGCAGCACGCCATTACCACCTTCATGATTTTTAACATTTTCTGCTTGTCGCAATGAGCTATGATCCCGTTCACCCTCAACGTAGCGCTTACTGTACTTTATTTTTTATGGAGTTCAATGTTTTGTGTGTGCCTTGCTCGGCTTGATGTCTTCTTAAAAGAAAATTAATATAAAAAAATTATAAAAGACAATTTCAAATTTGATGAACACAAGAAAATGGAAGGAAAGAATAGAAATATAACTCAAGAAACAAACTCTTTTCAGTCGCTTATATACTAAGTGACATATAAATCCGAACACCCAGTTTAAATAGTTTTATTTTAATAAAAGTTGGTGAATGTATTTATCTTACTGTCAATAACAAGTAAAAAAATTGTCAGCTTTATCAGTTGGACATTCCGGTTTTTATACTGCTTTTTTTTAATTCACTAACGCTCTAAAAATGAATATTTCAGCCGCAGTAAAGAATCAACGTTGGCGGATTTTAGTTCTTGACATCCTTTACGATCGGTTACGACGCCTAGAGTACGGAGACCTGTACGATTTCGTCAACTTAGTGAGTTTGATAGGGGCCGTATAGTGGGACTTCGGGAAGCTGGACTTTTTTTTCGGGCAATTGCAGTTAGAGAGCAAAGAAGTGTAGACACTGTGGTTAGGTGTTGTCAGGCATGGCTTCGAGAAGGCCGTACGCAAAGAGCAAGGGGCACTGGACGACGCCGTAGAACAACAGACCTTGAAGATCGCCGCCTAAGATTATTGGCCTTAAGCGACCGTTTCTCCACTACTAGGTCCATTGCAAATGAATGGTTTGCAGAACACGGAAGACCTATTGGCATGCGAAGTGTTTACCGACGAATGAGAAGTTTTGGCTTGTTTTCATACCGGCCACACTGGGTCCTCCCTTTAACTCGAGAACACCGACGTAATCGCCTTGAGTGGTGCAGACAACGGTCACTCTGGGATCAGGAATTGAACAGTATTGTCTTTAGTGACGAGTATCGTTTTTGTTTAGGCATGCACGATGGTCGTGCCAGGGTTAGAAGGTGACGTGGTGAAAGGAGGAATCCACAGTTTTTTGTTGAAAGACATGTTCATCACACTGTTGGAGTTATGGTTTGGGGTGCTGTAGCTTATGGTTCCAGGTCACCTTTAATTTTCATCAACCCCATCTTTTACCCTATCTTGACACCCTGGCAGATCCAACTTTCCAACAAGATAATGCCCGACCACATGTTGCAAGAGTCACAATAGACTTCTTTCAACATAATGATGTCACATTGTTACCATGGCCACCAAGATCTCCCGACTTATCCCCAATTGAGCACGTGTGGGATATGATGGGTAGGAGATTGCTCAATTTGCAACGTCCTCCTCAGACTCTAGAAGCACTTCGAGAGGAGTTGGTGGTTGCCTGGAATGAGATACCACAGGAGGACATTGACCACCTGATCAGAAGCATGCCTAGGCGCGTTGGAGAATGCGTAGCATATCAGGGTGCATCCACCCATTATTAAAGGTCAAAGGGCTTTAAAGCAGTGCAATCATTTTGAAATTTTTATCATTTACTTATTATGCTTCATTAAGTACTTATACAAAATTTTATTAAAATAAAACCATTTAAACTGGGTGTTCGGATTTATATGTCAGTTAGTATAGTAAAATTTCGTTTAATCTCTATGTATAACAAGCTTATTCATTTTTCGTTGTGATGAACGAAAATCCTGACCCCTATAGATGTCACATTAAGCTATGTTCACGTTACTCAAGTGCAAGATTTTTAAAAAATCCACCAGAAAATCTTATTTATTTAAGAGGGTATAACTCAAAATAGCTAAAATATTATCTGAAAAAATTTTACATTGTTTCGTGTTGCCCTTTAAGGGATATAGCCATAGACATTCACATTTGTACACTAGATTCATTCAATTTATACAACAAAACTGTTATTCTAACAATTTAAAAATGATCTATTTTCTCTCTTTTATTCTGAATTAGTCTATTCTACTTTAATAATATTGACAAATACTTATGCAATACCCTCTTATTATGAGTGCTTTCTCGATGAACGTTTTTTTATTTCATATTTATTTGTTATTGCTTCCTACACCACTGGACGAGGAGGTATTGTCATCGCGAAAAATTTCGAAAATGAGATATTATGTTGATGTTATATGACATGTGCACGAAAAACCACGTCAATCATTGTTGGTCTGCCTGTCTGTCCGTTAATCCTTGGACTGCCTATAACGTGTAAAGAAAATTTCCACCCAACCCAAGGACGAAAAAGCTTTGTAGTTTTTGAAAATCGGATCAGTATTTATTTATTTATTTATTGAAATCCACCACCAACAGTGTTAACCAATTACTGGTGGCAAAACAACAATAGAAATAGTAAAAAAAACATATAAAAATACAACGAAAACTAAAAACTAAATCATTTCACTGCAAACTCTCTTAATATTCGAAATACTTGTGTTGAACAAATCAAGTGTACTCTGTAGACTATTATAACATGAACACATCGAGTACAAAGGTGAGTGCAACAGTAAGTTAGTTCGTGGGGTAGGTAGGTAAAAAGTGAATGTATTGCGAGTAACAAATTTTGGAGCATTAAATTTAATCTGTGCTAGAAATGATGGACAATCATAACTGCTATGCACTACTTTATGCAGGAATATTAGCGAGTGAATCTTTCTTCTGTTATCAAGACTGATAAACTTGTGCTTACGTAACAGGTCTTCCTGTGGGACCCCAATGGGTGGGTACGTACCGTCAATTTTGAATGAAAGAAATTTCAGAAATTTCCGCTAAATCTTCTCCAGAGAGCCACAAGTTGTAACATAGCATGGATTCCATATTAGCCGTCCATATTCTAATTTAGACAGTATGAATGAATTATAAAGCATAATCATGGCATGTTTGTTACTTAATTCCTTTGAGTTACGTATTACAAATCCTAATAATCTGTTGACAGCATTAATAAGGTACTCAATATGAGGATTGAAGCTAAGTGACATGTCAAAAATCACACGCAGGTCCTTGCATTCTTGTACTCTCAGCAGAGAATGATTGCCAATTCTGTAGTCAAATGCAATAATATCTAGATTTCTGGTGTAAGACATAACACTACATTTACTGTAGTTAATTGGAAGTCGATTTACAGCACACCATTTAACTATTTTGGCTAGGTCTTTTTGTAAGCGAGCACAGTCAGTGCTGCAGTCGACATTGGAAAAAATTTTCACATCATCAGCATAGATTAAGTGGCTGCTGTCGATGTCGCTAACAATATCGTTTATGAACAGTATGAAAAGCAAAGGACCTAAGCAGGAGCCTTGAGGTACCCCTGAGGTTGGGAAGAATTCCATGGATTTGACACCCTCATATTCAACGTATTGCTTTCTTCCTTATAGATATGACTTAAGAAAGGATAACAGCTTGGGGGAGAATCCAAAATAGCTCAGCCTCGTTAACAGAATACTGCGATCAAGTTTGTCAAATGCTTTACTAAAATCTGTATAAATTACATCCACCTGGCTATTAGCATCTAATGCAGAGGAGACTGACTGAGCTAAACAGGCTAGGTTAGTTATGGTTGATCTACCCTAAATAAAGCCATGCTGAGAAGTACTTATTTGGGAATGTGTATTGTGGTATAGGAAATTATGAAGCAAAGTTTCTAAGGCCTTGGAAAAGATACATACTAGGGTTATCGGTCTATAATTTTCAACATGTAGTCTATCACCCTTCTTGAAAATGGTACGCACCTTTGATTCGCCCCAAATTTCAGGAAACGTGTCAGTCTTTAAACATAGGTTGAAGATGTTTGTCAAGGGATGAGCTAAGACGTAGCACAGTCACGCACTAAAAATGATGGGATTCCATCGGGTCCGGAGGTAAATTTATTTTTCATTTGCTTTAACACTGTAAAAACTTCTTCTTCGGAAAAGCTCTGAAGTATTATGTTAGTATTCAAGTCTGAAATATTGATATCAGTTGCGTTCGAGGGCATAGTATATACAGATTGAAAAAATTGCGCAAAAGCATTAGCAATTTCATTGGGTTTGTCATACTGCTTACCATTATAGTTTACTTGGCTGATTGTGGAATTTTGTCCACTTTTATTACAGATAAATGACCAGAAATTGTTCAGATCCTGAGATAGGCTAATTTGGATATCTACTAGATATTTTTGATATGCGTTACGCTCATCGCGCTTAATTTTGGTCCTTAAGTCTTTGAACTCAGTGTATGTGATCAAACTTTTATCCTTTTTAAACTTCTTGTGTAGCAAATTTTTTCTTTTAATGTCTCTAATCATTTCACCGTTAAACCAAACTGGAAATTTGAGAGATCTGAGACTTGTCCTAGGGACACACATATTAAAAATTTTACGAAGAATGTTATAAAATGTTTCCAAAGCTACGTTTACATCTGTTAAATTGTCAATAAACGTCCAATTAACCAAGCTTATTTGTTCATATAGTGCTACAAAATTGGCTTTTCTGAAATTATATGATTCTCTGGCGCATTTGATACTCTTTTTAGAATGGAAGCTCATGTTGATTATCATGACAAGCGGAGGATGGTGAAAATCCTCAGGTAGTAGGTCATCATAAGCCTTAACGACGCTACATTGTTTATTTGATAACACTAAATCTAATAGCCTATTATTTTCATTCCGAACATCACTGAATTGAGAAAGATCGAAGAAACCCATAAATGACTGAATTGTTTTCTGCTTGTGAGAAGATTGGAGGTGATTTTCATTAACAAATTCGGGAACATTAAAGTCACCTAGTATATAAATACTTTTGCCAAAGAGGTAATCAAGCGATTCTAGATGTTCAAAGAATCTTTCATAGCAGGAAGTACTCGTGTCAGGCGGTATGTATATCACAAAGAAATAAGTCACTTCATTTTTATATCTAAGTTTGATTCCAATTATGTCAATACTGGGAATATCGTCTCTGATAAAAGTCATATTTACCTCTGATGCAGCAAGTTGATTACGAATACCAATTAAGACACCACCTCCTCTAGAACACCCCATCGCAGAGAAATTTCTGTCCGCTCTAAATACAACATATTTGTCAGTAAATAATTCAGAACTAAGTACTGCAGACTGCAGCCAAGTTTCAGTACAACAGATGATATCATAGTCAGACATAGCGACATTTACAAAGAATTCTTTACACTTTGAGTTCATACCGCGTACGTTCTGGTAGTAAACATAGATGTGACGATCAGAAAAGGTAGAAGTAGAAACTCTTACAAAATTTTGAGTATTTAACTGTTCATAAGGAATTTCACCGGGAAAATCCGAACTAAGAAAAAAATAAAAAAAAATATCAGTGGAGCTAGAGACAAAAACATGAAGGGAACATCATTTTTCGACGTTCCAGAAGCTCCTGATCGTTTCCAGAAAAACTTTTGTAGGCATTGAAATTCGGAGTTGGTGGGTTATAATGGGTGGAGGAGAGTATTTGAAATTTTATCTTTGTTTATTTATACACTCTCAACGCCGGTAATTCTATGCACTTGCTAGCCATACCTCACTCATCATAGATGTCCCCGTATATTTCTCTTTAAAACTTAGAATGATAGAGAACTGTTTTCGATCTGCGTACTCCTGCTATCTAAGCTCATCGCCAAGCGTACCGGTCCAGCTGACCAATCTATCTTCCAAGAGTGTCGGAACTTATTTTTGGTACACCCCGTATAGTCTGCATACATTGGGTGCTTGTCGAAATATACAACTACAAGGTGGGTATCAGTTACATTAAAGAAAGAACTTTGCTATTTGTTGGTGGTTGAAAATAAAAGGACTGGACTCTACAAACCGATGAAACTATAAATAATTATTTGCAAGTGATGTGTATAGTCGACAATCAACTAAAAACTAAAACTTCATTCATTCCCCGCTGATCTAGCAGCCGCGTTTCGACGTGTCAAACGTTTGTCATTTTATTTCGGTAATTTTCTGTCTGCGATCCCGAATATTCAAAATTTTCTGTGGTATCCAGCTATATGGCAGGCCAAGGCCAAAGGATCATCATTCCCAAAGGTAGTATTAGAACGGGACAGACCAACGTTATTGAGATTCCGGTACATCTGCAGAACTCTAGTGTAGTCGTAGCACAACCGAAGGACGCTCCTTCTGAAACACCAGCCATGGAGGTACGTTTTTCTACTTTTCCATCATGACACATTCAGATAAACTAATATTTTGCCACAGTTAGTGTTATTTCATAAGGCCATTGTAATGGTAAAGCTCAAAGTTGTATCATTTGACAGCTAGTCTCTCTACAGAGTGTTATACCGTTCAAAGCGGCTCCAGAGTATGAATATACCGTCAAGGTAATCGTTTAAGGAAATTTTTGATGATTTCAAGAATTCATTCATCGGTTTGTCATCCCAACAGGGTCTTACGTTACAGCTGTGAGTACATTCATGAATAAAAGTACAGTTTCAAAATAAACGCAAGCAAAATTTTGGTCAACTTTGTAACGTCATAACTTTTTTATTTTTACTCGATTTCATTGACAAGTTCAGAAGAGTGTAGGTAAAGTCATTGGCCTTATTGATATGAGTTGTTGATTGCAGTAACAGCTTGGATCGTTCTACAGGGTAAATTAAAATGGTTTCATTACCCCAACTTTGAGTCAGACTGCAATGCTTTCCATTATCAAGATCCACATTTTCTATATAATCTAATTTTTTAAATACGTAATATATACAGAGGTTGAAGTTATGAGGAAAATGATTCTACCACCAATTTTGCATCTTCCTTTCATTACCTTTTTAATTCCCGTACAAAGTCAAAAAGTTTCTCATCGATTTTTACAAAAATCTATTGCTTGTCTGTGCAAGGTTTACATTCTTTTATACAGTCATTGCTTCTGCTTATCTACAGTGGCGAGGGTAAAATGAAAACATTTGACTTAATTTAAGAACATGCTGTATAATATACTAAGTGACATATAAATCCGAACACCCAGTTTAAATGGTTTTATTTTAATAAAAGTTGGTGAATGTATTTATCTTACTGTAAATAACAAGTGAAAAAATTTTCAGCCTTATCAGTTGGACATTCCGGTTTTTATACTGCTTTTTTTTAATTCACTAACACTCTAAAAATGAATATTTCAGCCGCAGTAAAGAATCAACGTTGGCGGATTTTGGTTCTTGACATCCTTTACGATCGGTTACGATGCCTAGAGTACGTAGACCTGTACGATTTCGTCAACTTAATGAGTTTGATAGGGGCCGTATAGTGGGACTTCGGGAAGCTGGACTTTCTTTTCGGGCAATTGCAGTTAGAGTGCAAAGAAGTGTAGACACTGTGGTTAGGTGTTGTCAGGCATGGCTTCGAGAAGGCCGTATGCAAAGAGCAAGGGGCACTGGACGCCGCCGTAGAACAACAGACCGTGAAGATAGCCGCCTAAGATTATTGGCCTTAAGGGACCGTTTCTCCACTACCAGGGCCATTGCAAATGAACGGTTTGCAGAACACGGAAGACCTATTGGCATGCGAAGTGTTTACCGACGAATGAGAAGTTTTGGCTTGTTTTCATACCGGCCACTCGAGAACACCGACGTAATCGCCTTGAGTGGTGCAGACAACGGTCACTCTGGGATCAGGAATGGAACAGTATCTTTAGTGACGAGTCTCGATTTTGTTTAGGCATGCACGATGGTCGTGCCAGGGTTGGAAGGCGACGTGGTGAAAGGAGGAATCCACAGTTTTTTGTTGAAAGACATGTTCATCACACTGTTGGAGTTATGGTTTGGGGTGCTATAGCTTATGGTTCCAGGTCACCTTTAATCTTCATCAGAGGTAACATGAACGCGCAGCGTTATATCCACGAAGTTCTAGAACCCCATCTTTTACCCTATCTTGACACCCTGGCAGATCCAACAAGATAATGCCCGACCACATGTTGCAAGAGTCACAATAGACTTCTTTCAACATAATGATGTCACATTGTTACCATGGCCACCAAGATCTCCCGACTTATCCCCAATTGAGCACGTGTGGGTCATGATGGGTAGGAGATTGCTCAATTTGCAACGTCCTCCTCAGACTCTAGAAGCACTTCGAGAGGAGTTGGTGGTTGCCTGGAATGACATACCACAGGAGGACATTAACCACCTGATCAGAAGCATGCCTAGGCGCGTTGGAGAATGCGTAGCACATCAGGGTGCATCCACACATTATTAAAGGTCAAAGGGATTTAAAGCAGTGCAAGCATTTTGAAATTTTTATCATTTACTTATTATGCTTCATTAAGTACTTATACAAAATTTTATTAAAATAAAACCATTTAAACTGGGTGTTCGGATTTATATGTCACTTAGTATAATTTAGCGCTCTAGCCTTTTGAAACAGGACAATAACCACACATCGTCAACTAATTTTTAAGTGCATGAAAATTCGACCAAGTATTGTTCTTTTGGAGCAGAATTAATGTAACACAACACAGATTTTATTCAGTATTATACTCTTCAGATAGACGCCTAGCGCGATATATCCTAATATCGTCTTCTGAAGAACAATCCTCGATAGATTTTCCAGGAACATGAAATTTGAGGAACTGGTTATTGCCCTGACACTGTATTACAGAAGGATAGATAGTAAAATTATTATACAAATTCAGTCAAATGTTTTCATTCTCTTCGGCACTGTAGATAAACGGTAACAATGACGATTTAAAAAGTGAGCCTAACGCAGAAAAGCCGATAGATTTCTGAGCAATTTGGTGAAAAACTTTTTTAATTGATACGGGAATTAAAAAAGTTTGCAAAGCAGGAAGGAAAATTGGTAGTAAAATGTCCATTTGCCTCTAAAACTTCAACCACTTTATATATTGACGTGAATAAAAAACCAGATTATAGAAAGGTGTGGTTCTTGATAATAGAAAGTATTGTGGTCTCATTGGCAACTGGATTCACACCACAAGTGAACCAAAGTCATTTTGATTTACCCTGTACAGTACAACGTACAACAAGTCAAACCATGACTACGATCAAAAACTCATATCTACACATTAATGCCTGCTGAAAAAATCAATAAAATCGAGCCAAAAATAAAAAAGTTATGACGTTCCGTATTCGATCAAAATTTTGCTTGTTGCGTTTATTTTCAACCTGAGTGTAGAAGGAAGAGCGAAATACTATATTACGAGGGTGGTCCGAGAAGTACCCGACCCAACGAAGAAAACACAAAAATTTTGTAAAAAAATGTATTTATTTTTTAACATAATCTCCTTTGAGCTCTATACACTTTTCCCAGCGATGTTCAATAAGTTCGATACCCTTTTTATAATACGAACTGTCTTGCTCCTCAAAATAGCCATTAACTGCCGACATCACTTCTTCATCGTTGGAAAATCTTTGACCACCAAGCCATTTTTTCAAGTTTGGAAACAGAAAATAATCCGAGGGGGCTTACTCTGGTGAATAGGGTGCATGAGGTAGCAATTCCAACTTTAAATCGTTAATTTTGGCCATTGCAATAATGGATTTGTGAGATGGTGCATTGCATTGATGGAACATTTTCTTCTTAACCAAATGTGGCCGTTCTTGCTTGATTTCATCGCTCAAACGTTGCAATGAGTTCGCATAATACTCTCCGTTGATAGTTTTACCTTTTTCAAGAAACGACGCAAAAATTCTGCTTTGTTGCTGTGAAACTTCGCTAAACACTGAATTGAAACATCTTCACGACACTGTTTTTGCTCGATTGTGAGCAATCGCGGCACCCATCTTGCACACAGCTTTCTCATGTCCAAATTTTCAGACAATATGCGATGAACCGCACTTTTTGAAATGCCTACTATGTCTGCTGGCTCGCGCACTTTCAGTCGACGATCATTCAGTACCTCTTTGTGAATTTTCTTCACCATTTCTGGAGTCGTCACCTCATTTGGTCGACCACTGCGATGCTCGTCTTGACAGCTGATACGGCCCCGTTTAAACTCTGCTATCTAATATTTTACTGTTGTAAACGAAGGAGCAGACTCACCCAGAGTAGAATCCAGTTCAGCTTTTATATTGGTTGGGCTGAGGCCTTTGAAATAAAAGTATTGTACCACGTAACGATGACCAATTTTCTCCATTTTCACAAATTCACTGAAAACGTTCAGTATTGATGGCTGCCAAACAAATACTAAACAACGTGGCGTCTTCAAACTTGACACATATGCTTTATAGGTTGCATACTTTCTAAAACAATGATATTTTTCAAACAACTATCGCCATCTCTAGGCCAAGCCGGGTACTTCTAGGACTACCCTCGTAGTAACGTTGTTCTAAGGGAAATATAGAAAGTGGCTGATTTAAATTTATTTGCAGGGCGGTGGCCGATGTGTTCCATCATGTGTCAATTATAATGTTCCGCGGTCTAGAGCACCCATTGCCCCTGAGGTAAGTAACAGATTATACGTAGAGTCAAAGTTTTCCCCTATAATTTGTGTACCCTCTGTCAGAAAAACGCCGATTTTGGACGTTGCAGAAAAGAGTAATCCGCGGAAAAATTACTCTACATTTTCTGCGAATACTGTAATTTTGTGCGACCGCGGTCGTGACTCAACCCTATAAATAATCCCAAGACTTATATTGTTTTCTGAAAGAAACAACGTGAAGCACTCAATAGCGTTAATATCATGTGCTTTCAACCCAGCTAAGTTGGTTAAAAGCCAATTTACTGGAACTAAGTGTGAAAGGTTAACTAACAACGTGTTTTCAAAGTTGAGTCAGTTATTCTTACTGCCTGTTGGACTCGTTGATATACCAAAAATCACCTATGTAAAAGTTGCATAATATAAGAAAACTATTTCTACTAAGAAGATTAAAAACTTTTAAAAATAAAAATGTTATTACACAGTTTTTTTATATTCTCGACCACTATCGTGTAAAGTCGTTTATCTAAATTTGGCAAACGTTTTGTGTTATTGTATGGTTTTCAGTGCGAATCTGTCTGATTATTTTGTGCGAAAAGATAGCCCATGTTTACGTGAACTAGTGGAGATAATACTAACATACGGAGAGTGCCAACAAAATGGAGCCGCAGCATGCAGGTTGTATTTCCTTTAAGAAATCATACAACCCCACTTTGAGTTACACAGGGCGTTTCAGTTTATTGTTGCATAACTTTAAGATTCGATAGAACTTTTAAAATTAATGCATAAAGTCTACATAAACATGGGTCGAAAAATGCGTGGCTTCCGAAATACAGGGTGTTTAAATTTACTTTCTAAAATAGTTTTTTTTAAATATTTCGGACAATATTTGATGTATAACAGACAAAATTGGTATACAAGGGTGTTTTGGTACGACAAAACGAACCATGGGCATAGTTTAACTGTAGCCGCTCGAGGGCGTTCTCTACTGTAGCTCTAGTGTATTAAAATGACCGAAAAAATTTTCTTAGTCCAATTTTTTGCTTTTTGAATATAAAAAACTGATTCTTCGCACTTTTAAACATAAAAAGCTCTCCTGTGAGATTTCGTTATAGTTAGCCGTTTTTGAGATATTTCGATTTTTAAGGTTCGATGCATTTTTAATTATTTATGGGAAAATAATCTTTTTTTTACATTTTCGATTTGGGCATTACAAGTAATTAAGATGATCATTTAGATTGTGTTTTTAAACACAGCAATAATTCCTAACTCCAAATAAACACAAAAAACAGAATATTAATTTGTTTAATTTTCAAATATTATTTTTAACAAATTAAATTAATTATTTATAACTAAAATGCTATTGGATAGTTAGGACAAACATACAAAATCTAAAGTAGTTGCTCGAAATGTAAACCCAATTGTTCAATACACAATTCACATCTACGAATGATCGAACGTGGTATAGCATTATTCAAATAAGGCCCTATTTCATCACATGCATTCCTGATTCTGTTTATTAGCATATCTCTTGTGGTTACGGGAGTCTGGTAAAAAATAGAAATCCCCACACAAAGAAATCTAATGGATTTAGGTCAGGGGATCGTGGAGGCCAGACGACTGGTCCTCCACGGCCGATCCATCTTTCTGTTCGTTCAACCAGTTTCTAGCTATTCTCGAATAATGAGCTGGACAACCATCAAGCTGGAACCAGGCCAATCTTCTTAAATCTAACATAATATCATCCCACATATTTGCATGTTAAGCCTTTAAAAATTCCAAGAAGGTCGCAGCATTTAACCTTGCAGGCAAAAGGTAGGTTCCAAATAGTCGATTAGGGTAGATACCAATCCACATGTTCACACTAAATTCATGCTGAAGATTTCTTTCCCGAACTGCATGCGGATTTTCATGCGACCAAATATGTTGATTATGAAAATTTACCACTCCACGTCTAGTGAAGCATGACTCATCGGTCCATAAAACGTTACTTAAAAACTCCCTATTATTATCAGTTCTATCAAGAATCCACTGACAAAATGTGATTCTTCGTTCTCCGTCCCCTGGCTGTAGTCCTTGCACAGGTTGCAAATGGTAAGGACGTCTATGGTCATTTCTAAGAACACGGTAAACATGGCTTGCTGAAATTCCCAAGGCACCAGAAACTCTCCTAACACATGTGGTCGGATCTCTAACAAACTCACGCAGAATCATACGGGTAAATCTGCGCTGACGAACATTTATGTTTTGATCCCTTTGGAGATTTCCAAAACCATTTTCAATTATTTCGCGATGCACTCTTACAAATACTGAGCGAGTTGGATGTCGTCTGTTTGGAAATCTTCGTGCGTATTCTCTGGCTGCTTCTGCTGCGTTTCCATTTACAAAGCCATACACAAAATGAATATCCGCTAACTCTTGATTGGAGAATAAAAATGGCATTTTTATAAAACTTACAAAAAAAACAGGTAAAAGAAACTAAATTTCGTGCATTCACAATTGCAAAAAAACGTTTCAGGTTTCAACAGACAACAAAACTAACTGTCAACTAATTGACGTTTAACCTTATTCTGCTTTCAATTTCAAAAATATTTGCAGGCACAGCCTACTTCTAACAATTATCGAGATACTGACTTTTTAACGTTATTTTATCATAAAAAATTAAAAATGCCTCGAACCTTAAAAATCGAAATATCTCAAAAACGGCTAACTATAACGAAAATTCACAAGAGAGCTTTTTTATGTTGAAAAGTGCGAAGAATCAGTTTTTTTATTCAAATAGCAAAAAAATGCACTAAGAAAAAATTTTAGGTCATTTTAATACACTACAGGTACAGTAGAGAGCGCCCTCTAGCGGCTACAGTAAAACTATGCCCATGGTTCGTTTTGTCGTACCAAAAACCCCTTGTATACCAATTTTCACTGTTATACATCAAATATTGTCCGAAATATTCAAATAGTAGAAAAGTAAATTTAAACACCCTGTATTTCGGAAGCCACGCATTTTTCGACCCATGTTTATGTTCTATCGAATCTTAAAGTTATGCAACAATAAACTGAAACACCCTGTATCTATCGAAATAAAGTAAAAAGCTTAGTCCTATTGATGAAAAATATGAAAATTATTAAACTAGATATTTGACAATACTAAAAAGTAAAGCAAATAAAATAAAACAAATACATTTTTGGAAATAATTAAATGATTGTGAAGCTCCTCCATGTAAAGTTTTCAAATAAAAGAGTGTTACACCCTTTTCGCATCATGCTGAGCCGACATAGTCGTACGACCACTACATTTGTATAAGGAGAACCAATTTCATCGCGAATTTTAAGTATTTTCAGCAACAAACTGATTTATACTGAGTGAGTGAGTAAGAGCTGCAACAGTCTGTGAATGCTGTTGCAAATTGAAGAGCCTGCGCCCTATCATTTCCCAGACACGTTCAGTTGGAGATATGCCTGGCGATCGTGATGGCCAAGGGTAAACGGTTGATGCAATGTTGATCCATGAAGGCTAACGTTGCTCTGGCAACATGCGGTCTGGCATTGTCTTGCCGGTTTTCGATGGTGTTTAGGTATGGAATAAGCCTCGGGCTATCATACGAGGGATGTCTTTTAAGTTTTGGATATAGAAACATAGTAGGCCGCGCGGATCGAACGTCAGTACTGAATCTTAACTTCACTCTTTAGTAAACATAAATTCAAAGTTTCACAATAATACGTGCAGCGTTTTTTTAAGTGTCACCAAGTCATTAGAAAAATGGAACTCAACCGAGAACATTTTCGCGCCATAATTTATTACAACTTTCAGAGACAATTACGAGTATCGCAACAAGAATGCCTTGCTGAGTTACTGTCGGTTTTCGGCAACGAAGCGCCAAATCAGTCGACAATTTCCCGTTGGTATGGAGAATTTAAACGTGGACGGGTGAGTCTTAGCGACGATCCCAGGGTGGGTGCACCCAGAAAAACGTCGATGCTGTGCGCAAACTCATCATTGAAGATAGACATGTGACATATCGCGAGACTGAGGCGTTCTTGAAGATCTCAAAGACCTCAAATCAAAAAATTTTACATGAAGAATTAGGAGTAAAAAAATTAGTTTCTCGTTGGATACCCCACCTGTTGACTGAAGAGCAGAAAGCAGCCAAGGTTAATTGGTGTCAAAAAACGCTTGACCGTTTCAATTCCGGAAACTCAAAATACGTGTACAGCATTGTTAGTGGTGATGAATCGTGGATTTACTGTTATGAACCAGAAAATAAACGACAGTCGGCTGTTTGGGTGTTCCAAGGTGAAGAAAAGCCAACAAAAGTAATCCGTTCTCGAAGTATTTCGAAAAAGATGTTCGCGACATTTGTGTCAAAAGCAGGTGATATTATTATTATTATTATGATAATTGAGATGAGCAGAGTACACAGTACTATAAGCTCAAGCAGTAAATATAGTGTACGGACACACACACAAATACATCAAATAGAAAAAAATAAAAAAAAACAGTTCATAGCTATAAAGTTTGTACACTCCTCCAGCTATCATACTGCACTTTGAAGCTATTAACTGAAGTAGCACCAACCACACTTTCAGGTAAACTATTCCAGGTGTTGAATATGCGGTTGGGAGGAAACCACTGTCGGACTGTTGTTTTAAATGGCTCCTTATGCAGTTTGAAGCTGTGTCCGCGTAGATTGCTGCGCGACAGACGGTATAGATGCATGAGGTTGGTGCCCATCAAACCATGAAGTATCCTGAACGTAACTATAAGATCGCCACGAAGTCTTCGCTCAGAGAATGAGGTCAGGTTGAATAATTCAAGGCGATCTTCATAGCTTGGTCTTCGTGCTTCAAAAGGGATACGAGTAGCCCGACGCTGTACTGATTCGACGAGATTTCTATCGCGCAGAAGCACAGTGTCCCATACCAGGCCAGCGAATTCAAGAATTGGCCTCACGAATGCCTTGTAAATGTAGGCGCAAGTGTTGACATCGGATCCTTTGAAAGACCTCTCCAGCATGTACAGAAGTTTCTTAGCTTTTGATGTAACGTGGTGAATATGCTCTGACCAGGAAAGACGATCGTTGACTACAACGCCCAGATCAGTGTGGCTGGAAACTGCTTCGATGTTGTGGTCAGAGATCTTGTATGTAAATCGCCGATTTGTCTTCCCGAGGTGAAGGACACAACACTTAGTTAGATTTAAGGGTAAAAGCCAACTGACTGACCATTGACAAACAATATCAAGATCTCGTTGAAGCATAGCAGAATTTACGACAGTATTGTAAATCTTGGTGTCGTCGGCATAAGCTGCACATGTGGAGGAAATCAATGCGGGCAGGTCACTTGTATACAGAAGGAACAGCATTGGCCCCAAGACAGAGCCTTGAGGAACTCCACTTGCTACATGGTGAAGGAGAGACTGGCTATCACTGACGCGCACAGAGAAAGTCCTCCCGGTGAGAAAAGCCTTAATCCACAGTAACAACTCGCCTCTTATTCCCATACATTCCAACTTAAACAGAAGCCTTCTATGTGGTACGCGATCGAAAGCCCTAGAAAAATCTAAGTAGATCATATCAACAGGAGTCTTTGTGTCCAGATACTGAGTCCAATCGTTGAGAGAGTGGAGAAGGTTGGTCATTATTGATCGACCAGGGAGAAATCCATGCTGATTCTTAGGGATAAGGTCATTTTCGAAAGCAAATGACAGGAGCTTATCTAATATGATTCTTTCAGCTATTTTGGCAGCGCTAGGAACGAGACTTATTGGTCGATAATTTTTAGCGGAGGATTTGTCGCCCTTTTTGAATACAGGGGTAACAGAAGCACTAAGCCAGCATGAGGGTAGGGTATGAGATCAAAAAGACGATGTGAATATCAAGCATAATGGTAGGGCCAGTGCTGAAGCGCAGTTTTTAAGTACAGCAGCCGTCATCCCATCTTTACCAGGGGAGGAAGAGGTCTTCAGATTTCGCAGGTGCATTAATACATCTTCAGGCAGGAACTCAACTTCGCAAAGGCTGTTGGGACACCTATGGCAGATAGTGGTCGGTAGAAGGTCTCCATTAGGCTCATCGACGAAGTCATCACTAAAGGACTCTGCCAGTAAGTTGGCAGATTCGGTGGCATCCATGTGGAGATGACGCGGATCTGAGGTGATGAAACTTTGGAATTCAGGTTTGTTCTTAGATACCGAAACAGCTTCTTCTTATTTTTGGAGGTAACGAGTTTTCGTTCATAAGCATGTTTGGCATTATGTAACGTTCTAGATAGGAGGTTAGAAAAGGATCGATGAGACACGTAATCTTGTGAATGGCCACTCCTCCTAAACCGTTGCCACAAAGATCTCTTGTGACGAAGCATCCTCGATATGTTAGAGTTGATCCATTGCTTTGAGGGGTCACACTATACCTTCTTTTCAACAGTATTGTCAGCCGTTTCGCTTAGGACTCGTTGAGCGAAAGTGTCCCACATGTCTTGGGTGCTACGGTTGTTAAGCAAAGCAGGCCAGTTGACTTCAGACAGGGCTTGGTTAAGAGCATCGTGGTTTACAATTTTGATGGTTTTAAACTTATAAGGTTGTAGAACGACTATTTATTGAACTGGAGAGCAGATAAAAGTGAACAGTGGTCAGACTTGCCAAAAGGTGGCAAATAATCTAAATTAGAAACAAAGTCGGCGTCGTTAACGAATATCAAATCCAGAGCCCTAGGCGTCTGTCCTTCCCTGAATCTCGTTGGACGATCAACAAGTTGAGATATGATAGAGTTTCGTAGCAAGTCGATGTAAGCAGCAGAAGAAGAATTGCATTCAGGAATGGTTGACATAGGCCGTAGATTGAAGTCACCAGCTATGAAAAGGTTGGTGTTTTTATTTAAGAGATCTGAAATGAGACTGCACAGGTGTGTGTCTCCCAAACAGGGCCGTGGCCGATATATGCAGCCTATCGTGAAGCTGAAATTTGGGCACCTCAATTCCAAAAATAGATTGTCAATGCCATCGAAAGGACTGAAAGAGGGAGATACCGAGAAAGCCGACGCGATTTCCGTGCGAACATAAATGCATACTCCACCAAAACCAGGAGTACGTGGTGAATCCATTCTGTATAAATAGTATCCAGGCAAATTGATGAAAGAGTCGGACACGTTGGAATGGAGCCATGTTTCAGTAAGGCAAACGACCGTTGGATTATTGTCTCGAACAAATGCTTGGAGTTCAAGTAGCTTAGAAAAGAGAGATTGTATATTAGTGTAACAAATCGTCCAGTTTGCCACAGAATTTATCAATTGCAACAATTCCTCTTAATGAGCAAAGAACTGTTACTGCGGATTGGTATACCACCATTTGTTTGCCAAAGGTCATCACCGAGCTTCGAAAAATCAACCCCAAAAGAAGAATCGTCCTCCATGAAGAGAATGCAAGCTCGCACACAGCCCAAAAACCAAGGCAGTATTTAACGGAAGAAAACGTGGAACTATTGGACCATCCTCGATATAGTCCCGATCTAAGTCCTAACGATTTCTTTACTTTCCCGAAAATTAAAAATAGACTGCGTGGTCAAAAATTCCAGTCACCAGAAGAAGCAGTTGACGCATACAAAAATGCCGTTTTGGATCTGCCAGCAAACGAGTGGAATAAGTGCTTCGAAAATTGGCTCGAGCGCATGCAGATGTGTATTAAACTTCGTGGAGAAACTTCGAAAAACAATAAAGTCATTTAAAACTACCTACCGTATTGTTTTATTTTTGCCCGACCATCGTGCATCTCCAGACAGAAGCGGGATTCGTCACTAAAGACCACCTGATTCCATTTCCGGTCCCACAGAATTCTTTCTCTACACCAGATTATCTTTGGTGGTGCTCGCCGCCCTAAAACAGGCGTCGATTGGTGAATTTGAATTGTGCGAATGAAATGAATAAAAACGGGTCGCCTCCATTCTGATTTCAGTTCGATACTTCACTTTTGAATGATCCTGCTACGCCCCCTGTGCCGCCACCACGGACTCGAAGACCACCTCAACAATCAAGGGTGAGTTATTCATTTTTAACCAACGTGTAGGAATTTTTCGATGACGATGCGTGTAATTATGTACCATACATGTTACTAACGTTTTGAACATCGCGAAGGAATATATAGATTTTATATCGTCAAGTGCCAAAATGGAAGAAAGTAGCGTATCCCATTGTACCCCACCGTAATTGCAAAAAATTTCGCAAATATGTTCTTGAAATGTTATGTGACATCACAAAAAACCATGTCACACGTTCGGTCTGTCGGCTTGTCGGTCGATCACACAAGACTACTACTATGCCAAAAACAAGAAAGCTTCGTGGTTTTTGAAAAGTCGTTAAGCGGCGGCGGAGCTAGAGACGATAAAAGGAAAATAAAATTCAGCTATATTTCGCACATATCAGAAGGTTATAAATCTCAAAACAGTCCTTATTTTATCATGGTTCCTTAATATCTTTTAATTACATTGTACTTGTATATGATAAAGCAACTATCTAGAAGTATTTTATAGAAAAATGAACGTATTATAACCTTATTTGTACATGCAGCTAAAGTCCACAGATGAAAAGGTTCGTTTTTTTAAAATTCAAGAAAAAATTCAATATCTCAAAAACTGTGACACTTTTATATAGGTTTAGGTTGTGGACTTCGTGTGTCTTTATTTTTTCCTCTCCATCTTTGTTTCCTCAGGCTACACCCGTATCCGGATGTATGGACATGTGTCTCTACTTTTGTAGTTGCATATGTGCATTCATTTCGGGCCTGATGAAGCCAACCAGCAGAAATACGTATCGCTCGGGTTACCTATCCTGTTTTCTGCTCGAATACACTTTTTGCGGATTTTGAACATTATTTTCCTATGTTTGTTATATATAATTGGTTCTTGTTGTGGACTTCGTGTGTCTTTTTTTCCTCTCCATCTTTGTTTCCTCAGGTTACACCCGTATCCGGATGTATGGGCATGTGTCTCTACTTTTGTAGTTGCATATGTGCATTCATTTCGGACCTGATGAAGCCAGCCAGCAGAAATACGTATCGCTCGGGTTACCTATCCTATTTTCCTATTTTCTATTTTCCTATACGTATAAAATGTCGCTATATGCTGCCAGGCAAACATCCACGGGAGGAATTTATTTGTTACAACAGCCAGCAGCTGAAAAGAGGTGGATATAATGTATGTAATGAATGTAACCAATCCGATTCGGTGAAAACAGTAGGGCTGTGGTTATTTACTTAGGTGTGAAATAATGTATAAGGGTTGACCGAATATTTCGTAGATTGAAGAATCTCATCTATGTTTAGTACCCTCTCCCCAAACGAACAATACCAGGGCTACGAAAAAAAAAGTCAAACTGACCGTACTTTTTTCAACCATATTCATCGTCACTGAACACAACACTGGAAAAGTGGGAGCTCCACGTTAAACGACATATATCAGATCATTGCGTTATCTACTTGCCTGAAAGAATGCCGAGAATGTGCTCGAAAATAAAGAATGCCAGGAATGTGTCAGGGATTTCCTTTGTTCGTCATTTGAACTCTGCTGAAAATGATATTTCCGATATTGAAGGATTATTTCACGAACGTAAGTTCATGAAATATCCCCAATAAGGGTAACATCGCTTTCGGCAGATTTGCTAAGAATAAGTTTCACAATAATGAAAGCAAATACAAACTATTATGCACAAAATACATTTATTTTCAATAAGTAATCACATGCCGAAATCATAATTTTGACAATATTACATGAAAATATAGACAGATCTCTCCCAAATGTATGTTATGGAATACTCTTTGCAAAACGCGTCATTGAATTGCTTGTTGATAACCTGAAACAATACAGAAAATACTAATGTAGTTTTTGCAGTCTTTGTGAATAAGCTAGTCGCTTTTAATTAGTTTTCCCAACTCTATACCTTGAATTGGTTGGCCAAATAGGAAGAATTTTGCTTTGTTACATGCTTTATAAATCTCATGACTTTATGACTGCATTCTGTGCCTGTATTACCATGCCTTATTTAAATATTGATTTCAATTCAAAAAAGCTTTCATCTTTTATATAATTATCTTCAACCTATCTAGCATTTTATGACAGAGTCTCCTTAACATCTACATATCCTACAGTAGTCACAACTCATTTCGCGTATATCGTCACAGCTACTGATAGTTTTTACACTCATTTTGAAGGAAATATTTCCGGAAGAAACAGCTTTGTGGATGTGTATGTCAACCAAAACAAACGTCATATTTGATATTCTTACATTTAATTGGTTGTAGATAATCATTTTCCTTAACTTTGCCTGGAGAGAATGACCTTGGCTTTGTCCGTTCCCTCTTAAGACGTTTTATACCACCCTTCGCCCCCCCCCCCTGTTCAGTATATTACATGAACAGTAATCAACCTCTATAATTTCAATTTTTCCTACATCGACAGTACTTTTTTCACAGAGAGCAGTGAGTACTGTTAAGTAGACATGACGCATATATAAAATTGCGTATGAATTATACAGTCAACCTAATTGACGTAATTTTTTTAGTACGCGATATACGCGCACACGTACACAGAGACACGCGTTAGCCTGTCAGCAGTGGAATACGACGCGTTATGCTACTACCTTCCATTTTGGTGGTGCTTGACTATAGTTTGAGATAATGAAATATTAACCCTCAAAAAACCCATGGAAAGAACACACATTGAAGCTCTGGTTATATTTTCTTCATTAAAAGAAGTGTTAAAGCGGTTCGGAGTTATGCCAGAGTTACTCTGTAATAATGATTAATTTTAAGGATTCGCCAGCGCCGCCACCAGCAGACATGAGACCATCCCAACAGGTGAGGCAACATTTTTTCTTACTCTAATAAATCAAATTAGTATATACGACATTTTTAACGCTGAAAAGGATCTGTTTGGCTTCCGTCTCTGTGACAATAACCAACCGCCTACAACGTTGCCCGTCAGAAGCGAACATGGTACCACCGACCCCTACGTCGGCAGCAGGAGTCAAAGAAAGACAAGTAGATTTGTGGAATCATGGGCACCTTCGCAATAAAGCGACAGAAGGATTGGTAGCCCGAGCGACGTGCGTTTTTGCTTATTGGCTTCATCACACCTAAATGGATATGCATCGAAAACACAATATAAAACATATGCCCTTACCATTTGTCCTTTCCAGCCTTGTTTTAGAGCCATGTCACTTTTTTGCACCGATCGGCCTATTTCTCCCCGCTCGAATTTTGATGAAATTTTTACACAAAGGAACTACTATGCCATAGACGAAAAAGTTTAATTTTTTTGGAAATAGGTCCAGTGGCGGCGGACCTAGGGATAAAAAACTAAAAAAAATTGTTTAAACTGTTTTTTTACTTCCAGAGGCTTCTGATCATTTTTCTAAAAAAAAATGTATTGATTAAATATCGAAAGTTAGACGTGTTAGAGGATAGCGACGAGTATATCTCATTTTTTTTAGTGTTAGTACGAGGTCTGTAAATTAAATGATGAGACTGGTTAATTTTTTTATTCAAATAGGGTGGCTCATCGAAAACTGGCTGCTCAGTTTTTTTTTTTTGGGAAAAACGCTCAGACCCGTCGATTTTGTTTTCGAGGGAGCACAAGTTTGGCAAAAAATCACGATAACACGTGCAGCCCCCTGGGCGGGGGTGACACAAACCCTAAAATCCTAAATGGAAAGGGGATCGAGTCATACCTTATTTTAAAGGTCTTTCAATTCCCTTTATAATGATGTAAAATACATGAGCTTCAGTTCAGTAGTTTTGAAGATTTATTATTATTAAGTAGACTTTAATAGGTACATCAGATTAGTTTGTACTACTTTCAGAAGAAATTTGACTAAAAGAATTTACTTAACTACGCCCATGGTTTGTTTATCATTTTGTTGTTGAAAATAGCTATTGGAGCGTTTTTTTGTGGCAAAAAAGTTATTTCTTGAAGAAAGATAAGGAAATATCTCGTACTTATTTTAAATAGGATTTTAGTACATAGTTTGCGCTTGATTTGACCAAACTTTGTTGCTAAAATAACTTGTAACGCTTTATTACATAAATTAACTATGGTATCTTCCACAGCAGAAAGAGTTGAAATTATCGAAATATTTTTCGGAAATAATCAGTGCGCTAATAGATCAGCAGAAATATTTAATGAGCGACATGAGAACAGTAACGTGCATCGAAAATATGTTCTAGAACTTGTAGCTAAATTCCGGGAAACTGGGTCAGTCGCCAATAAAAAACGCAACATAAAAAATCCCATAAGGAACGAACCAATAGAAGTGGGGGTTTTAGGGCAAGTTTATGTAGATCCTACGTTAAGTACCCTCAAGTTGGAAACTGTGTGTGGTGTTAGTCGACGTACTGTCCAATGGATTCTTAAGGCCCATAGTTTACATCCGTATAAAATTCACCTGGTACAAGAACTTAATGAAGACGATTTTGATCGGCGATTACAATTTTGTGAAGATATGAGTGAACGAATTATAAACGATGAACATTTTCTATTCAACACTTGCTTTTCCGATGAATGTTCCTTTTTCTTAAATGGTAGTAAATCGCCATAACTGCCGATATTGGTTCGATTCTAATCCCAGAATTTATCATGATGTTCATACACAGCAGCCACAAAATTTCTTAATTTGACCGGGGAAATGTATTTGGAATTACTGGAAGATGCCATAGATCTTGCATTAAAATCAGAATGATCGGCGGTACATTGCGAATAGGTTGATGTTCCAACAGGATGGTGCCCCACCACATTACGCACTACGTGTTCGACAATATTTAGATCAGACGTTTCCAGATCGATGGATTGGTAGAAGAGGTGCCATTGAATGGCCTCCAAGATCGCCAGATTTATCACCTTTGGATTTCTTTATGTGGGGTCATTTAAAAAGCAAAATCTATGCTACTCAGCCAACATCATTAGAAGACCAGCGAAAAAGAATTGTGAATGAGTGCCTTCAAATTACTCCTCAAATATTGCAAAATGTGCGGCAGCGTTTTGAGCAAAATCTTTATTATTGCATGGAGAGTCATGGTGGCCATTTTCAACATTTACCTGCCCAACGGGTCAGTTCATTCTTCATTTTTAAATTACTTTGCTGCCAAATTTATTGATCTCCACTAATGATGTATTAGCTTTATTTAAGCTTTAAATCAATAAATCTTCAAAACTGCTGAACTGAAGTACATTAATTTTATATCATTATAAAGGGAATTGAAAGACCTTTAAAATAAGGTATCACTCGACCCCCCTTTCCATTTAAGATTTTGGGGGTGGTGTCACCCCCGCCCAGGGGGCTGCACGTGTTAACGTGATTTTTTGCCAAACTTGTGTCCCGCTCGAAAACAAAATCGACGAGTCTGAGCGTTTTTCCAAAAAAAAACTGAGCTTCCAGTAAATGCGTGTTTCGTTTTCGATGCGCCACCCTGTATAATTACAATTTTATATCGTCAGCCTCAAAATAACTTCCTTCTGAAGCTAGACAGCGCCTCATGGCAGTGCTGGATCTCCGTTACTGGAATAGCCTTCAGCTGGTCTGTTATAGCACCCGTGAGGTGATTTTTCAACTTCGGGAAGAGAAAAAAGTCACTAGGACTCAAGTCAGGTGAACAAGAAGGCTGAGGAGAGACAAGAATGTTTTTGCTGGCCAAACACTCGTTTATTGAACAGTGGTGTGAGTCAAGGCAATCTAGTGGATTGATATGTAGGTTGGATTGTGGATTATAGGAGATGGAATTCATCGAATACATTTCAAAATCCAAAAGTAAAAAAACCTACACATAAAGCTATCGCTACTATCGACACGTAGTATCGTACATCGTACAGTGCCTGAAAATTTTTCGTACCAAGGCGATAATTATCGTACGAAATTTCTACATTGCAACGTTGTCAAACGGGTGGGGACTATGGAGATAGGCTACTTGACTTCCATCTAGTTTCATAGATTAAATGAGTATTTCTCACAGTATTTTAACAAAATATATCGTTTATAAGTTTTTAAAAGCGCAAGATGAATAAATAGTTCCAATTTAAAAAAGTATATTTTACATGCTTAATACAAATCAGTGAAAATACTATCGGTCATGTTTTTTGATAGCTACACCCACTATCCTAACTGATAAAATTTGTCTGATCAGAGTCCTGTTAGAAGATTTGACCTATCAGAATCTGTGCAGTCCGGGATGTCCTGCGGAAGCCCAAACCAAACCCCCTCAACACCTTACGCCAAGTTCGCTGTCGAAGCGGCAGAAAGGAACAAGCAAATGGCCGCGTCGACGCCCATGGACAGGTCGTTTCTGGATTCAGGAGAGAATTGGGCGTCCTCACCGATAGCGCAGGCATGTTACGACAGTCCAGTTCTCTATAGACCACATGTGAGTGTACAAAGAGCTATAGTTTTTTCATGGTTTTTGGCGATTACGTCGCAATTCAGGCACTTCGTATTACATCACAAATCGCACTGATGACAGAAATTTTGACAAGTGCATGTGCGTACACATTGCAGACAATATTGCTGAAATAATGCTGAGATATACCTGACATCCAAATAGTAATTTTTGATAACAATAAATTGAGCAAATTAAAACTAATATAAGAAAAATAATATAAATTATGAAGGAAAGTATTGGCACAGTGAAAAAAAACAAGTTTTGACAAAATTTATTTACAGCTAGCTACAATTTTTAATTCAATTTTACGTCCATCAGTTTTTCCTGATAAGTGGAAGGTTGTCAAAGTCTGCCCAATTTTCAAGTCGTAAGACAGAACCTTAGTAAATATACTAAGTGACATATAAATCCGAACACCCAGTTTAAATAGTTTTATTTTAATAAAATTTTGTATAAGTACTTAATGAAGCATAATAAGTAAATGATAAAAATTTCAAAATGATTGCACTGCTTTAAAGCCCTTTGACCTTTAATAATGTGTGGATGCACCCTGATGTGCTACGCATTCTCCAACGCGCCTAGGCATGCTTCTGATCAGGTGGTCAATGTCCTCCTGTGGTATCTCATTCCAGGCAACCACCAACTCTTCTCGAAGTGCTTCTAGAGTCTGAGGAGGACGTTGCAAATTGAGCAATCTCCTACCCATCATATCCCACACGTGCTCAATTGGGGATAAGTCGGGAGATCTTGGTGGCCATGGTAACAATGTGACATCATTATGTTGAAAGAAGTCTATTGTGACTCTTGCAACATGTGGTCGGGCATTATCTTGTTGGAAAGTTGGATCTGCCAGGGTGTCAAGATAGGGTAAAAGATGGGGTTCTAGAACTCCGTAGATATAACGCTGCGCGTTCATGTTACCTCTGATGAAGATTAAGGGTGACCTGGAACCATAAGCTATAGCACCCCAAACCATAACTCCAACAGTGTGATGAACATGTCTTTCAACAAAAAACTGTGGATTCCTCCTTTCACCACGTCGCCTTCTAACACGATCATCGTGCATGCCTAAACAAAATCGAGACTCGTCACTAAAGACAATACTGTTCCATTCCTGATCCCAGAGTGACCGTTGTCTGAACCACTCAAGGCGATAACGTCGGTGTTCTCGAGTTAAAGGGAGGACCCAGTGTGGCCGGTATGAAAACAAGCCAAAACTTCTCATTCGTCGGTAAACATTTCGCATGCCAATAGGTCTTGCGTGTTCTGCAAACTATTCATTTGCAATGGACCTGGTAGTGGAGAAACGGTCCCTTAAGGCCAATAATCTTAGGCGGTGATCTTCACGGTCTGTTGTTCTACGGCGGCGTCCAGTGCCCCTTGCTCTTTGCGTACTGCGTTCTCGAAGCCATGCCTGACAACACCTAACCACAGTGTCTACACTTCTTTGCACTCTAACTGCAATTGCCCGAAAAGAAAGTCCAGCTTCCCGAAGTCCCACTATACGGCCCCTATCAAACTCACTAAGTTGACGAAATCGTACAGGTCTCCGTACTCTAGGCATCGTAACCGATCGTAAAGGATGTCAAGAACCAAAATTCGCCAACGTTGATTCTTTACTGCGGCTGAAATATTCATTTTTAGAGCGTTAGTGAATTAAAAGAAAGCAGTATAAAAACCGGAATGTCCAACTGATAAGGCTGAAAATTGAGTCACTTGTTATTTACAGTAAGATAAATACATTCACCAACTTTTATTAAAATAAAACCATTTAAACTGGGTGTTCGGATTTATATGTCACTTAGTATATATGTCAAGTACTGGTGTACGTCAAGGTTCCAATTTGGGTCTCCTATTGTTTATCTTATACGTCAACGATCTTTGCAATGCATTATCATTCAACAAGCTTATGTTTGCTGATGACCTGAGGCTTTACACATCTTTTTCTAACTGGCAAGATTGCGAAAACCTAAAACAACAAATTATTGTTTGTACAATATGGTGTATAAATAACAATTTGTATTAGAACTTGCTCTAAATGGCGTATTTTAACCTTCACCTGGTAAGCCAGAATTTTAACTTCCTACCCATACAAAATGAACGATTCTATATTGGAAACGTAAACGTAACATTAACAACTTTGAGATGCAAAATGAACTGCATCATCATAATACCAGGTCTAACAAGTTAAAATCAAATCGTTTTAAAATTTTTGCTAGGTCGCTGCAGTATATTTTTTTAGGAATGTATGATACTCTACCTAGTGATTTCAGGGATATCGATATCTATTGTTGTTTTAAAACAATGATTTTCATTTATCTAACTGATAAGTGTTTTTATTCTACTAACGGATTTTTAAATTGTCGATGTTGATAACGTGAAAAATGGTTATTTTTGAAAATTTGTATTGGCCTATTTGACTGACTTGATCGATCCGATTCATTTGTTTTACATGTTCGTAGTTGCCTTTTTCCTGAAAGGAGCTAAATTACGATGAGCATGAACTAATGAGAGCGTTGCTTGGGAAATGCAGAGTCAACGTACTTGACGCCATGTTTCCATCTACTTGTCGGCGATCTAGCTCTCTCCCAGACAAACCCGCCCTACATCAGCCTCCCATCCTAACCGGGTCGAACTTCGTACATCCAGAACTGGTCGATAAGACCTCTCCTTTGTCCCTATTGTGGAACAATCTGCACGAGGAGGCTTTTACCAGTTCTACTAACCTTATGCAGTTCAAAATACGGATCAACAAAGTTTCTTTCTTTCATCGTAGCAACCGGTGTCCTGGCATTTAGGCTTCTGTCAGGGCGGATTGATCTCCAACCACAGAAGCGCCACCAAGCCGAAGCAAAATTGGACATCGGCCTCATTAAATATATGTTTTTTACAGCCAAGAGCTTACCGGCCCCCCGGTACAATAGAACTGAACTGGCCAGATGGCACTCAAACCAGAAGGAGATTCGAAGGGGTGAGTACACCGAGAGACGCAAAATGGCCCAGAGGACCAACTACGGCCGCGGAGGAAAAAATGCAGCTGCTCGATCAGATGGAGTTCGTAGAACAGGATCAGCTGATGGATGACCTCAGGAATTACCAAAAAACCCGCCGCCGTCTTGTCTATGATCTCGTCAACATGAGCAGTTTGATCGAGACTCCCACTGATTGATGTCTCGTTGAGGACTCGTTGATACCGCTTCCATCTTCTAGTCACGCCTGATCTATCGCCTTGTACATGTATAGCTGGAGAATAAATCATATATCGAATATATCTGTTGCTTTGCTTACATACAGAATCTCACCTGATCGTTGGTGGGAACTATGGATCTAGGAAGCCCACTATAGTTAAATACCAAGATGGAATACGGAAGCATGGCATGGTGGCATTTAGGCCCGTATCGTCAGTCATCCCTACAATAATTGTAGGGCGCGTTTATGGCCTCCTTGATTGACATAGTTTTCTACTTCTCCGTGTCAGAGGTCTATTTTGAGGTTATGTCAGAAACATCTATTTGCATCAAATTGTGCTTGCTTTTGAGTTATATCATGTTTTATCAGCCTGAAATTTCCTACAATTTAAAAGGGAAACATATCTTAACAATAGGAGAGCGCTGACGCTGACACGGGACGAGTGTAATCTAGAAATTTTTGATGGAAAGAAAAGAGTATGACAATCAAGGAGGCCATAAACGCACCCTATAATTGTAGGGACGACCGACGATACGGGCCTTATTGACGGTATATGTTATACCGCGTTTACATGCAGCCACTGCCGCTGCCATTCGCGATGCCCACTGTCCTGCCGTAAATAATTCCTCGGCAGCATTTGGAGCAAGTGAATGCTTACATGCAGCCACCCTTCTAACTTTAAACTGCTTCCAAACAACTTTCCACTACATCAAATGGGCTGACACACCTCATCTACTCCTGCTCCTGCATCTACGAGCCCCTTCCCACTTCAGTTGGCCCACTTCAAGATTTGTACCAAAATATGCCTTTATAAACTAAACATGACGAAACTATTTACTTCTAAAACAATTTATTTTCTCAAAAACATTTTAGATACATTCTAGTCGTAAAAAATACATATTTGAAATCACTTAGACCTATAACTAATAGAACATCTGTTTTAGCAAAAATTTGGTGTAAAACAATCCCATATTTCTTGAAGCTTTTGTCTCAGTTCGGTGATTGTACGAGCAGGATGTTGTCGTAGAACCTTTTTCATCTCGTGCCACAGAGTTTCAATAGGTGACAGATCTGGACTGCTAGAAACCCATTTCAAAAGTGGTACATTATTTTCTTCCATCCATTTTATAGCCTTTTTTGAGGTATGGCACGCTGCACCATCTTGCTGAAACACAAAATCTTGGCCGGACGTCAAACATTCTTCCATCACTGGTAAAAGCGATTCTTCTAAAATAGCCAAATATTTGTTTGTATCCACATTTCCATCAATAAAATGGAGTTTTCCTACTCCTTTTGATGACATACTGTCCCAGACCATAATGGATGCTGGAAATTTCACTTTTCTCTTCGGACAGTCAACATGTAATGCTTCATTTTTTTGCGAATAACTCTACTGCGACTGTCACCAACACAAACGTTGAATCGGTCCTCATCACTTCATTGTATTGCACACCATTGTTGAGGTGTCCATTGTTCTTTAGCGCATCTAAGCCGATTTTTCTTTTGCAGTGGAGTTAATAGTGGCTTTTCTTTGGCCTATAAACCAGTTGTGCAACTTTAGGGTTTTTACTTCACTTTTTTTTATAAGAAAACTTACCTTGCAAGTGCTAAATCCCAGTTTGTGGGCCTCTCTATGAGTTGTGGACCTCGAAATTCTCCTTCCAACAGCGTCACTCCACAGAGCACATAATTGTAAATAATTGGCATTGTCACGCCTGTTTTTCACGATTATTCTTAATGCTCTTCGGTCGGCATTTGTGATATTACTTTTTATCACATATCGTGGCTTAATATTAACTGAACCAGTTACGTTATATCTTATAACAATATTTCTCACACTGTACCGCGATAAGTCTAACAAAGTTGCAATTTCTGAGTTGATTTCCCAGAATTAAAAAATTTAATTATCAGTAACCGAATTTTCTCACTAATAACCATTCCTCTACCCATTTTGATAACCTTAACTACCCAAAACTATTTTAAACGTATTCTGACAGCTGTGATTAATAAAATCAATTGTCATGGCTTTTATTTTTCACAGCCACCTATGCGTTATAGACTTATTTTGCATTGAAATGAAAATAGGTTGATATGCTGTAATTGCAACATGTGCTATTTTTATGCTGCAAATTTGATTAGGGAGTGATAAAGTTGGTGTTTTCTACTATATATTATCAAAATATTCATTGATAATATTTTAAACCTATAACTCCCTGCTACATTTTTATTATCTGTGTTTGATAAGAAAAAAACTAAGATTTCAATAGTTGGGCCAACTGAATTGGGAACGGGCTCGTAATCGAAGCGTTTTTCTTTTTTAATAGCGGCCGAAATGTTGCCATTAGCGATTTTTTTTCGACTTAAGCTCTTGTATTGGGATGTTTTTCAATCCTACCATAATAATATTTCAACCGCATATAGCTCTAAAAACTTCAATACTCGATCATTGCTCTACTCAATCATGGCCCAAGTGTATTTTAAAACGAATAATTTGCCGAAAAAGGAATAAATTAGGTTTTAAGATACCCCGCGTCCACGTGGTAAGGACAGGACTGACTTTTGGTACAGCGGGCAGCATGTAAACGGTCGCTGCCGCTCGGGTTGCTGGTCCTTTGACTTCCGTCCAAAAAACCGCGAACGAAGGGAGCACGCGGCATGCGTATTTACATACTCGCGCTGCCCACTTCCCTGCTCAATTCCCTGGTCATTGCCGTGGAAGTGGGCTGCATGTTAACCCGGTATTACGTCAGTAACGTAGTGGTAGACGTTGTGGTCTACTAATCTAGTCCGTGTATACTAAGTGACATATAAATCCGAACACCCAGTTTAAATGTTTTTATTTTAATAAAAGTTGGTGTATTTATCTTACTGTAAATAACAAGTGAAAAAATTTTCAGCCTTATCAGTTGGACATTTTTATACTGCTTTTTTTTAATTCACTAACGCTCTAAAAATGAATATTTCAGCCGCAGTAAAGAATCAACGTTGGCGGATTTTGGTTCTTGACATCCTTTACGATCGGTTACGATGCCTAGAGTACGGAGACCTGTACGATTTCGTCAACTTAGTGAGTTTGATAGGGGCCGTATAGTGGGACTTCGGGAAGCTGGACTTTCTTTTCGGGCAATTGCAGTTAGAGTGCAAAGAAGTGTAGGCACTGTGGTTAGGTGTTGTCAGGCATGGCTTCGAGAAGGCCGTACGCAAAGAGCAAGGGGCACTAGACGCCGCCGTAGAACAACAGACCGTGAAGATCGCCGCCTAAGATTATTGGCCTTAAGCGACCGTTTCTCCACTACCAGGTCCATTGCAAATGAATGGTGTTTACCGACGAATGAGAAGTTTTGGCTTGTTTTCATACCGGCCATACTGGGTCCTCCCTTTAACTCGAGAACACCGACGTAATCGCCTTGAGTTGTGCAGACAACGGTCACTCTGGGATCAGGAATGGAACAGTATTGTCTTTAGTGACGAGTCTCGATTTTGTTTAGGCATGCACGATGGTCGTGCCAGGGTTAGAAGGCGACGTGGTGAAAGGAGGGATCCACAGTTTTTTGTTGAAAGACATGTTCATCACACTGTTGGAGTTATGGTTTGGGGTCCTATAGCTTATGGTTCCAGGTCACCTTTAATCTTCATCAGAGGTAACATGAACGCGCAGCGTTATATCCACGAAGTTCTAGAACCCCATCTTTTACCCTATCTTGACACCCTGGCAGATCCAACTTTCCAACAAGATAATTCCCGACCACATGTTGCAAGAGTCACAATAGACTTCTTTCAACATAATGATGTCACATTATTACCATGCCCACCAAGACCTCCCGACTTATCCCCAATTGAGCACGTGTGGGATATGATGGATAGGAGATTGCTCAATTTGCAACGTCCTCCTCAGACTCTAGAAGCACTTCGAGAGAAGTTGGTGGTTGCCTGAAATGAGATACCACAGGAGGACATTGACCACCTGATCAGAAGCATGCCTAGGCGCGTTGGAGGATGCGTAGCACATCAGGGTGCATCCACACATTATTAAAGGTCAAAGGGCTTTAAAGCAGTGCAATCTTTTTGAAATTTTCATCATTTACTTATTATGCTTCATTAAGTACTTATACAAAATTTTATTAAAATAAAACCATTTAAACTGGGTGTTCGGATTTATATGTCACTTAGTATACATAGCACATCCACCATTCTTTGAGGTCATCGTCGATCAAAGATGATCAGGAGCTTGAAAATGATACAAAAACGAGGTTTAGACATCAATTTTCATGAATATTTTCGCGATTATGATAAATGATAACAGGCACATTCACGACACGAGTGTTTCATCAGTAAACATTGGTAGGTACTTGTATTTTTCGATCTGTTCTGGTTTATTTATTGGTTCATGAGCAGCAGTTATCAAGTGTATAAATAAGACATAGGTTTAGGATTGATTGACTTGAAGCATGTAATGTTTATTCAAACGAGTTTAAAAAATTTGTTATATAAAGTTAAATTAACAGTCCTCAGTCCATGACTCAAAGTCTTTGATGACATTGTATGTTTGTTCCTCGATCTTATAGGGATATCCATATTTGAGGAATCCCTGAAGATGCGTTTTTATTTCATACATAGACAAATATCCGAAATAGAGGAAAAAAATAAATTTCTGACGTAATCATCATCATCAACCCCAATGTCATCAAAAATAAGCAAAGCGAAGGTCCCTGTTCCCCTTTAGTGCTTACTCAACTTTGGCTTTTACATTTCAGAAGCCCATGCTCCTTTTTGAAAAAGATTTAATAGGTGAAAAATCAGGGGTGAAGACGTTGCAGGAAGTGGGAAGGGGTTATTTGAACTACTTGTTGCTAGTAAATTTATACGCTTCTAGCCTTGGTAATGACTAGGCATATTCCGCACAAACAGGGTGAGATTTTAGTGTGGGCTCGTTATTACGCATGGTATCTAAAAAAGTTTAACACAAAACTTGTAGCCATTAGTAACAAAGCAATCTAGTATAACATTCTATAGGATTTTATTTTCAAATTGGACAATGTATCAAAACACAACTTCGACAACTTGGACCCTCTCAAATTTTACAGCAGAGGTTTTTTTTTTTTATATATCGAAACAGCCGCGCAGGCAGAAGCCTAAATGCCGGAACACCACGGCTGCTATGATGATCCCAAAGAAATTTTGTTAATACGATTTTTGAACTGCCTAAGGTTAGTAGAACTGGGAAAAGCTTCCTCCCGTAGATTGTTCCACAATCTAGACACCCTCGGGACAAAGGAGCGGTCGTATCGGCCAGTTCTGGATGTACGAAGTTTGACACGGTTAGGATGGGATGCCGAAGTCAGGCGGGTCTGTCTGGCAGGCGCATCGCGCGGCGGCATCATGGAAGAGAGCTCTGAGGAGCAAAGCCCGTTGGTGTAGCGATAGAAAAGAGCTAGATCGCCGATGGCCCGCCGGTGCGAAAGAGTCCCGAGACTGTCTGTTAGAGAAGAGTCATCGATCAGTCGGACCGCCCTCCTCTGGACAGCATCGAGCATGGACAATGTAGTCGGGGCTGCAGCACCCCAAATGTGTGAGCAATACTCGAGGTTAGGCCTTATCTGGGCCTTGTATAGAGTGAGAAGGTCATGCGGAGAAAAGTACTTCTTAGCCCTAAACAAATAGCCTAGCTTTTTCCCAGCAGCTGCAGCTATTGAAGAGATGTGTTCGTGCCAGATCAGGTCCTCGGTGATCTGGACTCCGACCAGCCGAAATGAATGGCTCTTTGGTAGAACTCGACCGTCCATCGAAACTGTATGAGCACTAGGACGCTTTTTGTTCGTCAAGGTACAGTACTGTGTTTTGGAAGCATTGAACTGTACAAGATTGTTGCGTCCCCAAGCAGTGATAGCCTCCAGGTCTCTTGTCAGAGAAGAAGTCGTCGCTAGTCTTCTTTTTTCCAGCTCAGCGGCAGAGATCGGCTTGTCACTCTGAATTCCTGCATGTAGAGTGCTGTCATCAGCGAAGCTGTGGATTGGGTTGATCGTGCAGGAAAGGAGGTCGTTGATATGTAAGAGAAACAGTGTTGGAGCCAAGACCGATCCCTGGGGAACACCCGCGTTGACGTTGTGGGATGAAGAGGAGAATCCGTCAATTACGACGGATATCTTGCGGCCAGAGATAAAGTCAGCCACCCATCTGCAAAGCTTTTCTGGGAGGCCGTAGGATGGAAGTTTGCTTAAGAGGGCAGCGTGCCACAGCTGATCGAACGCTTTCGTGATGTCAAGAGCAACGACATGAGCCTCACCATGAGACTGGATGAGTTTACTGAGGTACTGAATTTTTCGTCAAACAAAATTTTACATCCCATACTTTTTCTCTATCTATTTATCTATTTTAAGTTTCATGGTTAGCATACTCGTATATAGGGTGCTCAATAAGGTAAAATGTGCTATTCCTGAAAATTGGCAAATGGAAAACCCTGTATATTTTCACATTTCTTATTCTCATTCTCACAAGCTTATTTATTATACAGGGTGTCCGCAAAGTTGGGGTTTCCTTTACACGACGTGTAGATCTTGAAAACATAAGCAATTTTTCTTAGTACCATATACACCAATGTCTTAAGGGAACCGAGATAAAGGGCTCTGCAACATCAAAAATATCTGAATACCGTCCTGTAGCCGCGACATCCCCAAGTGGTACTAGGACACTAGCTCAACCCGACGACAGAACTGGGTCGGGGTCAGTGTGTCAGGACAGTATGCAACCTTCAACCGACGGTTACGGTCCCGCGTGTAGAGGTAAACGAACACGTATAAACGATTGCGTTTCAAAAAACAACAGGCACTAGAGACGTGGCTAGAGAAGTGCAAGTATCAAAAACTAAAGTGTGGCAAACGCTGCGTGAAGAGGGGCTGTATCCGTTTCACGTCCAACGTGTACAAGCCCTTCAACCTGACGATTTTCCAGCAAGAGTGCGGTTTTGTGAGTGGTTGTTGCATCAACATGACAATAATCCGGACTTTTTGAAGTGCATATTGGTGACAGACGAATCTACGTTCACACGACTTTCGCAACACTCATGTTTGGTCAGTAGAAAATCCGCACGCCGTCCGTCGGGCACATTTTCAACAAACATTTTCGGTGAATGTTTGGGCTGGCATGGTGATCGGTATGCTCATTGGACCATTTATTCTCCCAAATCGATTGGACGGGATGCAATACCTAGACTTTTTACGTAACATTTTGCCTTCCTTGTTTGCCTGCGTCTGCTCGGTAGCGCATCAGCTGATTTCATTTTCTGTTGGCGCGGTATGATTTCGGGCAGAGACGTACTTAGCCCTTCTCGTCAACTGGAGAGTGAGTACTTTTTCCTTCATTTTTTTTTACTTGGTCACTCTCGTTTCACTACACATTACCTTTGTTATTTCAAGGGTAGTTGTTTCTGAAGAGGAAAACCCCAACTTTGCGGACACCCTGTATAATGTTTATGGGATTTTACTGTATGAGTCTGGGTAACTTTAATTAGTAATGAAATTAAACAAATATAAATTTATGTCGTTACCAACTAAATGATATTTTTTATCTTCAAATGTATTGGAATATTTTTCATTTACCTTGATATCTGATTTACAGGAAGGTAAGCAGTGACTCCATTTAGAAATTTTGAGAAATGGTTCATGTTGCATTCTTGACCACCCTGTATAAACCGTCCACAAACTGTAAAAGTAAGTCGATAAGAATGGAATGATAAAACTTTCCTGATGAAAAATTCAGGGCTATAACTACAACAGTTGCGGATGTGCCAGTTGTGAAAGTTGAAAATAAAACCCTATCGTATGTTGGCAACAGCGGTGGCCGCAGTAGTAGACTCTTCGGTCACCTGATCAGTCGCCGTGCGCTGTGCGGGTTCGAGTCCCCTCCCCGGAGAAATTTTTCTCTTGGCTATGGATGTTGTGATTGTCCGTAGGTGGTAGACGGTCTCAGACTGTCGAACGCGGAGGTACCACCCGGCGGATCTCGTAGGCGGAGCCAGAATGTGTGCATGTTGCATGTACACGTGTTCCCTCGTGTCCGTGTGTCGTTCCCCCTTTCCCATGTATCCCCCTATAGCCCCACGGTACCCAATGGGTGCTTAGGCCATAGGCCTTCGTGGTAGTTGGAGTATAAAAAAAATGTAGTATCTTCATTTGAAATGGCTTATTCAAGTCTCTACAATACTCGCGCCTAACCGGCATTGTGTTTCGGTGATATCCGCAAACGCAAGACTACAACAAAATAGATGAACCCGCTGCTGTTGCTGAGGTTTAATCATCGCAACTGTGATTAGATCGCAATGTTGCTGGTAACTAGTTATATGGGCCTATAATTTGACCTATTTAATGTCTGTGTTATACGTATACATGCTTGTAATCACTTTTTTCTAAGAGGAGCTCAAACTTATTTTTTCTACCAAAGTCAGTACTTTCCGCACGCTGGTGGAAAAATTCCTATACCTAGCACTTGTGGAAAGTGTATTTTCCGCCACTGATGGCCTGCCCGAGCTCCCTTTCGTAAAAGTATCACTTTCCGCACTTGTTAGATGAATAACTATTGTGATTATAGTGTTGCGTGGGAAGTGCAGAGTCGACATACCTGACGCTATTTTACGTTAATATTCTGACGATAATAAATAGTAATGTTGGCGCCATCTGTTGGGAGACTCTCATATACGCCAGAGCTGCATGGCCGATCTCTGTTGGGGACCGTGCCAGTCTCCTTCGGTGGCGACATCTGTTGGGGACCATACCAGTGAGTCGCCTTCTGAATCAGCGCGAAGTGACCTCGAATATTCTAGATGCCGCTTTGTGGTTCGCCAGACCTTTCTCGAATCATCGATGGGGAATATATAGTTCGACGGCCGGGAGATGGAAGCAGAGTACAGAGTACAGGTGAGTAGAGCAGAGTGGAGTATAGTGCAGTCAATGGCGCGACATAAGAATTAGTTAGACATACATAGAAAAACGCTACAATATTCAGGGTATTCTGGAAACGGACAGAGAGTGTAATACGAGTGAATAGATCCTGCTTTATGATATAACTAACTAGCTACCTCAGTATAACTTTTGACAAATGTCAGAATAAATTTGATTGCTCTTTCGATACCTGTCAATTACCAAAATTCCAGTACAACTCCATTCCACGTAGAATCAAACAATGGCAGACGTTGAAGGCAAGTATAATTAAAAGCTAACCACACTCATGTGCTTTTCCCTCCCCTTGCATTTTCAACATGACGCAAGCAAAGTGCAATAAGGTATGTTCGAGTATAGGATGCTAAGGTGAAGTTATGGTGCATGCCCTCTGGAAAGTTGAATGCCAAGATGCAAGTGAAGGCGAAAGGAAAAGCTCACGGATGTGAGCATGCCTCAAGTACTTGAACTATTCTTAATCGTGTTATTCGAATGTAGAGGGAGCAGAAGAAGAGGCACAAACAGAAGAAGTACGAATAGTAGAAGAGGCTGCAGACGAAGCTGTCCAATCAAACGAACCACCTGAGACTACTGAAAGTGGCACTGACGAAAGATATAGGTGAGTAGTCATTTTCCAACAATATTTTGTCAGCTGATAAAATGTAGGGGTTCATCATGAGGAACGCTAGAGAGTTCTCTGTCTCAGTTCTTATAATTCTATATACGAGTAGAAGGTTAGCTTATGGTGTCTTGATTTGGTACCTGCACTGAGCGACCCATGTTAGAAAGATCGAACGTGTTCAGATTTTTTTTTAAATGACTACATTTTAAGAGTACGGGTGTATTTGCTGAGCAAGGATTTTATTACTCTTTGCTACTTAATGAAGCAAAATTTGTTTCTCTGTATAGAACGCGCATTTTTGCATAAACTGGCTCATGGGAATATATGTGAATTGTGTTAGGTAAAATTATCTTTATGTTGCCCCAGCGTAACAATTGAAATTCTGGAGTGTTTTATTGTAATTATGCATTTTGACTAAATCGCCTGTTTCCATCTTTTTTGTAACAATTTAATCTTAATAGGTAAGATTGTGACATTAATTTCTCTCCTCTCTCGCTTGTTTGTCGGCTATTTTTTGTTTATTCAGTTGATTACTTATTAGATTAGATTATACGTATATATATATACATATACAGGGTGACAGGTAAATAGGTGTAAAACATTTTAGGAGGTGATAGTACAGCCCCTTTGCTATCGAAATTAGTATACAGGGTTATCCAAATTAAGTGTCCACCATTAGTAACTTTGTTATTAGTGAAAATACAAAGTTGTTTGAATTAGCAAACTAGTAGCATTTTTAACGCTGGTAAAAATGAGAAATAAAAAAAAACAATTGAGAGTCGTTATTTTGATTTTTTCAGTAAAATAACATTTTTTTAAATGGAAACCCCTGTATATTATATTTTTTTCTGTTAAAGCATCAAATTTTAAACAAAAAAGCTTACAATAACTTTTCTCCTAGGTTACAAATTGTTGAAGTTATGGCCTCCAATCTGAAACAATTAAATTGTATCGACAAACTTTATTTTCAACATCAACTTATAATCTTACAAAATACAATAACAATTTTTTTTAAAGAAGATGCTCGAAAACACCACCTTGTTCTTCAATACATTTTTGGGCACGTTTTTCAACTGCTCGAACTGTCTTAAGTATGGTCCTACCATCTATCTGGGTTATCTTTTCCCTAACTGCAGTCTTTAACGCGTCAAGGTTATCGTACCTTCGCTTGTAAATTTGGTTCTTTAAGTAACCCCACAAGAAGTAATCAAGTGGGTTTAGATCTGGTGATCTGGGAGGCCACTGTATTGGGCCATTTGTTCCTATCCACTGATCATTAAAAGTAGTACTTAGAAAATGATAAGTACCTCTGGAGTTGTGGGCAGGTGCGCCATCTTGCTGAAAATGCAGATGATGTCTACTTATAAGATCCAATTCGTCTAAGAAATTAGTCAGAATTTCTGACATAAATTCCACATATCTTTCACCAGTTAGGGTTCCCTCATAAAAGAACGGGCCAACAATTTTTGAACCAATTATACCGCACCAAACGTTGAAACTGAAACGGACTTGTGGGCCTCTTGGATGTACTAACAAAAGATTTTCTCTTGACCAATAATGGTGGTTTTTTCTATTAAACATTCCAGAATTTGAAAAATTTGATTCATCTGTCCATAAAAGGTAACGAAAGTTATTTACATTTTGGCGACAGAAGCTAAGATACCAATAGCAAAAAACAAGTCTTCTCTCTGGATCCCCTGCCAAAAGCGTTTGAACTGGTCGGTACTTATACGGAATAAATTTGTATTTTTTTAAAATCCTTTGAACAGTACCATAACTGAAATTAGAGTCCTTGAGAATATCTGCTATTGAATTCTCACGATAAGCTTCAAAATATCCAATAACTGCAATTTCCGTGGCCTCGCTTATTATGAATTCTTTTTTAGCAAAAACATTTTCGTTGCCCCTAAATTTTCGATAAAGTCTCAGAAAATATCGTTCATACGGTTGAATGCGAGCGGGATATAATTCACTGTAGTATTTCTCTTGCTCTCAAGGAGGATTTTCTGCACACTAAATAGCATTCTAACATATCACACTTTTCTTCATGGGAGAACATGTTTCTTTAAATTAATGACACAATAAAGCTTATAAACAAGTATTTACACTAATGTTTGACATTATTTGATTTTATCATTGTTTTCCAAAGCCTTCTAGTTGCGAGTATGTCCAGTTTAACAATTTGTCGCTTATCTTAATGCTGTCAAATCGCGAACGCCAGGTTGTTTTCATAGCCGTCTTAATATTATAATACTGCAAATAATTAAAAATATTTATGGTTATTTTGACTTTATTTTTGACTTTAGCGGAAAAGTCATTATGAACTTTTTTGTTTAAACTTTGATGCTTTAACAGAAAAAAAATATAATATACAGGGGTTTCCATTTAAAAAAATGTTATTTTACTGAAAAAAATCAAAATAACGACTCTCAATTGTTTTTTTTTATTTCTCATTTTTACCAGCGTTAAAAATGCTACTAGTTTGCTAATTCAATCAACTTTGTATTTTCACTAATAACAAAGTTACTAATGGTGGACACTTAATTTGGATAACCCTGTATAATACTGAAAAGTTATTGAAGATTTAAGATTTTTTTAATAACAATCCATATTTCAGAGTAAAAAAGTCGAGAGAGAAAAAAGTTGGCGATTAAAAATTTGTTTTTTGTGGTTTTGGGTTATTATTTCAATAATTAACTATTATAAATTAAAAAAGATTCGAAAATAATACCAAACAACGTATGTATTTATTTTCATTCAGAAATGTTTAACTAGGAAAAACAAATAACGTTTTACAGTAAGTAAGGTGTTTTACAAAAAAATCAGTATACAAAAAAACGTACAAACAATTTAAATAATATCCTTGTTTCATAAGGAATCTAAATTGGTATGATAAGTGGACAAAAACTGTGTGAAACTAAACATAATGTATTGTAATACAACAATAGGGAGTAAATTTATCAATGGCTTGTCTCCTATTTTCACAACTCTCTGATTGATAAGAAAGTGTTTTTGTGAAAATAATGTAACTGTAAGCTATGGGATAGTTATTATTTTAAACTACGGTTAAGTTACACGATTATTTACACAGTTGTAATTGTACTACAGAATAATAAAAACTGACTAAAAGTTAGTACAATTGGTAAGTAAAATACAATAATGAAATGAAGGTAAAATTCATTGCAATTGTTGTTCGAACTGACGCCCGCCGTTTCTTATGCAATCCCGTAGTTTTTTTCTCATTTTGGTAAGCGTGATGCGACCAGTTAGTTGTCCTCTGATAGTGTCAGCAGCAGCAATAATTCTTTCTTTCAACTGTGCAAGAGTGTCTATGGGCTCAGCGTACACCAGTGACATGTGCCCCCATAAATAATAGTCACACGGTGTTAAGTCTGGGCTCCTCGCTGGCCACGGTGTCGGTCCACCTCGGCCAATCCAGCGACAAGGATATTTCTCGTCCAGCCACTGTCTAACACCCAGACGGAACTGCGCGGGACAGCCATCGTGTTGGTAGATCATCTGCATCCTGATATTCTGAGGCAGGTCTTCGAGATACTCCCAGAGTTCGGATCTCAAAAAGTTTTCATAGGATTCGCCATTCAGGTTGTCAGGCAAAAAAACTGTCCAATTAGATACGTATGAATGATTCCCATCCACACGTTTGCCGAAAATCTTCTTTGATGGGCTCTTGGCTTTGCCATGTGGGGATATGCATCTCGTGGGGCCCAATAATGTAAGTTGTGATAATTTGTTGTCCCCTCTCTGTCAAACTTAGACTCGTCGGTCCACAATATTTTAGTTAAATAGCCGTTTTCTTCTTGATCCCGATGAAGCATGTATCGACAAAAATCAATTCCTCTTGCGGGATCTCCTTCTTCTAATACTTGAACCGGTGTGTAATGGAAAGGGTAAAGTCTCGCCGAATGGAAAACGAACCAAACTTTCCACTGAGTTAAACCAAGCTGCTTTGCTATAACTCGTGTAGACGCCGTCGGGTCTCTGCCGTAGCATTCCAGTATTGCCTCTCGATCTTCGTCGTCAAACAACCAAGGTCTACCAGCATCATGACGTCTCTCATGAACCTGTCCACTTTCCTTGACGCGTTGGTACACAGAAGCAAATACTCGATGACTCGGTATTCGCCGATGCGGAAAAGGGTTTTCGTATTCTCGCCTGGCTTCAACGGAATTTCCATCACTTAAATCATAACAAAACAGAATATCAGCGTATTCTTCGTTACGGTAACTCGCCATTATTAAAACTGATCAAAAAAGTAAAAGTACGTCCTAAAGGTTGATATTCTACTAACTAACCTAAGCGTTAGTTCCCTTTCCTTGATCCGTCAGCCGTGTCAATTCATAACACACGCAGAGCTTGCTTCCGAGGAGCGACGACAGATTCCGAATACTTAAACCGGAATAACGGCACAGGGCACAAAAAATAACAAAAAGGGTCGAACCATGAAAGGCTCGATTTATCTGCTCAGTACAATGAAATGCGCTTAGCAGTCCTTTCTAGCAAAGTAATATTGTTTTGTTAAATGGTTTACTTACTGATATGTTGTTATACCATTTTAGAAACCTAATGAAACGAGGAAGTTTTTGCAGTTATTTGTACATTTTGTTTATTATGATTTTTTTGAAAAAAAAGACTTCTTAATGTGAAAGTTGAAAATAAAAATTTTCATTTAACATTTAAATGAAAATAAATACGTTTTCAGTAGTGTTTTCATATGTTTTTTAATTTATGAGAATTATTTATTTAAATAATAACCTGAAACCACCAAAAAAAGAATGTTTAATCACCAACTTTTTTTTATCTCAACTATTTTACTCTGTAATCTGGGTTGTTTTTTAAAAAAATTAAATCTTCCATAACTTTTTAACCTTTGAATATAGGGTATGGTATTATATACTAATTTTGATAGCAAAGGAGCTGTACTATCACCTCCTAAAATGTTTTACACCTATTTACCTGTCACCCTGTATATAAAACATTACATGTTTTTTCTTTTACGTTCTATTTCCAGTTATTGAACAAATAAATAAATGTCTATCTAAAGCTGTTTTGGCATTCGGATCATTGTATGAGATAGGTCAGTTACGAACATGAAACGAATTAAGTCGGTCAAACAGGCCCATAGAATTAGTCCAAACCATTCTTTTCCTGCACGATAACTCGTTGCAGCGGTGCCGCGGCGGGTGCTGCTGCGCAGATGTGGAAAGGACAACGTTGCCAGATGGACAAGAAGTCACGGTAGGGCAAGAAAAGAATGTCTATGGACTATTTGCATGAGCCTGCTTGATCGACTTAATCCATTTGACATCTCTGTTGTACATCGTCGTAGCTGACCTTTTTCTTAGAGGATTTAAATCACGCTGAGCTTGCGGAGGAAGCGCAGAGTCAGCCTACTTGACGACATTTTTTATTGACTTATCCCAAATGTAGAACTTTTTAACTAATTGCAGCATAAAAACATGATAAAAATTATGTCGATTTGACATTTATGTTATACTGGAAACCGAACGCAGAGGTATCCAAACTCACGTCAGCTTAGAGGTGATAGCGGATTTGAAACTAACCTTTTGAAGAAAATGTTTGGATTTATTGGCAAAAAAATGTTCGAATAATTTTATGTTATTAAGCCCTGTTCGTACAGCTGCCGCCAACTTGTCAGTGATCGTGTCTAAGGTCCCGTCACACAAATTTTCTTCATTCTGCTACGCTACACAGGGTGTAAACGTTGTGGTAGTCATTATTAAAATGGGTAATAGGGTGGTCAAAACAAGTCTAAAAGTTCATATGACCCATGGTCCAAAAGTCAATAGATTTTTGTCTAAATGGCTTTATAGTTTACAACTTTAAGTACTTTACATCGACCACAATCACCACAATCTTACTAACTTTTATAATCTAATCTAAAACGTTTTTAAATTGGGTAATTAACAAATAAATGGCTTTAAGTTTTTCTAAGTTAAGTCAAAATTTGTAGTCAGTAAGTAAGTTTCATTAATTTAAATATTTTAAACACACATGAAAACAGCGCGTCGGTCTTTAATCATTCTTATCGAAACGGCAATCGATCGCAAACGGTAACAGTGGTTTTGCATAAATAAATGACTTTATCGTTTTGACGAGCAGAGCATCTGGCGTGTTGTTTTGTTTTTGTTCGCGTACGTCGTCGTGTTTATTTACAATGCTCTCGAATCAAACGTTCACAGATATTTTGTTAGTTTACGGTGAAGCTCGTCAGAATTCAAAATCTTGCAGCTCAAATTTATTTATCGCGACAGATTTCACCAACGGGTACACCCAGGCAGAAGGACATTTGTGCAAGTGTACCAAAGACTTCGAGATACAGGAAGTGTTCAGTCTACTAATTTACTAATACCATAGCTTTCTAGCCAATAACCTACCAGAACTTTTGGAACAGACCTTAGACAACATGCCATTACAACGGAGACAGAATTTGTGGTTTCTTCATGACGGGGCACCACCACACATTTTTAGAGCCGTCATTCAGTATTTGAGTGAACATTATCCAAATCGCTGGATCGGTCGAAATGCTTCCGATCCTCGAAAATGGCCAGCAAGATCTGAGCTCAATCCGATGGATTTCTGGTATTGGGGAGAACTTAAAGGGATGGTTTATTTGGCTGGTCCAATAACAACTGAAGCACAAATTCGCGAAAAAAAATGTTAATGCGGCTGAAATAATAAATGGACAACTTCGAGGACCTAGAGTAAGAAGAAACTGGGTTTGTCGTAATGAAGTTTATGTGGAAAGTGGAGGACGACATTTTGAACACCTTCTTTAAATACAAAAAAAGTGCAGTGCGGATTTTAAAAAGAAAAACAATGTATGTATCAAAATTGTGTTCCGTGGATTTTTTTAATACGTTCAATAAACTTTCACATACCAGGTGAAGCGCTAAAACAGTTAGTGGTAAATCCGTTTTTTTTAATTGTTTGCATTTTACGAGTACATTATCAAATAATGAAATAATACCTAAGATCCTAAAATAACAAACTCCATCTTTATTTACACTGCGTTCCGTCGTAATTTACGTCTGGCATTGCGGCGTCGTCAGATTTTATTTTACTTTAAAGTCGCTTTTCCCTAAAAAAAATGCCGTTTTGACCCCCATGTTATATGAAACTTTTTGCTTCTTTTAACACCCGCTATCACCCATTTAAATAATGACCATCAGAACGTATAGACAGAATTCACACAGCCGGATCCCAGAAAGCGACAAGTCACCGATCACTGTATGAACAAACCTATAATAAAAATTGTCTCTGTTTCAAGTATAAACAAAGTGCAGATCCGAAAATCAAGATTTCCAACAAAGAACAATGAACTGAACGCCTACTATCTAACCTCCGTTCCTGAATTACCTCTCAGGGCTTCGGAGTACTCCCCGATGCCGTACACGTTCAGAGTACCAACTTTAAACAGCCCTGTCAAGATTAACAACCTGAGATCGAAATGCCCTCCGTACTACTTGTTGTTGGATCATACGATTGCAGTGTTGTGGTTGATGTTTGCTGCTAAACAGTACGACTGTCCATTAGGTAAAACTGTCATCAAAAGAAACATGCCTAAGGAAGATTAAATGGAGGATGTATTAACTGTTTGAAAAATGAAAAAGTGCTGGTAAATAGCGCCCGCGCAATGAAAACAGAAGTTATTTGTAAGCTAGCGGGTTGAACTGGATACGTTTGCTTTCCGTCTCTGTAGCCATGCGACCAATCACAGACAGCAGATAAACGGAAAGTAAACGAGTTGGTTTGGTCTTTTAAAGAAGTAAAAATTTTGTGCGCAAAGGAGAAAAAGCGATCGTCATCTACCAGTGGTTTGCTAAGCTGATTTTGTAAATGCATGAGTTTTATTTCAACCTTGAGTTCTGGTATGGTAGCAGCATTTGATTTTATAATATTAATATTATTAGTCAAAATTAAATAAAAATAAAATATGTTTCAAGCGTTTTTTAAAGCTGAAACCGGGCTGACTGCTTTTAATATCTTCGGGAAGCCTATTAAACATTCTAGATCTAACACATTTGGTGACTTTGATTTTCGTAATAAATGACTGTCAATTCAGTCTTGATACTGCATAGTCAGAATGTATTATAAAACTAGGGTTGTCGTCAAAGTGAATCCCTAAGAACTTTACTTGGTGTTCTAATTGTAAGTTTGTATCTCTAATTTTAAGATCTAAGTGACTGAGCTTTTTTTGATCATTGTGGAACCTCAATGCTGAATTTTTATCCGAATTGAGTAGGGGAGACCTAGGAGATTTGTGACAATTTTTACTTAAAGGGCTATATCTCGCTCAAGAAACATTCCACAGTTATGAATTAATTTAGTGCCATTCCTTCTGTTTTCAAAACCATCACCAAAATTAATTAAAGTATTATATTTTCTGAAAAAGTCAAAAGATCAAAGACCACTATCCCTGTCACAACTCTTCTACCACCGAGGTAAGTTGTGACAGGTACCGAGGTGAGTTGTGACAGCATTGTATTTAATCTATTAGATACAAGAAAATACCATTACACCTGATATAAATAAATCAAACACGTGTTTTCTTACCAAATATAATCTATATATCTATCTATAATCATCTTTTAGTACCTACCAAATAAAACAACAAATGTGGCGTCGCTTTGAGATCAATCATACAGGGTGCGGCAGAGAGGACAGACGTTTTTGGGATGGGTAGTACACTCCGCCTCCGTCTACGAGAGAGGTGGGGAGGGTGCCGTTTGACTTGTGCGATCCTAGCATTATTTTACCAGTTGTCGTTATTTAGCCTTCGACGGTGGAGCACCGCGTTTTCGCCTATGAATGTTTCGTCCGAAATCAGTCATCGTCGTACAGCGTGAGTTTCGTCGCCACTTCAACACTTATCGGAATATAGCTGTTCCCTCTCGAAACACCATCCTTCGTTGGGTTGAATCACTTCGCAGGCGTGGTGAACTGATCAACAGAAGACCAAGAGGAGCGCCGCGAACAGTTCGAACTCCTGAAAATGTTGAACGCGTTCGACAGGTCTTTCTTCGCAGTCCGACTCGATCTGCCCGGAAACATGCTGCTGCACTTCGCCTTAGTGATCGTTCGGTAAGGCGAATTTTGCATATGCATCTCCGCTTTCACCCCTACAAATTGGCCATTGTGTAACAGTTACAGCCCGGAGATTATGCACAACGAATGAACTTCGCACGTGAGATGGAAGCACTGATTCCTTGTCGCCTTATTTCCAGGTTTGGCGATGTTCATTGGCCTCCTCGGTCACCAGATTTATCCATATGCGATTTTTTCTTATGGGGACACCTCAAGGCTAGAGTATACGCGAACAAGCCCTGAATTCTGGACGAATTGAAGGGCGAAATTCTCGTGGAAGTCGTCCAAGTTGAGAGAGCGATGTTGGAGAGAGTCTACGCGAACTTCCAAGAACGCCTCGAGCACTGCATCAACGATTTCGGCCACCACATGCCTGATGCGATTTTCCACACTTGACTGTCTCAAATGCTATTTCCTTGTGAACCTGATTCCATCAATAAATTTGTTTTCGAGTAAAAATTAACTATTTTATGATTTTTTTAAAACCGTCCATCCTCTCTGACGCACCCTGTATTATTATTATAACCAGTACAAAATCTTAATCTAATCAGATTCACAATTATGACAAACGTAATGCAGCTCGTCTCCAGTATAATCTACGTGTGCCCAGCCTTTGCATTCCAGGCATTGGACCCACTACTCATTCTGCTGTATGTATAGGCTTCAAGGCAAACCAAACAAAAGCAATTATATTCTGCTTGTTCTTCATCACTTGTTCTATTCCTCTTATTAGTCTTCTTTGCTTTTTTAGGTTTCTTCTTTTCTTCGCTTAAGACACGCTTCTTAACATTCTTAGACTTCCAAACTTTTTCTGCCATGACTCTGGAATTTTTTTATTATATTTTTTGGAAAACTTATGTGCAATGACTCTAGTTTCTCTCGTGGTCAGCCCATAATTAGATGCTGCACATGTTAACAAATAGTCGTTTAATATACTAAGTGACATATAAATCCGAACACCCAGTTTAAATGGTTTTATTTTAATAAAAGTTGGTGAATGTATTTATCTTACTGTAAATAACAAGTGAAAAAATTTTCAGCCTTATCAGTTGGACATTCCGGTTTTTATACTGCTTTTTTTTAATTCACTAACGCTCTAAAAATGAATATTTCAGCCGCAGTAAAGAATCAACGTTGGCGGATTTTGGTTCTTGACATCCTTTACGATCCGTTACGATGCCTAGAGTACGGAGACCTGTAGGATTTCGTCAACTTAGTGAGTTTGATTAGATTATTGGCCTTAAGGGACCGTTTCTCCACTACCAGGTCCATTGCAAATGAATGGTTTGCAGAACACGGAAGACCTATTGGCATGCGAAGTGTTTACCGATGAATGAGAAGTTTTGGCTTGTTTTCATACCGGCCACACTGGGTCCTCCCTTTAACTCGAGAACACCGACGTAATCGCCTTGAGTGGTGCAGACAACGGTCACTCTGGGATCAGGAATGGAACAGTATTGTCTTTAGTGACGAGTCTCGATTTTGTTTAGGCATGCACGATGGTCGTGCCAGGGTTAGAAGGCGACGTGGTGAAAGGAAGAATCCACAGTCTTTTGTTGAAAGACATGTTCATCACACTGTTGGAGTTATGGTTTGGGGTGCTATAGCTTATAGTTCCAGGTCACCTTTAATCATCATCAGAGGTAACATGAACGCGCAGCGTTATATCCACGAAGTTCTAGAACCCCATCTTTTACCCTATCTTGACACCCTGGCAGATCCAACTTTCCAACAAGATAATGCCCGACCACAATAGACTTCTTTCAACATAATGATGTCACATTGTTACCATGGCCACCAAGATCTCCCGACTTATCCCCAATTGAGCACGTGTGGGATATGATGGGTAGGAGATTGCTCAATTTGCAATGTCCTCCTCAGACTCTAGAAGTACTTCGAGAGGAGTTGGTGGTTGCCTGGAATGAGATACCGTAGGAGGACATTGACCACCTGATCAGAAGCATCCCTAGGCGCGTTGGAGAATTCGTAGCACATCAGGGTGCATCCACACATTATTAAAGGTCAAAGGGCTTTAAAGCAGTGCAATCATTTTGAAATTTTTATCATTTACTTATTATGCTTCATTAAGTACTTATACAAAATTTTATTAAAATAAAACCATTTAAACTGGGTGTTCGGATTTATATGTCACTTAGATTCTCTTCCTCTTCTGTAAAAATAGTCGGAATGGTATAACCCATAGACGAAGATTTGCCTTCTGGATTTGCTTGAAAGCCTCTTTCTTCTTAGTATATCTTCTTAATAAATCGTTGCAACGTTTTGCTAGGCAACGTGATGCTTCTACCTTCTTCTAATATACGTATTGCATGCTTCTCTTTCGTACACATTACGACGTCAGTTTTATATGGATGTATCTGCCCTGTTCTCGTTTTGTTACGATAGCGGACAATTTTTCCTAAACGCGCAAGCGCGTGACCGTTCCGAAGCGGTTATTCGACTGATTGGAACAAAACTATCGTAGGGCCATCTTCTATCCAAATGTCATGTGCCCAAAGAAATTTCTAGCATTTCGAAACGATCTGATAATTTGTTAAGGTATTTCTCAAATGCAATGGGCGCTGTGCTTCCTACGTACCATAAAGACAAGAAATGGAGACTACCCGAAGGATGTAGCTATAGCGATCAACGCTATTGAGGAACTCCTGGTCACAAACTACGCTCAACTGTCCGCGGAAATGGCCAATATCAAGAGATTGGACGAAACTATCAAGTATTCTGAAGGAGCATTCGGCTCTAGTCAAATGGTAAGTATAGCCAGATGAGGAAATGTTCAGAAATAATTGTTTGAGAGTATCGTTCTTGTTAGTATGGATACGACGTTTGGTTAACGTATACTAGTCAAGATGCTTCAGTAGAAGCAAATGTGGATGGTTCTATAGCAGTGGTCGTCAACCTTTTCAGTGTGTTGGGCTACTTCGATAATTTTTGAATAAACAGTGAGCTACCTAGTCGTAAGCAATGTAAGCCAACTTAAATAAAATTATACACAGGTGTATGCAACATTCATGGGTTTATTTTACTAATACAAATACGAGCCCCTTCCCACTTCAGTTGGCCCAACTATTGAAATCTTAGTTTTTTTCTTATCAAACACAAATACTAAAAATGTAGCAGGGTGTTATAGGTTTAAAATATTAACAATGAATATTTTGATAATATATAGTAGAAAACACCAACTTAACTCCCTAATCAAATTTGCAGCATAAAAATAACACGTTGCAATTACAGCATATCAACCTATTTTCATTTCAATGCAAAATAAGTCTATAACGCATAGGTGGCTGTGAAAAATAAAATCCATGACAATTGTTTTTATTAATCACAGCTGTCAAAATACGTTTAAAATAGTTTTGGGTAGTTAAGGTTTTCAAAATGGGTAGAGGAAATGTTATTAGTGAGAAAATTCGGTTACTGATAATTAAATTTTTTAATTCTGGGAAATCAAACTCAGAAATTGCAACTTTGTTAGACTTATCGCGGTACAGTGTGAGAAATATTGTTAGAAGATATAACGTAACTGGTTCAGTTCATATTAAGCCACGATATGTGAAAAAAAGTAATATCGCAAATGCCGACCGAAGAGCATTAAGTAGAATGATCGTGAAAAACAGGCGTGCCAATTATTTACAATTAAGTGCTCTCTGGAGTGACGCTGTTGGAAGGAGAATTTCGAAGTCCACAACTCACAGAGAGGCCCACAAACTGGGATTTAGCACTTGCAAGGTAAGTTTTCTTATATAAAAAAGTGAACTAAAAACCCTAAAGCTGCACAACTTGTTTATATGCCAAAGAAAACCCACTATTAACTCCGCTGCAAAATAAAAATCGGCTTAGATGGGCTAAAGAACATAGACAATGGACACCTCAACAATGGTGTGCAATACACTGGAGTGATGAGGCCCGATTCGAAGTTTGTGTTGGTGACAATCGCAGTAGAGTTATTCGCAAAAAAAATGAAGCATTCCATGTTGACTGTCTGAAGAGAAAAGTGAAATTTCCAGCATCCATTATGTTTGACATCCGGCCAAGATCTTGTGTTTCAGCAAGATGGTGCAGCGTGCCATAATTCAAAAAAGGCTATAAAATGGATGAAATAAAATAATGTACCACTTTTGAAATGGGTTTCTAGCAGTCCAGATCTGTCACCTATTGAAACTTTTTGTCACGAGATGAAAATCACCGAACTGAGACAAAAGCTTCAAGAAATATGGGATTGTTTTACACCAAATTTGTTCCAAAATTTGGTTAACACTATACCCCAAAGAATTTCAGCCGTAATAAAAATTAAAGGTGATGTTACCCAATGGTAATCTTTCAATTGTTGCCTTGTTAACTTCGCGCATTTATTCGCACATTGTTTATTTGTTCAGATGTTCTATTAGTTATAGGTGTAAGTGATTTCAAATATGTATTTTTTACGACTAGAGTGTATCTAAAATGCTTTTTAGAAAATAAATTGTTTTAGAAGTAAATAGTTTCGTCATGGTTAGTTTATAAAGGCATATTTTGGTACAAATCTTGAGGTGGGCCAACTGAAGTGGGAAGGGGCTCTACTAATAAACTGGAATAAACTAATAACTAATACATACTACATAACTACTCGTAGGTGTTTGAAAAATAAACAAAACTTTTCATCAGCTACATTGACATGTCACATACGATTTAATAAAGGTAACTAAAAATAAAAAAGCAACCAAACCGTTGAAATCCTTGAACCGATCTTTGAAGTTATCCTTCAAGTTAGAGACTATTTCTACATGATATTTACTGTCATATGGTTCTAATGGACTTTGTGATATCTTTTCTGAAAGAACAGGGAAATGCCTGGTATCGCCATCATTAAACTTTGTTCCCAAAACTCAAGCTTTTTGATAAACGCTTTTGTATCAGAAATCATTCCTGCTATTTATTTGTCTCTCCCCTGAAGCTGAAAATTAAGTTCGTTTAATTTTTCTGTGATATCCACAAGAAAACCAAAATCTCTAAAACAGATTGAATTTTCCCGTTCCGGAATCGGTTGATTACGTTGTTTGAGAAATTGAACTATGGCAGATATGATATCATTAAAGCGTTTCGGCACTCGCCCCCTACTTAACCATCGACTTCAGAGTGAATAATCTTCTTTGTATCGCTTGAACTCTAATCTTGTTCACAATTTCTACTACCAATTTCATAACGTTGTTTGGTTTTAGAAAATGTCCACATAATGCTTGCTGATGAACAATGCAGTAGTAACAGAGTTTCATCTTTACGACATAACCTCACGAGACCCTTATCACGACGCACCATAGCTGGAGCGCCATCGGTTGTCAAGCGTACCATTTTCGGTATTAGAATGTTCTCAGATGAAATATTTTTGGAAGAAGAAAACAAGTCTTGCCCAGTAATCTGCCCTTTTAGTGGAATAAACTTTAAGATCTTTAATCGTAAAATCACTGAATGTGTTTAAAGTCAGTGATATTTGCTGTGTGCGAAAATCATTACTGAATATGCTGCCAATGAAGTATATATGTTGCCTGTGCCCGCCGGGTTATTTTTATGTTGTGCTTTATGAAGAGATGTTATGTTCAAAGTTATAAATTACGAACAACTGAGGAGAATTACGAGAAATCATCACCGCGCCCGCGTTGTTTGCAATTACTGTTAGCATGTATATGGCTTGTAATTCGACAGTGTACAGTGAATATAAGTAATTATTTCTTATCTCTCATTTTTGAATTTCAGCAAATTTGTATATGCAATTTCCAGAATGGATAAGAAAAAGTGGATGCGCAACTAATTTCTGGCTTTGAATCTCAATTAAGTCTATTTGAGACAAGAACCCAATGTAATTATCATCAACTCATACAACTTACAGCTTAGACCTCCAGTAATGCCATCTCAGAAGCAAATTTTACATCACATCAGAGCCAAAAATTATAACAAGCCTCATGACGTTTAGGCAACACGTACAACTAAGTGCTAAGATAACATCTTGTAGAAAAACCTGCATAATGTCAAAAAAACAGGATAATGTCACTGCGCCTTGCGTATTTATTCCGATCAAAGTAATCGAGATCGTTCTCGAACAGTTCGCTCACCGCAGTGTTGCCGGTAGCTCGCAATCGACGGGTTGGCGACCATTGTCTATTCTATAGTAACAGAGCACCTGAAAAGTGGAGTTATAGGTTATTTACTTACCTTACCGAACGACGTTAATACGCGACGCTAAAAGCGCGACAATTTTTAGCGATCGTATGGTTATGGAATAAAGTATACCTCGTCGACTTAACATTACCAATATATTCGATTAAGATTCTTTTTTTTTTTTGTTTCACTAATTCAGAAGATTATGTTTATTCAGCTTTGTCCGCTAATCTACAATCTGATCCTTAGCTAACGAAAGAACTGCCCTTTTCACTGAATTATGCTGAGATGTTCAGCAAGAGCCCAGCGGTCCAGGCGGCAGCCGAAGCTAAATCAATGACATCTGTAGAAGCTGAACGAGAACTGAAGAAGATCAAATCTGCAGCTGGAGTTGACTCGATTGAAGAACTAGGTAAAGCCAATGTCTCAACAATTTTGAACAGACCTCGAATTAGTGATAAAAAAGTTTTAACTATAATAATCCCACATCCGGTGAATCTTCTGGCTAAAAGCACTGCATCAGAAATTCTTATTCCTTCGCACAGGTGTATCTTTACATAGATACGACTCAAAATGTGTTTTTTTTTTAGATCCTGAGTCTAAGAATAAGGCAATCAACGTACTGAAAATGTGGAAGACAGACCAAGTAGAGAAGATTAAGGACGAACTAAGAAGGTTACGCGGTATAGAAGTGTATTTGAGAGATATTGACGCAAACTTTGAAGGATTCGTTGAGGATGACTTAGGGGCATTGGCTTCAGACATATAAATAATTATTTATAAAACTGTTCAATAAATACTTCTGCCAAATTTATCTAGAATATTTTTTGCTTGCTTGTTGGCGCCATCTGCTTTACAATAGTGGAACACCTCAGTCTTGGACCAGTGAGTGCTTACACCTACATTTAATCCACGATAGTAACCAGTTTCTGATGGACCAATGAACAAAAGCACAGATGATCAGACTGCTACTCAACAACGCCCTATTTCCTTATCTTTGTATTCTTTGTACGTATGTATCACCATCTAACGAGAAAGTGATTAATTGTAATCTCGTCACGTGTCATCACGTGAAGCTGAAAATTTTTGCAGTCGATGGAAATTGTCAGCGTGTGACAGACGTGTGTGTGATACTCTAAGATCAAGCAAAATGCAGACGATTTCTCAACATCAGGCTAACAGAGAGCATGTTTTGGCTGTCTCCCGAGACTTTATATCTCAACCAAGAATAAGTAAGTAATTTGTGGTCGTTTTTACCCAGTTTCCACTTCTCAAACGTGGAAAAAACCTACTTAATTTGGGTGGGTCCACGATATAATGGTGGACCTTCGTCTGGTCATATGACCGAAATATCTGGTTATCGATCATTTACAAGAGCTTATTTAACATTTAAAACAACGTAAATCAAATAATACACGTATTGGTTGAGAAATAAGTCGTTTGAGTACTGTTATCTCTAAAATAATTGGTTTGTTTAGTCATGTGACAGTCCCATGATCTTGAATTGGGTGTATTCAATTCTCATCTTTCCCCAAATTTGTACTAAAAGCATGTTTTACTTTTAATGCCTTGTAATTTCAATCGTTTTAAAAGCTAAATGCGTTCCACTTAGATTATTTTAAAAGAAACAATGCCAAAAAGAATCTATTTTTAAATATATTTACTGTGGGCTTCCGACTTTTAATAATTGCAAAAAGTGATTAAAGGATAAAGTAAAAAATTCTAGAAATGTAAAAATCTGACTAATGTTAGTATAAAGATTTCAAGTGTATAATTATTTGACTTAAATATACCTGAAGATAGTGGTGTATTTCAAGATTCAGCATTCTTGGCCTATTTAGGTTTTCTGCCCCAGGAATGGAAAAAGGCAAAAGCTTTTGATTTATGTGGCTTGAGCTGCACTGGGCCATGGTCCAGTAATTACATGCATTTTTCAATAGTCAGTTACTAAAAAGTCTATTATGTGAAAGAGGCTGTGAAATGTTGAAAAACATTAGGAAATAAACCTATAAATTACAAAGTAGATTAGATGATAAGGTTCATTTGATAACTCAAAATTTGGATGGTCCAAAAGTTATTCTTGGAGAAACATAAATAAGCAGTATGGTCCTTTTATTTAGTCATTTTTCATTTTGCTGATTATGGTGTTTTCTAGTCCTACATGAAGTTTGTAGTTAATAACCATAAATTATTTTGCTGTTGGAGTATCAACATTCATACTAATTTTAGGCAAGACACTTGATTGTTTAAGGCCCATATCATCAGTCGTCCCTACAATTGTAGGGCACCTTTATGGCCTCCTTGATTGTCATAGTTTTCTACTTCTTACTGTCAGCGCTCTATTTTGAGGTTATCTGGCGAACATCTATTTGCATCAAATTGTGCTTGCTTTTGAGTAATATCATGTTTTATCAGCCTGAAATTTCCTACAATTTAAAAAGAAAACATATCTTCACAATAGGAGAGCGCTGATGCTGACACGGGACAAGTGTAATCTAGAAACTTTTGAAGGAGAGAAAGCACTATGACAATCAAGGAGGCCATAAACGCGCCCTACAATTGCAGGGACGACTGACGATACGGGCCTAAGATTCATTTAGCATAATTGCCTCAATTACATTCTTCTAAAAAACTACCTAAAGAATTTCATTACAGACATTTAGGAAAAAACGAAAATTGCATCTCTAAGAATTTTCACTGTTTATGAAATATTCCTGTAATTTTCTTTTAAACATCTTTAAATTATAAGTAGACTTTATATCATTATTCAGTTTATTAAATTCAAGTAATCCTTTCTGAAATATTGATTTGCTAGCTATTGCAATTTTGTAAATGAAAATCTATATTTCCTCTTATATAATAATTGTAATGATTATTCAATTCTCTGTAGTGTTCTAAATGATGATTTTTTATTGTAAATATACAAATAAGAACCTAATATGATATGAAATTTTTATATCAACCACTGGAATTCTTGTAACTTAGATTTTATTTTGGTGTACTTATTTTTATTTTAATATTATTCTCATAGCTTTATTTTGCAGGACTTGTAATTTTGAGAATACAGCTTCATTGGCAGTGAACAAGATATTTGACTAATATAGTAAATGTGGTAGAATAATTGTATTATAAACTATTTTCTTGGAATATGTACTAAGACTATGAGAAGCCTTATAATAGTAATTTGTTTTTTTGGCAATTTTTGAAATCATGTATTCATAGTGATGCTCAAACTTTAGTTTAAAATCAATATATATATATATATATATATATTAGGTATATGTATATATATATATATATATATACCTAAATATTTAATTGATTCAACATTTTCAATTATTTCACCATTTTAGCATTGTTAAAGCAGTGTTTATATTTCCATCTGATATATACATATATATTAATGTATCATCTGCAAATATCTGAATTGTACAATAATCTAGAATAGTAAAAATATCATTAATGTGTAAAATAAATAGTAGTGGACCTAGCTTACTACCTTGTGGTATACCAACAGAAATATTTTTTGATCTTGATAATGTAGATCCAATTTTGATTTTTTGACTTCTGTCAATTCAGTAGTTTAGTATCTGAATACAGATCCTTTAAATCTGTAGTGATGCAATTTTGTGAGTAATTTATCCCTGTCAATAGCCTCAAATGCCCTTTTGAAGTCCAAAAACACTTTTACTGTATGTTTACTATTGTCCATACATCGCTCATATAATTACATCACTGTGATCCATTCTGATTTCCTGAATGAAAATTTTGAAAAAATTAAATTTATTTGTTTCTTTACAGCTTACAAGACAGTATCAGGAGTAAATGGACCATTGGTAATATTGGAAGATGTGAAATTCCCAAAGTTCAATGAGATTGTGCAACTGAGACTTGCTGATGGCAGCATTCGTTCAGGTCAAGTCCTGGAAGTCAGTGGCTCCAAGGCGGTTGTTCAGGTTTTCGAGGGCACATCTGGTATTGATGCCAAAAATACTATCTGTGAGTTCACTGGTGACATTCTCCGAACACCTGTGTCAGAAGATATGCTGGGAAGAGTCTTTAACGGTTCTGGAAAACCCATCGACAAAGGTTAGTTACATCCAAAATACATCTGTTTATGCCAGGTTGAATTATGTTGAACCAGTTATTTTTTATAAATTTTTTTTTCAGGTCCCCCAATCTTGGCAGAAGACTTCTTGGACATCCAAGGTCAACCTATCAACCCATGGTCTCGTATCTACCCAGAGGAGATGATCCAGACAGGTATCACAGCCATAGATGTGATGAACTCCATTGCTAGAGGACAGAAGATCCCCATTTTCTCAGCTGCTGGTCTGCCGCATAATGAAATTGCTGCACAGATCTGTAGGCAAGCTGGTCTGGTTAAGGTTCCTGGCAAATCAGTTTTGGGTAAGTGTATGACTTGAATTTTACTTTTTTGTATATTTCTTGGGTGCTAAATTGTTCTCTGTTTCTAAACGAAAACAGGAGACACTCAAAAATATAAATAGCTAGCACAGTGAGAATATTTAACTTACTAAACTTTCCTCTGCAAGTTTGTCCATTTTGCAGAGATAGCGCAATGCAGACTGATCTTTTTTGTGCCTTGAAAGTTACTGGTACCTCCGCGAAATATTCAATACCTGAGGATGGAATAAATGTTTGCATAGTACACAATCTTAAGATGTTCAATGCCACAGTACAGAGTTAACTTACTTGACGCCCTTTTTTATAGATGACCATGAGGACAACTTTGCCATAGTCTTCGCCGCTATGGGTGTGAACATGGAGACAGCTCGTTTCTTCAAACAGGATTTCGAAGAAAACGGCAGCATGGAGAACGTGTGTCTGTTCTTGAACTTGGCTAATGACCCAACCATTGAGAGAATCATCACACCGCGTTTGGCGCTGACCGCCGCTGAATTTTTGGCTTACCAATGTGAAAAGCACGTGCTTGTCATTCTGACAGATATGTCTTCGTATGCTGAGGCTTTGAGAGAGGTGAGTTGTTAAATCACGTTTTAGATGCAGAATTTCTGAATAAAAATCTTTACCATGTTTTGTAATTCCTTTGAGGAGGTTTTCAAGAACCCCCTACCTGTAGTAGGATTACAATTCTCGATCTCGAATTATCGACTCGTCAGATTTATTCAACAGGTTCCAAGATGTCAAATACAGTTTTTCAGCTGTCTTATCTGTAATTTTTCAAATGATAAAGTTATTTGTTCTCAAAGTACTACCATGCTTCCAATTGTACGGGAAAGGCTATTAAATATAATATAAAATTAACCGCCGCCATTTTGAATCCAATATGGCGGATGCTACAAGATGGGGAATCATTTGTATCAAATGAAAGGGCTTGATTGAAACATATTAAGCAAAGTGACGTCATTCTAGATCCAATATGGCGGCGGCCGCTGAATGGCGATTTATAATTTCCATGCTCACCAATATGATCTAGACATCAAATTAAAGGGCTTAATTGGAGAAACAAGATAAGCAAATAATATTCTAAATTCCATATCTATCGAAATACAAATAAAGTAAGAAGTCTTATGGAGTCCTATTAATGAAACATATTTATGAAAGTTATATAGAAATTACCAAACTAGTTATTTATCAGAAATTCTAAAAAGTAAAAAATTAATAAAATTAAAATAAGATTTTATCTAACTGTTCATAGAAAAAACTGAATATTTAGAAATAAGTTTTTTTTTTATTATGATTTGAAATATGAAATATTCAATCAATATGAATAAAAACATATGAAAGTTATATAGAAATTACCAAACTAGTTATTTATCAGAAATTCTAAAAAGTAAAAAATCAATAAAATTAAATTAAAATTTTATTTAGCTGTTCATAGAAAGAACTGAAAATTTAGAAAAAAATTTTTTAGATTTGAAATTTGAAATATTCAATCAATACGAATAAAACATATGTAAGCTATACAGAAATTAGTAGTTATTTATCATAAATTCTAAAAACTAAAAAATTAATAACAACATATATTTTCAAAATCAGATTTTATTTAGCTGTTCATAGAAAGAACTGAAAATTTAGAAATAAGTTTTTCTTATTTTGATATGAAATATCAAATATTTAATCAATACGAATAAAAACATATGAAAGTTGTAAGACATTAACAAACTAGATATTTATCATGAATTCTAAAAAGTAAAAAATTAATAAAAAAATATTTTTAAAATAAGATTTTATTCAGCTGTTCATAGAAAGAACTGAAAATTTAGTAATAAGTTTTTTTAATTTGATTTGAAATATTCAATCAGTACGAGTGAAACATATGAAAGTTATACAGAAATTACCAAACTAGTTATTTATCATATATTCTAAGAAGTAAAAAATTGATGAAAAAATATATTTTTAAAATAAGATTTTATTTAGCTGTTTGTAGAAAGAACTGAACATTTAGAAATAACTTTTTCTTATTTTGATATGAAATATTTCATCAATACGAATAAAAACATATGAAAGTTATAAGACATTAACAAACTAGATATTTATCATGAATTCTAAAAAGTAAAAAATTAATAAAAAAAAATATTTTTAAAATAAGATTTTATTCAGCTGTTCATAGAAAGAACTGAAAATTTAGAAATAAGTTTTTTTTTCATTTCGATTTGAAATATGGAATATTCAATCAATATGAATAAAAACATGAAATTTATATAGACATTACCAAACTAGTTATTTATCATAAATTCTAAGAAATAAAACATCGATAAAAAATATATTTTTTAAAATAAGATTTTACTTAGCTGTTCAAAGAAGAAACATCTAAAAATTTAAAAATAAGTTTTTTTTATTTTGATTTGGAATATGACATATTCAATCAATACGAATAGAAGCCTGTTTCGTTTTGACATCAGGGTGGAAAAGAAACGCTTTCATTTGAAAACTTGAGATGACGGAGCTTTATTATCGTTTTTTGAATTTTCAGTTAATTTTATGAACAGCTACATAAAATTAGTTTTTTTCATTTTATTTATTACAACTCCTCTTTAACTAAATAGGTATCAGCAGCCCGTGAAGAAGTGCCCGGTCGTCGTGGTTTCCCAGGTTACATGTACACCGATTTGGCCACAATCTACGAACGAGCCGGTAGAGTAGAAGGCCGCAACGGATCGATCACCCAGATCCCCATTCTGACTATGCCCAACGACGATATCACCCATCCAATTCCCGATTTGACTGGGTATATCACCGAAGGGCAGATCTACGTTGACAGACAGTTGCACAACAGACAGATCTACCCGCCAATCAACGTGTTGCCGTCTCTGTCGCGTCTGATGAAGTCCGCTATTGGAGAAGGCATGACGAGGAAGGACCATTCGGACGTCTCTAACCAGCTGGTGAGTTTCATATATTTGAGATTGGCGAGATTCTTATTATACAGGGCGAACCAGAAGTCGACGTCAAGGGATGGACCAAGTCTTAATTGTGATCAGAATAATATAAAAAAATGTAAGTCGTGTACTTTTCAAATTATAGCAAAATAAAAATAACACTATATTATATTATTCTCAGTATACAGAACAGTATATAAATGTTACCAATGAGAAATCCAAAACATTTCTCTATTTTTACTACTAAGTTGATGAATTAATAGCTTTTGACGAATTCCTAAACAATGGATAATTATAAGGTTAAAGTATATCCTTAATGTTACATACGAACTCCTAAACTGACACAAATAAAATTACTGGTAGTTTTATGCTTAATTTTTGAACGAAGTGGTTGTGTTTTTAATTTGTACGAGATTAAGACAGGCCTAGCATACCATAAAATTATTACTCCAAGAGAGGTGTTTTGTTATAAAAATGACATTCGATATTTATAAGAACTGCTATTAAATCATTATTCTGAATAAAAAAAACGTGGTAATAATTTATTTTATCAAGAAAGTTAATTTTTAGTCGATCATAAAACAAAACTGTAACAACGACAAAGATGTTTATCATATTTTTCTGATAACTATTATGTTTATGTCGACTTCTTGGACGAGAAAATTTTCAAGGCAATGAGACAAGAATATAAAAAACGTATGTCGTCTTGTTTGTGATGTACGTGTGAGGGAAATGGATGTATGAAGGTAATTTTTGTAGTTTTACTATAAGCAACCAAAAACAGTGAAAAGACCTTTACCGTTGGAGCGAAGATGATTGTTTTTAATGATTGGTTAAACATCCGTAAGACCATGTATATCCATTACTGGGTTGGCCCTCTTGACACGACTTTTGTCCGCAGTACGCGTGCTACGCCATCGGTAAAGACGTTCAGGCAATGAAGGCCGTCGTAGGTGAAGAGGCCCTAACGCCCGACGATTTGCTTTACCTGGAGTTCCTGACCAAATTCGAGAAGAACTTCATCACTCAAGGCAACTACGAAAACCGCACCGTGTTCGAGTCTTTGGATATCGGCTGGCAACTGCTTCGTATCTTCCCTAAGGAGATGTTGAAACGTATTCCCGCCAGCGTGCTGGCAGAATTCTATCCCAGGGACTCGCGTCACTAGAATTCTACGTTAGTGATGTAGGTACTCCTTCTGATCGTGTCGCCCCTCATGGTTTTCCTGTGGAACTGAAGTTGCTTCTGAAATACGCAATTTGTAACCATAAAAAAATTTCACCATTTCAAAATGGAAGTTTCAAACTTTCTTCACATTTTTAAGCGAGTAATAGTTTTTGAAGCAGCGTCAGTTCCACATGAAAACCAAACATAAGAGAGGCCAGTTTTGGCATAGGTGCGTCAGTGTTTTAGTAATATCATTTCAGGATTTTTTTCAGAATACTGCATGCTGAGAAGTTGTCTGCTGGCATTATCATAAACAGTATCTACTTAAAATATATATAATGATATTGACAGATACTGTCTCGCACTTGTCAATCTGGGAAGAGTTTTATGTCAAGTCCACTATTGTAATTCATAGTTATACATAATTTTTTTGATTACCTAGTATTTTCCTTCATGGTGCAATTTTTTGTACATACACTCATGTTTCAAGCATTGTAAATGCTATCTTATCAAATCTCCCGAACTCTAGTTTGATTACTTTGTGACCAAAGTTCATACATTAACAAATTTTACGCATTTCCATTGATAAACTTTTTTCTGAATTAATTCAATCTAAATTGTTGAATTTGTAATACTTCTATCAAAATTAAACATTATTTTTTGAATCATTCTTGAACGATGACGGTGGCATTAGAAACAACGTGTCATTTGAGGTGAAGTTCACATTCGGCAAGTAAAATTTTCTTTTTCCATTTCCAGTATAAAAATCTTGGCCTTGGAAGATCTTGATTGAGGTTATCTGTGGGTGATCTCCATAAACCTCATAACTGGGCTGTCATTAATTTTTGCTAGAGCAAATTTTGTTGATATCTTAATTTCACGTTGAATGACCTTGAAGGCAATGGTGATGTTCGGACGTAAAACTTATCCCTCTTTCAGTTCCGATGTGGAAAAGGGGGCTTCATTAGAACATTTTCGCTTGACCTTGAAAGCGCCCTAAAGGTCATAGTCAAGGTCGCCATCATTTTGCCTCCTTGTAACCCTACAACTTTTGGTTTTTTTGTCTAAAATGTTCAGTTTACAAAATATTCAGGTATATATACACATATTACTCAAAGGTGGTATTAAAACTTTATTGTAAAATGTTTAATAGAGAATCTTTGGTCACACAAAAAAAAATGGATTTGTTTTATAGTTGTTTAATAAGACAATACTTTTTGTAATTATGTAAGCTGATGTGTATGTAGAAGCCAACACGATCCTAGTGATTTATTTTCTTAGTTCCAAAAATATAAAGTGGAAAAAGCCAACATTCCATATTAAAATAATGTGAAGTCCATCTCATAAGCGTGTGTGACATTCTTTGAAAAGGGTAAACGGCACATTATAACTAAACCTAAATATTTAGACCCCTTATATCCTGAAATTATCTATAATTCTATGCCCCGTTTATGCCCTTTTTGCGCACGCCTATGCTCCAATTGTGTAAAGCAATACACCTTAAACAGTTATACACTGCTTTCAGTATTTTTTAATGTAGGTGGTGAAAGTTTTTTCTTTTATCTTACACATTTTGATGTTATAAAAAGATATGTTGTAAAAAATGTTAATGTTATGTTTTAGATTAGTGTATAAAAATTGTGAATAAACAATGTAAACATGTTGACATTCTTGATTTCTCGTCCTATCCCTAGTACCCCTCTCATTCACAACTATTAGGTTCCAGAAAAAAAAAAGTTATTTAAACGTTCGTTTTTATTAATAACCTAAGTAATTACAATAAAAAAACTAAGAATACCACAATACAAAAATTAGTATGAAAGACATTTGCCGTCTTGGGCCAGTTATTTTTAAATTTGGATCAAGGGTGGAACAGCTAATACAATCTTCAATCGTCGGTTAACCTAGAGCGGTCTCTTCCTCCCGATGCCAGCACACCCCCACCAACACTCACCACTCACGTTAGGTACAGTCTAGACGGGTATGTCTAGGTTGCATCACAAGCTTCGACCTTCCGCGGTCCGCCAATTGCCGACCGTTGCTGCAAGGTGTTTTCCACGAGTATCCTTAACGGTAGAATAATAAAAACAATCTGATTATCTATAGGGTTGTCCAATAGGGACGCAGGAAAGTAAACGTCAATTTGACATAGACGCCATCTTTGTTTTCTGTCACCGACATGTCATTTTGTGAGTTGAATGTTTACCATTGATCGCTATGGAGTCGTATTCGATTGAAGACCGCATTAAAGTTATTCAAAGCACTACAAAAATGGTGCAAAAATAAAAAACACGTTTCGCGCGCTTCGTGAACATTTCGGGCGAAACAACCATCGGTCGTCTGGTGCGTAAATTCGAGGCAACAGGTTCTGTGGCAAATCTGCCAGGCTCTGGCCGGCCAAGGAGCGTTCGCACACCGGAAAATATTGCTGTTGTGAAGGAGAGTGTGAGAGACGATCCGAAACAATCAACAACGCGTCGATCCCAAGAATTGGACATTTCGAGAACCAGTTTGCTCCGCATTCTCCACAAGGATTTGAATGTACACGCCTACAAGATCCAATTGACGCAAGAGCTGCGTCGGGCCGACCATTTTTCGCGCCGAACGTTCTCAGATTGGCTCCTTGAACATCGCCAAATTGATGCCAATTTTTCATCAACAATCATGTTCAGCGACGAAGCGCATTTCATTTTGAATGGGACAGTAAACAAGCAAAACTGCCGCATCTGGGCGAACGAAAATCCCCGTGAGTATCAAGAGCAGCCGATGCATCCTCGAAAAGTGACTGTTGTGTGCATTGTGGTCAAAAGGCATCATCGGACCTTACTTTTTACATTACCGTCAATTCTGAGCGATATCACGTGATGATAGAGGACTATTTTTTGCCGCAACTTGAAGGAATGGATATGGACGATGTTTATTTCCAACAAGACGGTGCAACATGCCACACAACCAACGTCAATATCCATCGATTGCAGTCCTTCTTCGGTGATCGCGTGATTTCGCGCAGAGGAAATGTGCCATGGCCACCAAGATCGTGCGATTTGACTCCCGTGGACTTCTTTTTATGGGGATATTTGAAAAGCAAAGTCTACGTGAACAAACCAGCCACCCTCCAAGAACTCAAAAACATCATCATTGCCGAGATAAATGCCATAGAACCGACCATGTTGCAAAATGTTATTGAAAATTTCGACCATCGCGTGGACGTCTGTAAATCCAGTCGTGGTGAACATTTGAGCGATATTATTTTTCATACATAAATGGTATAAATGAACCTTCAAAATAAAGTACCCAACTTGATTTGAATATCAATCTTTCTTGTTTTAATATGCGTTTACTTTCCTGCGTCCGTTTTGGACAACCCCATAGTAATATTTCAAAATTCCCCATATTACAAATGACAATTCTGAAAGATCTGTCAACGCCAGGTAGGCAGACTAGGCAGAGCCGTTATTTGTTTTTGGTAGGCTACAGATTCGTTTTGTACTTGCTAACAAAAGTTCATTTGCATACAAAAAACGCTGCAACCAGTTTTTAGTAGATTTACAGCCGGCTCATTATTACCAATATTACAGACAATACAAAAATGTAACTTACTAATCAGCCTTTCACCTCAGTAGACGTCAAAATGTGCTGAATACTCGTGCAATAGGGTTTAAATGATTGAAATGCCTGCATTTACATATATTGAGAAGGAACATTTTAAAGTGCATGGTTAACAGATTTCTGTGACAATTGAAATTACTACCGATATATGCCAATAACACAACTAGTTGAAATTGGCGTACATAGATGTCACTAACATTGGCTAGGTAGTGACATCTAGAAGACAGCTGCTGAACCTTTACATTGCTTAAAAAAGTAGTGGAACTGGATACCTGGAGCTAATCACAAAGTATCCCTTTACATTGATAGGCCTTCCATTTGTATTTGAATTTAGATTTTTGAAATCATTTACTATTTTGCATCGCGTCCTCGTCTCTTTTTCCAAATTCTTGGGCTCCTTTGATGATGATATGATTTTACAGTCAATGGAAGTGCAGATTTTTAACAGAAAACAAAAGTGGCGAATATCGAACATCGTATGAATAAGAGATCAGGATAAAAGAAACCGCAGAACGCGTATTTTAAACCGAGAGGAAATTCAAAAATTGCTGTGCATACATCTCATTTCGGCGATTCTCATAGTGAATTAATTAGCATCCCAGTATCGTGTATATTTATTTATTTGATGCAAAATGATAAAATATACCAAACAATGAAAAAGATTGACTCTCAAGATACTAGAAACGTGAGAAGGTGTAGAATGCGTCATTTACTACTGGTGAATAACTGCCGGGAAATCCAACCTATTGACCTGCACAGTCATGTGTTTTGTGGTGCACACTATCTATCTCGTTTCTAGGATCCTGACAGAATTGTAGCTGCGATTTTAGTTTGAGAACTTTGACATATCTTGCAAGATAGATAGATTTAGGTCTAGCATATAAATCCACCAATGGATGCTCTAGAATTAAGAAAGTTGATAATTATGCAGTAACTGTTTCAAACTACATACATTCTGAGCACAGGATTGGGAATTTTCAGTGTCTGATCCCAGCACAAGACATAAATAACAGTGTATCTGTTGGAGAACAGACAGCGAATTCGACCACGGGCCGATATAATTGGCCATATCGTCATATGTCCATACTTTATGCGTCAGATGCCGAAAGAGAGATACAATTCGACATCTGGATAACATGATTTATACACATCCCGAAATGGCTACATACATCCTAAGCCGATACCGAACGGGAAAAGACGATTAGTTTTTAATTAAAAACAAATATGAATCAAATCCAAGCGAATAACCAAAATTTCTGTGTTATGTACCGCGGTTATGATATGGTTCAAGGTGACACAAGGGTTGATGACGTCAGTTACACGAATCGCTTGAACGCGTTGGTTTTAACCGCGGTTCTGTTGCAAGTTGTTTAGTTTAGAAAAGCGCGTATATAATCTCTGATTATTTTTATTATCACTTAATAATCGGTGCTTTTTCGTCTACAACTGTATATGGAAAGTTTAAATAAGAAACCTTTCATAATATTCATGGGAGAAATGTTTTTTCAGATTTTTTTTTTAATGATGGAACCATGGCTTTGTAGCTATGATAACTTTCAATTCTCTAAATTTTTCCGCATGTCAAAGAAAACATTTATTGATTCAGCAGAAATGATGAAAAAAGAAATTAGCAAAACCATATACAGGTGGATATCATCTAGTGAGTTTATATGGCCATATTTTAATATTCTTGTGGTATATGGCTACACAGGATACATTGTTAAGCATAGGAACTACATTTAAAGTGTCCCCAACAACCGTAATGGGTATAACTAATAAGGTGCTCCACTTTATGGTAAAACTGAAGTCAGCCTGTATCATTTTTCTCAAAAATGAAGCTGAAGTACAATAACAATATCCAATACCCGGCAAAATTCTAACTTGTCACATTTCAAATAATAACCAGAAATATAAAACTACTCTTGAGTTGGGTAAATACCACAATTTTGCGGTGATAACTATGACATATAACAGCTGATTCGTGACGTCACGGATCTTATAACCAAACTGATAACTACACTCGCTTGAACGGATTGGTAAATACCAACCCAAAATGGTAAATACCATTTCCATTTGGTTATCCGCTTGAATTTGATTATGGATTATAGAGTTAACGTAACTTTTATTTTATTATTTATTGAGACAAGATGTACTTGAATGACATTTACTATTACATTTTACATTATTTATTACCCATTTGCATTTTTTGGCACCACACTGTTTTTGACAGTTGCACCGTTATTCCAAACATTAAATGGCAATTGAGAAAATGCAACTACGCATTTTGAAACTCCTCGCTTACAAGACAGACGGTACTTATCCTCATAGAAATATAGGTACCTACTTTATAAGCATCTAACTTGTACTCGTAGATTTGAGAGAAAGTCCGGATCCAAGAAAAAAATGTATTTTTTTAACAATTTTGTACAAACTCTTACATGATAACTTAGATGCCATCGTAATTTTATCTATTAATTTTTTACGCCTTGCCTGAGAACTACAAATAACAAAACCTTCAATTGTGAGAGAGCTAGAACTAATTTGCGTCGCCGCAGTACTAACTTTGGGTGAAAATTTTGATTCAATTTCGGCTGTTTGTGATATAAATTTTGACAGTATCTCAACAATACTGAACTGTGGATATTTTTGTATTTGGACCTTAATATGACTTTCATTATAGGTATGGTTATTTCAAATTCCTGATTCATATTTTTTCTGCATCATTTTGTAACTATTCTCATTTAGTTCAACCCACTGACAAACAAACTGCATGTGAGCGCTTATTTACTACAATAATTTCAGGTTAGGTGGTTTATTCGTGATGTAAGATGTAATCGGCATATCGGCAACGGCGTATTAAAGAAATGCGCACTTCGCGACATAGCTATGTACATGTAGATTAAGTTAGTCAGACGTCGAATTTCGGCTTCTGGCATGCGTAGTATGGACATATGGCGATCCAATTATATCGGCCGGCCGAATTCGTCATCTGTCTCCAACATATCTTTAAGAAGGGCTAGAAAACCACGAACATTAATATAGCTATGGTAAAATGCAAA